TCCAGGTAGCTGTCGTAACGATCCGGGTCGTAGTAGAACGGCCGCATCGCCTCTCGGAAAGAGTTCATCCGGTCCTTGTTCAGGTGAATCGCCGGAGGATCGTCCGGGCCGATCAGCGGGGTGTACTGGTGTTCCGCAGTCTGCTCGGCAAAGTACTCCTTGGCTGCCGTCACCAGCGACGGATCGAGGAGCAGGTCCATCAGCGTCATCGCGATGACCCGGGCGCCGGCGGCCGCTCCCTTGTGCGCGATCGGGGTCGCCATCGCCACCGCGTTCGCCCAGTGGTGGCCCGGGCCGCCCCGGGATGTTCGACGGGAAACCCAGGGTCACGGTCGGGACGGTCCAGGAGATGTCGCCGATGTCGTCGGAGCCGCCGCCGAGCCGTGGCTCACGCGCCGGACCGCGTATCTCGCCGAGTTCGGTGGCGAGGCCCCGTTCCTCGACTCCCAACTCGCGTTGGAGGCCCTTGGCGAGCGCCTGGTCCGCGTCGCTCCACTCGGGAAGCCCCACCCGCTCGATGTTCGCCCACACCGCCTCGGCCACCGGTTTGTTGAAGTGGCGCGGATAGGCATGGCCCAGGATGCTCCATGAGGCCTCGGTGGAGGTCATCGCCGCCGCGGCATTGGCCATCGTGTTTCCGAGATCGAAGAGTTCCTTGATGTGGGGCTGGTCGAGTTCGCGGAAGAAATACCAGACCGACGCGAGCTGCGGCACCACGTTCGGCTGGTCGCCACCGTTCGTGATCACGTAGTGCGAGCGGTGCGGAAGGCGCAGGTGCTCGCGCTTGATGTTCCAGGCGGCGTTCATGATTTCGACGGCGTCAAGCGCGCTCCGGCCCCGCCAGGGCGCCCCCGCCGAGTGCGCCGACTCGCCCACGAACGTGTATTCCACCGACACCAGGCCGCTGCCGCCGCCCTGTCCCCAGCTCACCCCGAACCGGGAGGAGACGTGGGTGAAGATGTTGATGTCCACGTCGTTGAAATAGCCGTCCCGGATGAACCAGGCCTTCGTGGCCAGCAACTCCTCGGCCACCCCCGGCCAGATCACCAGGGTTCCGGGGATGCCCTCGCGTTCCATGATCTCCTTGGCCGCGAGCGCTCCCACGACGATCACGGCCTGCCCCGAGTTGTGGCCTTCGCCATGGCCCGGGGCGCCCTCGACCAGGGGATCGTGATACGCCACCCCGGGCTTTTGGGACGCTTTCGGAATGCCGTCGATGTCGCTGCCGAGCGCGATGACCGGCGAACCCGACCCCCAGCGCGCCATCCAGGCGGAGGGGATGCCGGCGATCCCCTCCTCCACCTCGAACCCGTTCTCCCGCAGGATGTCGGTGATGTAGCGCGAGGTCTCGAACTCCTGGAAGCCGAGTTCTCCGAAACTGAAGATGGAGTCCACCATCACCTGGACCAGCTTGGCCCGCTCGGCGGCTCCTTGGTCGGCGACCGGACGCAGGGTTTCGAGATCCTGGGCCGCGAGCGGCGCGGCGAGCAGGAGAGCGAGTAGGGCGGCCGGCAAGGACCGCGGGAGCTGTGACAGTTTGCGCATCGGAAGCAACCTCATTCTTCTCCGGCGCTCCCCATCCCGAGGAGCGCCGGGCGCACGATTCTAGTGGCCCGCGGGGGGTCTCCTGACAGCCGTTTTAGGGCTGCCAAGCGCAACTTCCGTCAGTTCTCCTGGTTTTCCCGCACCGTCGGATACTCGATACCGAGCTGTTCCAGGTAGCTGTCGTAACGATCCGGGTCGTAGTAGAACGGCCGCATCGCCTCCCGGAAAGAGTTCATCCGGTCCTTGTTCAGGTGAATCGCCGGAGGATCGTCCGGGCCGATCAGCGGGGTGTACTGGTGTTCCGCAGTCTGCTCGGCAAAGTACTCCTTGGCTGCCGTCACCAGCGACGGATCGAGGAGCAGGTCCATCAGCGTCATCGCGATGACCCGGGCGCCGGCGGCCGCTCCCTTGTGCGCGATCGGGGTCGCCATCGCCACCGCGTTCGCCCAGTGGTGGCCCGGGCCGCCCGGGATGTTCGACGGGAAACCCAGGGTCACGGTCGGGACGGTCCAGGAGATGTCGCCGATGTCGTCGGAGCCGCCGCCGAGCCGTGGCTCACGCGCCGGACCGCGTATCTCGCCGAGTTCGGTGGCGAGGCCCCGTTCCTCGACTCCCAACTCGCGTTGGAGGCCCTTGGCGAGCGCCTGGTCCGCGTCGCTCCACTCGGGAAGCCCCACCCGCTCGATGTTCGCCCACACCGCCTCGGCCACCGGTTTGTTGAAGTGGCGCGGATAGGCATGGCCCAGGATGCTCCATGAGGCCTCGGTGGAGGTCATCGCCGCCGCGGCATTGGCCATCGTGTTTCCGAGATCGAAGAGTTCCTTGATGTGGGGCTGGTCGAGTTCGCGGAAGAAATACCAGACCGACGCGAGCTGCGGCACCACGTTCGGCTGGTCGCCACCGTTCGTGATCACGTAGTGCGAGCGGTGCGGAAGGCGCAGGTGCTCGCGCTTGATGTTCCAGGCGGCGTTCATGATTTCGACGGCGTCAAGCGCGCTCCGGCCCCGCCAGGGCGCCCCCGCCGAGTGCGCCGACTCGCCCACGAACGTGTATTCCACCGACACCAGGCCGCTGCCGCCGCCCTGTCCCCAGCTCACCCCGAACCGGGAGGAGACGTGGGTGAAGATGTTGATGTCCACGTCGTTGAAATAGCCGTCCCGGATGAACCAGGCCTTCGTGGCCAGCAACTCCTCGGCCACCCCCGGCCAGATCACCAGGGTTCCGGGGATGCCCTCGCGTTCCATGATCTCCTTGGCCGCGAGCGCTCCCACGACGATCACGGCCTGCCCCGAGTTGTGGCCTTCGCCATGGCCCGGGGCGCCCTCGACCAGGGGATCGTGATACGCCACCCCGGGCTTTTGGGACGCTTTCGGAATGCCGTCGATGTCGCTGCCGAGCGCGATGACCGGCGAACCCGACCCCCAGCGCGCCATCCAGGCGGAGGGGATGCCGGCGATCCCCTCCTCCACCTCGAACCCGTTCTCCCGCAGGATGTCGGTGATGTAGCGCGAGGTCTCGAACTCCTGGAAGCCGAGTTCTCCGAAACTGAAGATGGAGTCCACCATCACCTGGACCAGCTTGGCCCGCTCGGCGGCCCCCTGGTCGGCGACCGGACGCAGGGTTTCAAGATCCTGCGCCGCGAGGGGCGCGGCGAGCAACACGGCGAGGAGGACGGCCGGCAGGGACCGCAAGAGCTTGGTCAGGGTGCGCATGGAGGAACCTCTTTCGCGGCGGCGCGGCCCGTTTCGGGCGCGCCGGGTGCGCGATTCTACCGGTGGGGGAGACGAATTCCGGTGATGCGGCACGCATTCATCCAGCGTTTCGCCACCTCGGGCGGGTGATGCGGCCGGAGGCTGGCCCCCTGCTAAGCTCCCGCCGCCAGGTGGCTACGGCGCCGCTGCGGAAGTGGCGGAACTGGCAGACGCGCTGGATTTAGGATCCAGTGGGGCAACCCGTGGGGGTTCGAATCCCCCCTTTCGCACCAGCGCGCCCCTCCCCACCACCGAGTCTGAGTAGCGAGTTCGTGGACAACAGCACCCCTTTGGAACCCGAGAACGAACCCGCGGACCCAGGCGCTGCCGGCGCGTCCCCCCGCCCGCCCTTCCCGGAAAAGGACCGCATTCCGGACCTCGCCTTCCAGCTGACCGAAGAAGGCCAATCCCGCCGCGCGATCGAAGTGACAATTCCGGCTTCGGTCTTCGAGGAAGCGGTCCAGCAGGAACTGCGGCGCATTCGGCAGCGGGCTCATCTACGCGGCTTCCGCAAGGGAAAGGCGCCCAAGGAGCGAATCGAACTCCTGTACGGGAGCGAGGCCACCGAAGAGGCCATGAGCCGCCTGCTCGGCCGGGCCACGCGGCAGAGTCTGCACGAGCTCGATGTCCATCCGCTGGATGTTCCGAAGGCAACCCCCGAGGAAGCGACGCGCGGCAAACCGCTTACCGCGCGGCTCAGCTTCAGCGTCTGGCCGGACATCGGAACGGTCGATTTCGAGGGAATCAAGGTCACCACCCGGGAACAATCGGTGACGGAATCCGACATCGGTGAGACTCTGGAACATCTGCGGATGGAGCGGGCGCAGCCGGGGCCGATCGAGGGACGGGGCCTCCAGGACGGCGATTTCGTGATGGGTGATCTCCAGGAATCCGACCTTGTCGAGACGGATCGGCCGGCTACGCCACGCGTGACGAAGGATGTGCCCTTACGGGTGGGGAACGAGGGCTATCACCCTGCACTCCACGAGGCCCTCCAGGGCGCCTCCGAAGGAGACACGGTGGTGGCAACGATCAGCTTCGGAAGCGAGTCCCCCGATCCCGAACGGGCCGGACGCTCGATCCGGGCCGCGTTCACGATCAAACAGGCACGGACTCCGGTGCTCCCCCCTCTCGACGATGCCTTCGCGCGGGAAGTCGGGGCGGCGTCGCTGCTGGCCCTTCGCGGCGACATCCGGGACCGGCTGCGGAAGCGGGCGGACCAGAGCGAACGGCGGGACGTCGCGGAGCAACTCGTCGGAGCACTGCGCGAAAAGAACCCGGTGGAACCTCCGGAGCCGCTCGTCGAGAGGGATCTGGACAACCGCGTGAGACTGGTCGCAAACAGCATGATCCAGGGTGGGATGCCCACCGAAAAAGTGCGTTCCGAACTCGAAAAGCACCTCGACACGTTGCGCTCCGAGTGCGAGAAGACGGTCGCTTCAACGATCCTGGTGGACTCGCTGGCCGATCAACAAGGGATCGAGACGACGGAGGAGGCTCTCGAGGAGCGACTCGCGGAGGAAGCCTCAGCCTCCGGCAAGACCCCGGCTGCGCTGCGTGCCGCCATGGAAAAGGACGGCCGGCTGGAGCGGATTCGGACCCAGCTCCGCCGGGACGCCGCAATCGATTTCCTGAGAGAACACGCAGAGCTGACCCCGTCCCAGGAAGAGGGGAGAGGCAAGGGCGACGAGTTCTGACCGAGCGAAGTCGTATGCTGACCGAAGCCTCCAGAACCAAGGATTACCCCGAGGGACGAACACCGTGATTCGAAACCAGATTCTCATTCCGCACGTAATCGAGCAGACCGGGCGTGGGGAACGCGCCTACGACATCTATTCCCGACTGCTCAAGGACAACATCGTCTTTATCGGGCAAGAGATCAGCGATGAACTCGCGAACACCGTGGTCGCCCAACTCCTGTTCCTCGAGTCCGAAGACCCGGAAAAAGAAGTCTCGCTCTACATCAACTGCCCGGGTGGCTCCGTGAGTGCCGGCCTCGCGATCTACGACACACTGCAGTTCATTCGACCGGACGTGACCACCTATTGCCTCGGTCAGGCGTCCAGCATGGGAGCGATCCTGCTCGCCGCCGGAGCCCGCGGAAAGCGATTCGCGCTCCCGAACGCCACGATCATGATCCACCAGCCGCTCGGCGGCGCCCGGGGACAGGCGACGGACATCCAGATCCAGGCCAATGAGATCATGCGGGTCCGCACCCGCCTCACCGAAATCCTCGCCCACCACACCGGCCGTTCGTCGGAAGAGATCGCGCGCGACATCGAACGGGACCACTACATGACCGCGGAGGAAGCGAAGGCCTACGGGGTCGTGGACACCGTCATCGAGCACCGCTAGCAGCGGCGCACTCGCTGGGCCGGCGCGCTCGCTGGGCCGGCGCGCTCGCCGGATGATTTCGGCACGGTCTCGGCTCAGCGGAAAGACCCGCCGGGTGGAGCGGCGGCCGCTTGCATCCTGACCCCAAAACGGGCACACTGACGCGTCACACCGGCGCCTCTTCTGCGCCCGGATTCCATCTGCGAATCGCCCATGAAATCACAAACTGCCGTTAACAGCCTGTGGTGGAACCCGGGTGAGTGCCGAGAGCGGCGAGGCGCCCGGCTGACAAGGCGCGTGAGGGAGGAATACCGGGTGTATTTCGACCGAAACGCAACGCAGAACGGAGCGGAGCGGAGTGGTTCAGCCGGGATGCATCGCCGCTCGAGCCCCCACCGGGAGAACTGGGCCGCCTGGGTTTCACCACAGGCTGTTAAGACGGGGCTCTCGGTCCTGCTCTTGGTGGCGGTCGCCGCTTTCGAAGCGGCGGCTGCGGGTTCTGCCGCTGTCGCAGAGCCCCCGCGCGGGGTCGAGCGCGGGGCAGAAACAGCACCGTCCGACGCCGCGGCGAACCGCGTCGTGCGCAGCACCTGCGTCATGTGCCACAACGATCGGCTCCGGACCGGCAACCTGTCGCTCCAGGAGTTCGACGTGACGAACGCGGCCGAGCATGCCGACGTTGCCGAGGAGATGGTGCGGAAGCTACGGGCTGGCATGATGCCGCCGCCCGGCGCGCGCCGGACGGGTAGCGAGGCGCTCCTGACGCTGGTCGAGACCCTGGAACACCGTCTCGATGAGGCCGCCGCCCTGGCCCCCGACCCGGGCAACCGGCCCTTCCAGCGCCTCAACCGCTCGGAATATGAGCAGGCGATTCGCGACCTGCTCGGGCTCCAGGTGGACGCCGGAAACTGGCTGCCGCTCGATCCGGTGAGCCACAATTTCGACAACATCGCCGAGGCCCAGACGCTGTCGGCGACGCTGCTCGAGGCTTACCTGAATGCGGCCAGCTCCATCAGCCGCCTCGCGGTCGGCCAGCGAAGCGGGAAGGCGGTGGATTCAACCTACACCAACTCGCAGTACCTGTCGCAGCATCCATGGGACCAGGTCGAGGGCGCTCCCTACGGCACCCGGGGCGGGCTGGTGGTGGACCACGTGTTCCCGGTCGATGCCGAGTACACCTTCGGGGTGACCTTCACCTCCGGGTCGAACACCCGCGTCGAGGACGTCGACGTCTCGGTCGACGGTGAGCGGGTCGCGTTGCTGCCCTATGACACCAACCGGATCGTTGGCGCCGACGGCCGGGGGAGCGCGGTTACCGCAACCCAACGCGTCGTCGTTCGGGCCGGGACGCGGCGGATTGCCGCGGCTTTCATCCGGCGCCAGCACGGGCCCTACGAGGACCTGATCCGCCCCCATGCCTGGTCGTACGCCGGAGGCGGCTCGGGCGGCGCGGGCATCACGACGCTCCCGCACGTCCGCGACGTCATCATTACCGGCCCCTACAACCCGACCGGCCTGTCGGATACGACCAGCCGGCACCGCATTTTCACCTGCCGTCCGACCGCTCCCGACGAGGCGCGGCCCTGCGCCGGCCGGATCCTCGCCCAGCTCGGCCGCGAGGCCTACCGGCGGAGCCTCAGCGACGGCGAGGTCGAAGACCTGCTCGGGTTCTTCGATGAGGGCGCGGCCGACGGCGGCTTCGAGGTCGGCGTCCGAACAGCGCTCGAGGCGCTACTCGCGAGCCCGCACTTCGTGCTGCGGCTGGAACGGGAACCGCTGGACGCCCCGGAGCGGGGCTACCGGCTGAGTGACATGGACATCGCCTCGCGGCTCTCGTTCTTCCTGTGGGGGACGCCCCCGGACGACGAGCTCCAGACGCTGGCGGACGAAGGCCTCCTGACGCCGGAGGAACTGGACCGGCAGGCGCTGCGCATGCTTGCCGATCCGCGCGCCGCGGCGCTCGGCCCCCGCTTCGCCGGGCAGTGGTTCCGGCTGCAGGACATGGACAAGGTTCGGCCCGACCCGAACTTCTTCCCCAATTTCGACGAGAACCTGGCGGAGGCGATGCGGAGCGAGACCGAGTTGTTCTTCGCCAACCTGGTTCAGGACGACCGCAGTCTGTTTGACCTTTTCCAGGCTGACTACACGTTCGTCAACGAGCGGCTCGCGCGCCACTACGGCCTACCAGGCGTGGCCGGACGGCACTTCCGGCGCGTCCGCTACCCCGACGATACCCGCCGCGGGATCCTCGGCCACGGGAGCGTGCTCGTACTCACCTCGCTCGCTAACCGCACCTCGCCGGTGCTGCGCGGCAAGTGGGTGATGGAGGTGCTGCTGGGCACTCCGCCTCCCCCGCCGCCGCCCGACATCCCCGCGCTCGAGGACATCGAAGAAGTGGACGAGGGCCGCCGGCTCACCACCCGCGAGCGCCTGGAGATGCACGCCGCCAACCCGAGCTGCAACTCCTGTCACCGGCTGATCGATCCGATCGGACTCGCCCTCGACAACTTCGACGTTACGGGCAAATGGCGCCTGCGCGAGAATGGCGCCCCGCTGGATACGCTGGGCGACTTTTACGACGGCACGCCGGTTTCCTCGCCAAGCGAGTTGGTGGACGCCCTGCTGGTGCGGCCCATCCCGCTGGCGCGCACTTTCACCGAGAACCTGTTGGCCTTCGCGGTCGGCCGGCCGATCGAGGCTTTTGATCAGCCGACCGTCCGCAACATCGTCCGAGAAGCCGAGGCAAATGATTACCGCATGGCCTCGTTCATCATGGGCGTCGTCCGAAGCGACGCCTTCCAGCGCAAGCGGGCAACCGCACGCGCGCTCGACACAGTTGCAGCAAATGAGGAGTAGATCATGTCCCTGATTACCGGAAAGCACCTGCCTCGCCGGACCTTCCTGCGTGGAGTGGGGGCCTCTGTCGCCCTCCCATTCCTGGATGCGATGGCACCAGCCGGCCGCTCGGGCCGCAACGTCGCGGCAGCGGCGGAGGCCAAGGACGTTACCCGCCTCGTTTGCATCGAGGAGGTGCACGGGCTGCCCGGCTGCAACGAGTGGGGCGCCAGCCGTCACCTGTTCGCACCGGCCACGGAGGGGCGCGACTTCGAGCTGCTGCCCGAAAACGCCTTGAAGCCTCTCGAGCCCTTCCAGGACTACCTGACCATCGTCAGCAACACCGACGTGCGGATGGCCGAGGCGTTCACCGGGCCGGAGATCGGCGGAGACCACTTCCGGTCGTCCGCAGTCTTCCTGACCCAGTCCCACCCGAAGCAGACTCAGGGTTCCGACATCTGGTGCGGCACTTCGCTCGACCAGCTCTACGCGCAGCGGTTTGGCCAGGCCACGCCGATGCCGTCGCTACAGCTCTGCATCGAAAACCTGGATCAGGCCGGCGGCTGCACTTACAACTACTCCTGCGCCTATACCGACTCGATCAGTTGGGCGTCGCCGAACGACCCGCTGCCGATGATCCGCGACCCGCGCATTGCCTTCGAGATGCTCTTCGGAGCGGGCAGCACTCCGGAGGAGCGCACCGAGCGCCGGGCTACCCGCCGCAGCATCCTCGACTGGATCCTCAGCGACGTGGCCGAGGTCCGGAACGAACTCGGCAATCTGGACCGCCTCCGGATGGATCGCTATCTCGACCACGTCCGCGAAGTCGAACGGCGCATCCAGATGGTCGAGGGCCACAACGAGAGCGGGGAGGCGCGGGCGTTGCCTGACGCCCCACCCGGTGTGCCCGACTCTTTCTCGGAGCACATGCGGCTCATGTTCGATCTCCAGGTACTCGCGCTGGAGACCGACATGACCCGGGTGGTCTCGTTCAAGACGGGGCGCGATGCCCAGAACCGCTCTTTCCCGGAGAGCGGTACCAACCGGCCCTTCCATCCCGCCTCGCACCACGGGAACAACGAAGAGCGGATCATGGACTTCAACACGATCTGCCAGTACCGCATAGGCCAGCTCCCCTACTTCCTCGAGCAGCTCAAGAACACCACGGAAGGCGGCGTCTCCCTGCTCGACAAGACCGCGATCATCTGGGGTTCGCCGATGGCCGACGCCAACATCCACAACCACCGGCGCGCCCCGCTGGTCATGCTGGGTCGGGCCAACGGGCATCTCACCGGCAACCTTCATGTGAAGGCGCCGGACGAGACGCCGATGGCGAACGCGATGCTCGCGCTGATGCAGTCGCTGGGCCTCGAGATGGATTCCTTCGGCGACAGCAACGGCACCCTTCCGGTGTCGGCGTCGCCGCTGGACACCGACTAGCCGTCCGGACCTCGCGGACAGGGAGAAAGCCAGTGCGCCTGACAGGAACTTCAAGTCGTCTGTGCGCCGTCGCCGCGGCGCTGTTGATCGCCGGCGGCGCGATCTCGGCGCCGCCCGTGGCGGCGCCGGTCGCCGATGCCGCGCGCCTCGGTGACCTCGCTGCGGTACGGGCCCTGCTTGCCCAGGGCGAGGACGCCAACGCCGCCCACGGAGACGGCATGTCGGCCCTCCACTGGGCCGCCGAGCGGGGTGACAAGGAACTCGTCGAAGCGCTGCTGCAGGGCGGCGCCACCGTCGACGCGGCAACCCGCATCGGGAACTACACGCCGCTGCACGTGGCGAGCGCCGCCGGCCAGGCGGAGGTCGTCGCATTGCTGCTTCGGGCGGGAACCGATGCGACGAGCGCCACGAGCACCAGCGGCGCGACGCCGCTGCACCTGGCCGCCAATTCCGGGAGCGTCGCGGCGATCACCGCGCTGATCGACCACGGGGCCGCAGTGGACGCGCGGGAGAAGACGTGGGGACAGACGCCGCTGGTCTTCGCGGCGGCGCGCAACCGCGTGGATGCGATCCGTACGCTGCTGGAGCGCGGGGCGGACCCGGCGGCCACTTCAAAGAAGGTGGACCTGTTGGCCGATTACAAGTTGGCCGAGGCGGCCAAGAAGCGGCAACGGGCCGTGCTGGAAGTATTCGCCGCGGGGGACGCCGAGCCTAGTTCCAGCCAGGTGCAGGCCGCAGTGCTCGCCGCCCGGCAGTCCTACCTTTCCGGGGAACTCCCCGAGGACGACGCGAAGGAGGACGACCCGTTTGCCCGGTTCCGCCGGCCGCAACTGGAGGCCAAGGGCGGCATGACGGCTCTCCTGCACGCGGCTCGGCAGGGGTACCACGACGCCGCGACGGCGCTCCTCGACGGCGACGCCGACATCAATCAGGTCTCGGAAGGGGACGGCACCAGCCCGCTGCTGATGGCCACGATCAATGGGCAGTTCGATCTGGCGCTCCAGCTCCTCGAGCGCGGCGCCGATCCCAATATCGCGGACCACACGAATGGGGTGACCCCGCTATGGGCCGCCGTCAACGCCGAGTGGCAGCCTCGCACCCGGTTTCCGCAACCGCAGGAACACGGTTTCCAGAAGGCGAACTATCTGGACGTGATGCGAGCGCTACTCGATGCCGGCGCGGATCCGAATGTCCGGATCACGAAGCATCCCTGGTACATGGTCTATAGCGGCTGCGGCAACGCCAACTGCGGGCTCGTGAACACCGCGGGCGCGACCGCGTTCTGGCGGGCCGCCTATGCGACCGACGTGCCGGCGATGCGCCTGCTCGCGGAACACGGCGCCGATCCGAACATCCCTACCACGGCGCCGGAGCCGCGTCGGAGGCGGGGCGGTACGACGGCCGTAAACGACGAAAAAAAGGGTTCGCTCTCGGCCCTGCCCGCCGCGCCCGGCCTGTGGATCCCGACCGACTTGACCTCCATGGGACCCGACCCGTCCGGCCTGCCGCCGTACAAGGCCGGGGATCCGGGGGTTTATCCGATCCACGCCGCCTCGGGGGTTGGCTACGGCGAGGGCTTCGCGGGGAATGCGCATCGTCACGTAAAGGACGCCTGGCTGGCGTCAGTCCAGTACCTGGTCGAACTGGGCGCCGACATCAAACAGCGGGACTTCAAGGGCTACAACGCTCTCCACCACGCGGCCGCCCGCGGCGACAACGACCTGATCCTCTATCTGGTCGAGAACGGAGGAGATGTCACCGCCGTGAGCCGGCTCGGCCAGACGACGGCTGACATGGCGAATGGTCCGGTACAGCGGGTCTCGCCGATTCCCGCAACCGTGGCGCTACTGGAGAGCCTGGGCTCGAAGAACAACCACAACTGCGTCTCTTGCTAAGCACGTTCAAGGCAAGGCGCTGGGCGCCGGCCGCGCTTGTGCTGGCCGGCGCCCTTCCGGCGGCGGCCCCGGCGCAGGATGCGCCGGAAGCGGCGCCGTGGACGGAAATGACCCTCGTCGGGGTGGCACCCGGCCAGGTGGACGAGTTCCTGGCGGCGCAGCGCGAATTGTCGGCCCTCGAAAAAGCGGCGGACGTGCCCTGGCGCAGCGTCAGCCGAACCGCGGCGTTTGGCGACACCTACCGCTTTGTGATCATGACGCCGCTCGCCAACTTCGCCCGGCTCGATCAGCCCGGGCGCCCCGATCCTGCTCGCGCGAGCATCGAGAACCGCATCCAGCGCACCGTGACCAGCTACCGGACCTACGCGCTCCGGACGACGCCCGACCTCGACAATCCGCTCCCTGACGACGAGGACCCCGCCCTGACGCTCGTCCAGTTGATCACCGTCGTTCCCGGACGCGAACAGGACTACATTCGGGTCATGGCCGAGGACGTGCTGCCGCACTTCAAGGAAGCGGAGATGCACCACTCCTCCGGCGCCCTGACTTTCGGCGGTGACAGTGGGTATGTCCACTTCTTCCACGTCGGGAACTTCGCCGCGCTCGACCAGGGTTCGCCGCTGGCCCGCGCCCTTGGTGCGGAGGGCGCGCTGAAGATCACTTCGAAGCTCGCGGGCGTCCTGTCGCGTACGGAGCAGTGGCTCGTCCGGTACCTTCCGGACGCCAGCTTCCGGCCGGAAGCGGAATCAAAAGCCGAGAACCGAGACTGATCCGACCGGAGAAGTGTCCCGGGCGGCTTCGATAGCGCTCCTGCGGCGGCGTGTCGTAGCGCGATATGGCGCTACGCAGCCCGGGCCGCGAGTGGATGGCATGAGTTTCGCTGCCCTGGCAGCCCCGCTACAATGGCCGCGGCGTGCCTGGTAAAGGGAAGAGTCGGAACGGCGGTCCCGCCGACAGCCTCAGTTGCTCGTTCTGTAACAAGCAGCAGGGTGCGGTCGGCAAGCTGATCGCCGGACCTGACCGAATTTTCATCTGCGATGAATGCGTCGCGATCTGCAACGACATCATCGCGGACAAGGGCAAGGCCACGACTCAGGGGGCGGACAGCAAACGCCACCTCACGCCGAGCGAAATCAAGAACCGCCTCGACGAGTACGTGGTCGGCCAGGAAGAGGCGAAGAAGAAGCTGGCGGTCGCGGTGTACAACCACTACAAACGGATTCGGCTCACCCGCAACACCCCGCAAGAGGCCGAAGCCGTAGAACTGAGCAAGAGCAATGTGCTCCTGCTCGGGGAGACCGGTACCGGCAAGACGCTGCTCGCTCAGACGCTTGCACGCATCCTGGACGTGCCCTTCACGATCGTGGACGCCACCACGCTCACCGAGGCGGGATATGTCGGGGAAGACGTAGAGAACATCATCCTGAAACTGCTCCAGGCTGCGGACGGAGACATCTCCCGCGCCCAGGAGGGCATCATCTACGTGGACGAGATCGACAAGGTCTGCCGCAAGGACGAAAACCCTTCGATTACCCGGGATGTCTCGGGAGAGGGGGTTCAGCAGGCGCTCCTGAAGATCGTCGAAGGAACGCTTGCCAGCGTTCCACCGCAGGGGGGACGCAAGCATCCCCACCAGGAGTTCCATCATGTGGACACCACGAACATCCTGTTCATCTGCGGCGGCGCTTTCGTGGGTCTTGAATCCATCATCGAGCGCCGCGTCGGAACCAAGGCACTCGGCTTCGCGGCCGAGGTGCCGGAAAGCGCCAAGGCCCGGCGAGAGGCCACCCTCGATCAGCAGCGACCCTCGGATCTGATCCGCTACGGACTGATTCCCGAATTCGTTGGTCGGATGCCCGTTGTCGCGACCCTTCACAGTCTCGGCAAGGCGGAGCTGATCCGGATCATGACCGAGCCGAGGAACGCTATCGTGAAGCAGTATCAGACGCTTCTGCGCGACGAGGAAGTCGAGTTGACGTTCACCGCCGAGGCTCTCGACGCTATTGCCGCCCAGGCCTCCGAGCGCGACCTCGGGGCTCGAGGCCTCCGAATGATCATCGAGAATCTGATGCTGGATCTCATGTATGACCTCCCCTCCCGAAAGCAGGTGCGTGAGGTCGTGATCACCAGGGAATTCGCCACCGGACAGGCTGATCCGGTGACCGTTCTTTCCCAAAAGGCCGGCTGAGCCCGGCCTCGGGCTCGCCGAGCCCTCAGCCCTTCTTTCCGACTCATGCCGAAAGCGCTCCGCGACCGCGCCGTGTTCTCTACCAGCGCCGTCACCCGGGCCGGGTTTCCCCCCCCCGCGCTTCCCGAGGTGTCGTTTGTCGGCAGATCGAACGTCGGGAAGTCGAGTCTTCTGAACCGGCTTGTTGGCCAGCGGGGTCTGGCTCACGTTTCCAAGACACCCGGCCGCACCCGGATGATCAACTTCTTTGAGATCGGCGGGAGTTACCGGCTCGTGGATCTTCCTGGCTATGGCTATGCGCGAGTGCCCGAGGCGCTGCGTGCGGGCTGGGAGGATCTGGTGCTGTCCTACCTGACTGCCAGGGACAGCCTCGTGCTGAATCTTCTCCTCGTTGACTGCAGGCGCGATCCCCTGGAGAACGACCTCAGAGTGCTCGAGCTGCTCATCTTGAGCGAACGCCCGGTGGCGGTCGTGGCCACCAAGGCAGACAAACTCAAGAGCGGCGAGGCCGCCTCGCGCCTGCGGCTGCTTTCTCAGGCGTTCGGCGCCGGCGGACGTTTTCCGGTCGTCGCCTGCTCGAGTGTCGCGAACACAAAGCGGCCCCGAACTCCCGGTCGCGAGGGGGTCGGCCAGATCCAGCGACTGATCGCCGAAAGGGTGAACGCATGGCGCTGAGCTCGGGCGCCGGCACGATCCGGCGCCGCTCCCGCAAGGTCTTTCGGGCCGGTCCCCGGGTACTCGAGCAGACGCCACCTCCGTCCGGGCCAGTGCTCTACACCGCGGAACTGGCGCGGATGAGTCCGCCCGATCTGCAGCAGGTTGCGGCCGATCTCGGAGTCGAGTCTCCCGACGCACTTACCCGGCAGGATCTTCTCTACGGTGTGCTCGGCGCCCACACCAGCCAGGGAGGACGGGTCGTGGCCCAGGGAACCCTGCACCGCCTGGTGGAAGGCTTCGGGTTCCTCCGCTCGCCGATCAACTCCTATCTCCCCGGCCCCAACGACGTCTACGTCTCACCCACGCAGATTCGGCGCTACAACCTCAGAAACGGCGACATGCTGCTCGGAGATGTCCGCAGACCGCGGCGCGGGGAACGGTATTTCGGATTGCGGGACCTCGACATGGTGAACGGCGAGCCGGCGGTGGAGAACCCGGATCGCCCCGAATTCGAATCTCTCACGCCACTTCATCCTGACCGCATCATCCGACTCGAGAACGACTCGGAGAATCTGGCTGCCAGAGTGGTGGATCTCGTGGCGCCCATCGGAGCCGGACAGCGCGGACTCATCGTGGCTCCTCCGCGCGCGGGAAAAACCGTTCTTCTGCAGTCCATCGCGGCCGGAATCCAGCGAAACCATCCGGACATCGAACTGATGGTGCTCCTCGTGGACGAGCGGCCGGAGGAAGTCTCGGACATGGTCAAGAACGTCCAGGGCGAAATCCTGAGTTCGACCTTTGACGAACGAGGAATCCGGCACATCCAGGTCGCCGAAGCGGCGCTCGACCGGGCCAAGCGCAGAGTCGAGTTGGGCAAGGACGTTGTCATCCTGCTCGACTCGTTGACCCGATTGGCGCGGGCCTACAACCACACCAAGGCCTCCGCCCAGGGCAGACTGCTTTCCGGGGGCATGGACGCGACCGCCATCCAGTACCCGAAGAAGTTCTTCGGCGCCGCCCGGAACATCGAACACGGAGGTTCCCTCACCATTCTGGCCACCGCGCTGGTGGACACCGGCAGCCGTATGGACGACCTCGTGTACGAAGAGTTCAAGGGCACCGGGAACATGGAGATCCACCTCGACCAGCGGCTCCTGGAGCAACGCCTTTTCCCCGCAATCGACTTGCATCAGAGCGGAACGCGGCGGGAAGAGCTGCTGCTGTCCCCGGGAGAGCTGCAGCGGATGGTCGTTCTCCGAAGGGTGCTCGCGTCGCTCGACGCGGTGGAGGCGATGGCGCTCGTGATCGAGCGAATGAGACAAACCGCATCCAACGCGGATTTCCTGAGGGCGATGACCGACTCCGGCTGATCGCCCGCGCAACCTTCGCCACCGACTGCCGGCAGCCCGTGGACAAAGTGGTGTGAGCGCCGAGAGCGGCCAGTCCTCCCGGTGGGGGCGAGGCGCCCGGCTGACAAGGCGCGTGAGGGAGGAGCCCCCACCGGGAGAACTGGCCCGGGTGTATTCCGACCGAAACGCAACGATGAGCGGCGCGAAGCGACGCGGTTCAGCCGGGATGGATCGCCGGCCGAGCCCCCACCGGGAGAACTGGGCCGCGCGGGTTTCATCACCGGCTGTTTGGCCGGGATGCATCGCCGGCCGAGCCCCCACCGGGAGAACTGGGCCGCACGGGTTTCATCACCGGCTGTTTGGCCGGGATGCATCGCCGCTCGAGCCCCCACCGGGAGAACTGGGCCGCGTGGGTTTCATCAGCGGTTGTTTGGCCGGGATGCATCGCCGCTCGAGCCCCCACCGGGAGAACTGGGCCGCACAACCTTGTTCACCGGCTGCTATTATTCGCCCCCCTCAAATGCGCGCCGGTATCCACCCCGACTACCAGGAAATCACGGTTACTTGTGCCTGCGGCACCAGTTTCGTGACCCGTTCCACCCGGGGAAGCGATCTTCGGCTCGAAATCTGTTCCGCCTGCCATCCGTTTTTCACCGGAAAACACCGGATCGTGGACTCGACCGGACGGGTTGAACGATTCCGCCAGAAATACGGCGAGGTTCGTTCGCGGCGGGCAGAGCAGACGGGCGCTCAGTCGTAGCAATCCCCCATTCGGGGCCGAGCCATCGCAAAGCCTCCATGTGGGGGTCTGGACGGTCGGTTGCGGGATTCGACCCCGGTTCAAAGGCGCGCCCGCTACCATGACACGGAGCCCGTTCGGGGATCCCGAGTAGCGTCGCGGGGGCATCCCGAGTCCCAACCAACCGGAGCCTCCCAAGAAGAAACGCCATGACCACGAAAACCGCGACCGGAACCGGAACCGCCGGCGCGGGGATCGAAGCCGCGCTCGCCGCCGCCAGGGAGCGGTACCAGGAGGTAACCGAGCGGCTCGCGAACCCCGCGGTCCTCGCGGATCCGGCAGAGCTCAGACGTCTCTCCACCGTTCATTCCGAACTCGAGCCACTCATCGAGGCCGGGAGCCGTCACCGGGAACTCGGCGAGCAGCTCGAAGAAGCGCTCGAGATGGAGCAAGACCCCGATCCGGAAATGGCGGAGTTCGCCGCCGAGGAAGCCACCGAGACCCGCGCCAAACTGGACCGAGTCGCCGACGAGATTCGGCGCCGGCTGCTTCCGAAAGATCCGAACGACGACCGCAACGTGTTGCTCGAAGTGCGGGCCGGCACCGGCGGCGAGGAAGCAGCTCTATTCGCCCGCGAGATCTTCCGGATGTACGAGCAGTACGCAAGGTCCAACGGGTTCCGGGTGGACGTGGTATCCAGTCAGGAATCCCCAGTGGGGGGCGTCAAGGAAATCGTCTCGGTGATCGAGGGCAAGGGCGCTTTCAGCCGGCTCAAGTTCGAAAGCGGCGTGCACCGGGTGCAGCGGGTGCCGGCTACCGAAGCGTCGGGGCGGATTCACACCTCCGCAGTCACCGTAGCCGTGCTCCCGGAGGCGGAAGACGTGGAGATTCAGATCGATGCCAAGGATCTCCGGGTGGACACTTTCTGCTCTTCCGGCCCCGGCGGACAGAGCGTGAACACCACCTACTCCGCGGTGCGCATCACTCACCTCCCCTCCGGTCTCGTGGTCAGTTGCCAGGACGAAAAGTCCCAGATCAAGAACAAGGCGAAGGCGCTCCGGGTGCTGAAATCCCGGCTGCTCGAACTGGCGCGCCAGGAGCAGCAGGACCAGGTTGCCGAGGCGCGGCGCGGACAGGTGGGCCGCGGTGACCGGAGCGAGAAGATCCGAACCTACAACTTCAAGGAAAACCGGATCACCGACCACCGGATCGCGCTCACCCTGCATTCCCTCCCGAACGTTCTGGGAGGAGAGCTCGATTCCCTGATCGAGCCGCTCCACGCCCGCGAACAGGCGGACCGGTTAAAGGCGCTGAACGGCCCGTGACCAAAGTCTCGCGGCCCAGTTCTCCCGGTGGGGGCTCGAGCGGCGATGCATCCCGGCCAAACAGCCTGTGATGAAACCCACGCGGCGTTCGGCCGGCGATCCATCCCGGCTGACCGCGTCGCTTCGCGCCGCTCATCGTTGCGCTTTGGTCGAAAGACACGCGGGCCAGTTCTCCCGGTGGGGGCTCCTCCCTCGCGCGCCTTGTCAGCCGGGCGCCTCGCCCCCACCGGGAGGACTGGCCGCTCTCGGCGCTCACGCCACTGTGCCCACGGGCCGTTAAGCACCTTAAGGCGCTGAACCTCTGAGCGAACGGACGGTCCAAGCGGCACTGGGTGACGGCGCGGAGCGCCTCGCCGCAGCCGGGGTGGCGTCTCCGGGATTTGACGCCGGTCTCCTGCTTCGGACCGCGGCCGGGTGGTCGGCCGCCGAGTTGATCGCGCGGGCGGGGGATCCGCTCTCCCTCCGCGTGAGGCGTGCTTTCGACGAACTGATCGACGAGCGGGCGGCCCGGCGGCCGCTCCAGCATCTCGTCGGCGAGGTCGAATTCTTCGGCCTGACTCTTCGCGCTGGTCCCGGTGCGCTGATCCCCCGCCCGGATACCGAGACTCTCGTGGAAACGGCACTCACCCGGTTCTCGAAGAGCGGCGCTGTCCCACTCCGGATCGCCGATGTGGGCTGTGGGTCAGGAGCCATCTCCCTCGCGCTTGCCTCTCGCCTGCCGGCCGCCCGCATCGTCGCCCTCGACAACGCGCGGGGAGCGCTCGACCTCGCCGCCGGGAACATCCGGAGATGCAACCTGGGCTCACGAATCCAACTGGTAGCGGGCAACCTGTTGACCGCCCTCGCGCCTGGCACCCTGGACGGAGTCGTTGCGAACCTGCCCTATATCCCGGACCGGGAGATCGATCAGCTCGAGCCCGAAGTGCGCGACCACGAACCCCGCGCCGCCCTCGCCGGAGGCGCGGACGGCTTGGATCCGCTCCGTCGGCTGGCGCCAATGGCCGCGTGCGTCCTCCGCTCCGGCGGCCATGTTCTGGTCGAAATCGGCGCCGGCCAACGGGAGCGGGGTACGGCCATCCTCCAGCGAGCCGGCTTCCAAGCCGTGGCGTCGCATCCGGACCTCGCCGGATTTCCGAGGGTGCTGGCCGCCTCGCGACCAGTGCCGACGCAAGGATCGGGCGCGGTTTCGTGGGATAGGATCGAAGCGTGATCTACGTCGTCACGGTTCTCGGATACCTCGGCCTGCTGGTGTTCATCGCGCTCCGGCGGGCGCGGAGCGTCACCACCCAGGACGACTTCATGGTCGCCGGCCGTTCGGTCCCCTGGCAGATCCTGGTCGGGACCCTGGTGTGCACCTGGATTGGCTCCGGGAGCCTCTTCGGCGGCGCCGGCCGGGCATTCCGCGAAGGGTTCTCGGCGCTGTGGATGAGCGCGGGAGCCTGGGTCGGGATCGTGGTGGTCTTCTTTCTTGCGGCCCGGGTTCGGCGCATCGCCGAATACACCGTTCCGGACCTGCTGGAGCGCCGTTACCACCCCGCGGCGCGCCTCCTTGGAACCACCGCAATCGCGATCGCCTATCTCACGATCGCGGGATACCAATTCGTGGGTGGCGGACGGCTGCTCGCCATCCTCTTCCCCGGACTCGACCCCAACGTGGGAATGGCCATCGTCGCGGTCCTGGTTACCCTGTTCGCGGTGAGCGCCGGGATGATCTCCGTGATCAGCCTCGACATGGTGAACGGAATCATCATCATCGTCAGCATCGTCATCGCGGCGCCACTCGCCTTCGCCGGCGCCGGGGGCGTCGAGGGCATCACCAGCGTCCTGCCGGAAACCCACTTCACCCTTACCGGCCGCCTCGGTCTTTCAGCGGCGATCGGCCTCTTCCTGCCCACCATGCTGCTCCTGCTGGGGGAGAGCGGCATGTATCAGAAGTTCTACGCCGCCCGGTCCGGGTCCGCAGCCCGCAAGGCGGTGGTCGGGATGATCGTTGGCGTCATCGTTATCGAAGTGCTGATCGACGCCACCGCGGTCTTCGCGGCCGCCGGCTACTGGGACGATCCGGCCTTCCGGACCGCGGCGGGGTTCAACACCGGAGCCACCGAGACCGTGCTCCTCGAGTTCGCGCGCCAGAAGCTTCCGGTGTTCGCCGGGTGCCTCCTGCTCGCCGGCGCAGTGGCCATCATCTTTTCCACGGCGACCACCTTCCTGCTCGTCCCCTCGACCGGGATGGCCAGGGACATCTACCAACGCTTCCTGCGGCCGGATGCCGACTCCCGAACCGTGATCCGGTTCCAGCGGTTCGCCATGGTGGGCCTATCGGCGCTCGCCCTTGTCATCACTACCCGTTTCGAGAGCATTCTGGACATGGCGCTTTACGCCTACACCATGGTGGGGGCTGCGGTGACCCCCGCGCTGCTCGCGGCATTCCTGTGGCGCCGGGCGAGCCCGATTGGCGGCGTCATTTCCATCTCCGCCGGAATCGTGACCACCCTCATCTTCGGGGTACTGAACTCCGCCGGAGTCGAAAGGGTGCTCTTCCTTCCCACCGACTATGACTACGTGATCTACCCCGCCGCGGCGGCCTCCATCTCGGGGCTGATCGTCGGCAGTCTGCTCACGGCGCCACCGAGGCCTGAACAGTTGGTGGGATTCGTGGAAAGCGGGAGTTCCGATGCCGGAAGCTGAGGTCGCGGTCCTCCGGCGGGGACCCGCCGCCCGGGTGGAGATGCGCTGGCCCGAAAAGCGGAACGCCCTGTCGGTGACCATGATGGACCGGCTGTCGGCGGCGCTTCGGGAGGCGGCCGGGGAAGAAGGCGCACGCGCCATCGTCCTGGCCGGCGCCGGTCCCGCTTTTTCCGCCGGCCACTACCTGCCGGAGATGGTGGGGGCAAGTCCCGAGGAACAGCGCCAGGTCTTTCTCGCGTGCTCGGCTCTCATGGAGACCATTCGCGTCCTGCCTTTGCCGGTGATCGCGGAGGTGCGCGGCATCGCAACCGCCGCCGGATGTCAACTGGTTGCGGCCTGCGATCTGGCGGTCGCCGCCGAGACCGCCCGCTTCGCTACCCCGGGGGTCCGCATCGGGCTCTTCTGCTCCACTCCGATGGTTCCAGTGAGCCGTGCCGTCGGCCGCAAGCGCGCCATGGAGATGTTGCTCACCGGGGATTTCGTGGACGCCCCGACGGCGCTGGATTGGGGGCTCGTGAACCGGGTGGTTCCGGAGGACCGGTTGGAAGCGGAGAGCCAGACGTTCGTGGAACGGATTGCCGAGGCAAGTCCCTTCGTGGTCGCCCTCGGGAAGCGCGCGTTCCACCGGCAGGCCGGCCTCAGCGTGGAAGACGCCTACGCCCAGATGTCCGAAGTCATGTGCGGTAACGCGGTCGAACCCGACGCCCAGGAAGGGATGCGCGCCTTCCTCGAGAAACGGCGGCCTCGCTGGACGCAAGGCGCGTCCTGAACTGACTGACGGACGGGAATCCGGCCCGGATTACCTGGCTCTCGGCCGCAGCCGGTAAGCGGCGGCGCGGCCTTTCCGGTGCAAACGGACGACCTCGTAGTCGCTTTCGAACAGTGCGGTCAGAGCTTCACGGCTCTTCAGCCTCCAGTCCATGGCAAGGTCGATGTCCGCTCGCATGACCGCGTTGAAGTCGCTCGGGATGCCGAAGAGGACGTCGCTCCCCCCTGCCTTGTCCGGTGGCACTGCGAAGTCGGCCATTTCCGGCAGCCCACTCGCCCGGAACGCGATCCGGTTGGCCCACGGCAGGTCCGGGATTCCAGGCGGCGGGACCAGCTCTCCCCGGCGGGCTTGGGCCACCCGCTCGGAGTCGAGCTGCCAGTCCGGCTCGAGTCGATCGGTCGGAATCCCGCCATGGAGAGGGCTCTTGCTCTCCCCGTATACGTTCAGGCGGTACACCGAAGACACGCACCCCAGATGGTTGATATTCAGGTTCGCGTTCCGCGCCTGGAGCGGATCGAAGGTCCAGTTCATCCGGCGAATTCCCTGGGCGAGCACCCGGTCGGCCTGCGCCCACTTGAGCGCGAGCCCGATCCCGGCACCTTGGTACTCCGGCCGCACCGCGAGCATGTGGGAATGATGGAACGGCTCCCCTGCCCCGCAGCCAGGAAAACCGCACACGAACCCCGCCATCCGCTCTTCTACAAACGCTCCGGCGGTGACGGCGCCGTAGTGGCCCATGACGGCGATGAGCCCCGCGGGCACGACATCGAGGTCCACGAAGCCCCACACCTCTTTCTGGATCGCCTCGCACTCCTTCATATCGGCCATACCGGCGAGGTCGCGGATCGCGAGGTTCATGGGGGCGTCGGGAGGAAGGGGCCGCAAGTGTAAGGAAGAAGCGACCGGATCGCGCCATCCAACCGGAGGCGGGGGCGGCCGCTCCCGGCAGGCGACCCGGCGGTGCTCGCTAGAATCCGGGCTCGTTGACCGACCTCCTGCGAGGGCGCCGTCCCCAGCTGTTCGCCCTCTTCGCGGGGATTCTGATAGCCGACCGGATCACGAAAGTCCTCGCGGAGCGCTCGCTCTCGATGGGAAACCCGGTGGAAGTGATCCCCGGGTTCTTCCAGCTCACGCTGGTGCATAACACCGGAATGGCGTTCGGGCTGCTCGGCGGCGTTGCCTTTCCCGGGAAGGCGTGGCTGCTCACCGCGGTTTCAGCCGGACTGCTGATCGCGATCGTGTGGTTCGCGTGGCGCGCCGGACCCCTTTCGATGATGACCGTGGTCGGGATCGTCGCGATGCTGTCGGGTGCCGTCGGCAACATCCTGGACCGGGTTCTCTATGGATACGTGGTGGACTTCCTCGACCTGTATATCGGCAGCGCCCATTGGCCCGCCTTCAACATCGCGGACGCGATGATCTGCACCGGGGTCGGCCTGCTCGTGCTCGAGAGCGTTCGGGATCTTCGCCGGGAATCCGCGGGCACGGGCCAGGAAGACCTGAGCGGCTGAGAAAATGTTTCCCCGTCTGGCGGACTTCGGGTCCTTCGAGTTCCTGGGGCGGACCTTCCACCCGATCCTCCACACCTACGGGATCCTCATGTTCGCCGGGTTTCTGCTCGGCCTCTACGTGGCGGCGAAACGCGCCCCGCGCTACGGCATCCAGCCGCAGAACATCTACGACCTCGGGCTCTACCTGGTGATCGGGGCGCTGGTCGGCGCCAAGGTGCTCCTGATCCTGCTGGATCCGGCGCGATTCCTGGCCAATCCCTGGGGTTTCCTCACCGCCGGGGGCGTCTTCTTCGGCGGCCTCCTGGGAGCGGTCGGGGCCACCATCTGGTTCTTCCGGAAGCGCGGGATCCCCGTCTGGCACGGCGGGGACCTCATGGCGCCCTCGATCGCGCTCGGGCACGGAATCGGCAGGCTCGGGTGCTTTGCCGCGGGTTGCTGCTACGGGATCCCGGCGGAAGGCCTGCCGTCCGTCACGTTCACGGACGTGTACGCAAACTCGGTTACCGGGGTTCCGCTCCACACCCCGCTCCACCCGACCCAGCTCTACGAAGCGGGCATCGAGTTCGCGCTCTTCTTCTTTCTGTTGTGGCTTGCGCCCCGCCGCCGGTTCGCGGGCCAGCTCTTCGTAACCTGGGCGCTCGTCTATCCGATCGCCCGCTTCATCGTCGAGTTCTACCGGGGCGACCCCCGCGGGTTCGTCTTCGACGGGCTGCTCAGCACCTCGCAGTTCGTCGGGATCTGGATCGTCGCGGCGGCCGCGATCTCTCTCCTTGTCCTCCGAAGACGTACCGCCTGAAGCGCCGGGATCCGCCGGCGAGACGATTCTCGAATTCGAGGTCGGCGAAGCCGGTGATGGCCAGCGGCTCGACCTGATCGCCTCGGAGCACCTCCCCGACATCAGCCGCAGCGAGGCGGGGCGCTGGGTGCAGGCGGGATTTGTACGGCTCGACGGTCGGGCCCGGCGTCCGGGTCAGCGCTGCCGCGCCGGCCAGCGAGTGCGCATCGCGGCGCCGGGCGACGGGCGCAGCCCGCTGTTCGGCGCACCGGGCGAGCAGGATCCGCTGTCACCAGAGCCCGTACCGCTCGAAATCCTCCATGAAGACGCCTGGCTGGTTGTCGTCGACAAACCGGCGGGACTCGTGGTGCATCCGGGGCCGGGCCACCACGGGGGCACGCTCGCCAACGGGCTGATCCACCACTACCCCGAGATCCGGAGGGTCGGCCCGCCCGGACGCCCCGGGCTCGTGCACCGGCTCGACCGCGGGACGAGCGGAGTCCTGATTGCCGCCCGCACCGAACCGGTTCGGCTCCGGCTCGCGGAGGCCTTCGCAGAGCGGCGGGTAGAAAAGCAATACCTGGCCTTGGTAATGGGTCGTTTCGGTGAACACCGACAGATCGCCGAGCCCATCGGACGCGACCCGAAGAACGGGCAGCGCTACCGCTGCCGGGGAAGGCACGCGCGAGAGGCCGAGACCGAGGCCTGGCCCCTGGAAGAGCTCCCCCTCAGCACCTTCGTCGGTATTCGCCTGCACACCGGCCGCACCCACCAGGCCCGCGTCCACCTGGCCCACGTCGGCTACCCCATCGCCGGCGACGTGATGTACGGGCCCGGGGCCCCCCGCCGCGGAGGCGGACAGGCGGGAGCCGCTCTTCGCCGCCTCGAGCGCCCCGCCCTTCACGCCGCCGAGATCGCCTTCACCCATCCCGGCACGGGGGAGCCGGTCCGGTTTCGGACGCCGCTCGCGGAGGACTTCGGGATGACGCTGGCCGCACTTCGCGCAGCAACGGCGTGACGGCGGGCGAGAGCGCGTCATTGGACAAACCCCTCCTCCCTCCCCCATTCGCCCCATCCGTCGCATAGGATTCGCGCGGTCAGCGGCAAGCATGGACACGGTTCTCGGAAGCCAGGAATTCCGGGAGGCGCTTTCCCGGCTCGGGGATCTGGTGGCAGCCGGAGCTCCCGACCCGCTTGCCATTCTCGGGGTCCGGCGGCGGGGCGTCCCGCTCGCAGCGCGGATTCGCCGCCACCTCGAGGACTCCGGGCGCAGGGACATCCCGGCGGGTGAGCTGGACATCAATCTCTACCGCGACGATGTCCACGACCGCGGCATCCCCCGGGTGGGCGAAACGCGCATTCCTTTTGCCCTTGAACAGCACCACATCCTGCTGGTGGACGACGTGCTGTTCACCGGACGGACGGTCCGGGCGGCGCTCACCGCCCTCAGCAATTTCGGCCGGCCAAAGAGCGTTCGGCTCGCCGTGATGGTGGACCGGGGCGGCAGGGAACTGCCCATCGCACCCGATTTCGTGGGGCTGTACGTTGAAGCCGGTCGCGGCGACATGGTCCGCGTTCGGGTTCAGGAGGAGGACGGCGAAGACGGAGTCGTCACGATCCCGCGGGGGGAGGTTGCCGAGTGAGGCATCTCCTCGGAATCCGCGGACTCACCCCCGAAGAGGCGCTGGGCATTCTCGACGAGGCGCCTCGTTACCAGGACGTGGCCAACCAGCCGGTGCCGCGCGTCCCGATCCTCATGGGCCGCACCGTCACGCACCTCTTCATGGAGCCTTCGACGCGCACCCAGGCGTCATTCCAGCTTGCCGCCAAACGGCTCTCGGCGGAACCCCTCGCTTTCGTCCCCAAGTTCTCCTCGTTGTCGAAGGGAGAAACCTTCCTCGACACCGCCCGAACTCTTGCCTCAATGGCGCCCGATATTGTCGTGGTCCGTAGCCGGGAATCGGGAGCCTCCCACGTGCTGGCGCGCGAGATTCCAACGGCGCAGATCGTCAATGCGGGGGACGGGATCAGCGAACATCCCACGCAGGCCCTGCTGGACGCGTTCACCATTCGCGAGCGCCTCGGACGAATCGCCGGCGTCCGGGTAACAATCATCGGCGACCTGCTCCACAGCCGGGTATTCCGATCGAACGCCCGCCTGCTGACGATGTTGGGGGCCGAGGTGCGGTGCTGCGGGCCGCCGACGCTCGTCCCTCCCGGCCTCGACCGGCTCGGGGTCCGGTCGCTGCTTCACATCGCGGAGGCCCTCGAAGGCGCCGAGGCGGTCATGGTGCTCCGCATCCAGCACGAGCGAATGCACGCTTCCTACATCCCGACGGAACGCGAGTACTACCGGGAGTTCGGCGTCACCAGCGAACGACTCGCCCTGACCGATAGCGCCATCGTGCTGCACCCGGGGCCGCTCAACCGGGGCGTCGAAATCTCCTCCGAGGTCGCGGACGGCCCGCAATCGGTGATCTTGGACCAGGTGCGCAACGGGGTGGCGGTCCGGATGGCGGTGCTCGCGGAAATCGCCCGCAGCAGTCCCAGGAGTCACAAGACCGATGGCTGAGCGTCCGGTGATCCTGCGAGGCGCCCGGGTTGTCGATCCGGTAGCCGGGCTTGACGCGGTCAGGGACCTGCGGCTTGTCGAGGGACGAATCGCCGCCGTCGGTGAGGGGATCCGCGAACCGGGGGACCGCGTCGTGGACGTGGCAGGACTGGTGGCGGCGCCCGGGTTTTGCGACATGCACGTCCACTTCCGGGAGCCGGGACTCGAATACAAGGAGACGGTAGCGAGCGGAGCGGCAGCCGCGGTCGCCGGTGGTTTCACGGCGGTGGCATGCATGGCGAACACCGACCCGGTGAACGACAGCCCTTCCGTTACCGCGCACATTCGCCAGCTCGCGAAACAGGCTGGCCTGGCCCGGGTCCATCCGATCGCCGCCACCACCCAGGGAATGAAGGGGGAACGGATTTCCGAGTTCGGCGCCCTCAAGGAGGCCGGCGCGGTGGCGGTCTCCGATGACGGCCTCCCGGTGGGCGATCCGGCGGTGATGCGGCGAGCCCTCGAGTACTCGAGGCTGCACGACCTGCCGGTGATCGAACACTGCGAGACGCTGGAACTGACCGGTGAGGGCGCCATGCGCGAAGGCGCCTACGCCGCCCAGATCGGCCTTCCCGGGATCCCGGCGGCGTCGGAGTTCATCGCCGTCGAGCGGAACATCGCACTCGCGGAGATCACCGGCGCCCGTCTCCACATCGCTCACCTCTCGACCGCCCGCTCGGCCGCCGCGGTGCGCCGGGCCAAAGCCGCCGGAATCCGGGTCACCGCCGAGGTGACGCCGCACCACCTGATCCTGACGGACGAGGCAGTGGGCGACTACGACACCGCGGCCAAGATGAAACCGCCGCTCGCCGCGGAGGCGGACCGCGAGGCGCTCCTGACCGCCATCGCCGACGGCACGGCGGACGCCATCGCCACGGACCACGCACCCCACCACGAGGACGAGAAGAAACTCTGTTTCCAGAGCGCCCCCTTCGGGATCGTCGGACTCGAAACGGCGGTGCCGCTGGTTCTCGAGCGCCTCGTGGCGTCGGGCATCATTCCCCTCGCCCAGGCAGTCCGACTTCTTTCGACCGGCCCGCGCCGGATTCTCGGTCTGCCCGGCGGCGATCTCCGACCCGGAAGCCCGGCAGACATCACGCTCCTCGATCTCGAGGCCACCAGCACCATCAACCCGGCCTCTTTCCGGAGCCGCGGCAGAAGCACTCCGTTCGCGGGACTCTCCCTCCGGGGGCAGGTCGTTGCGACCTGGGTCGGCGGCCGGGAGGTTTATTCGCAAAGCGCCAACCGCTGATCGGCCGTGGCGAAACTCTGCTGGCGCCAGCCCGGGGCGCGGATCCCCTCGGGAACGGTGTCGGGCGCTTTTTCCGCAGGCTGCTAATGCCGCCGCGCGGCTGGGAGGATGCCGTCGAGAGCGTCTTCTCGAGGCACGGCGCCGGCAGCCTCAGTTCCGATCCGCTCCAGTTTCCCCGCCGCTTCCAGCGGCGCGACGACCAGGAAATCGCGGCGCTGATCGCTGCTTCGCTGTCGTACGGAAATGCTCGGGCCGTCTGCTCTTCGCTGGAGCGCGTATTCGCCTGGACCGGCCCGCGTCCCGCCCGTTTCGTGCGCGATTTCGACCCGAGCCGCCACGCTGCCGACCTCGGCGGGTTTCGGCATCGCTGGACGAGCGCAGCAGACCTCGTCCGCCTCGCGGTCATACTGCAACGCATCCTGGACGAGCACGGGACGGTGGAGACTCTTTTCCAAAAGGGCATCGTCCGCAAGCCCCGCGGACAGGTGGACCTCGGCGCCAGCATCGGGCGCTTTCGGGGGACCGCACTCGGCTACGACGCGCCCTCTTCGGAGATTCCCGAGGTCCGCATCCGGCCCGGTCATCGATACTTCTTCCCGGATCCGCGGTCCTCTGCCGCCAAGCGGACGGCGATGTTCCTGCGGTGGGTGGTCCGTCCGGAGGACGGCCTCGACCTGGGGCTCTGGGACTGCCTCCAGCCACGGGATCTGGTGGCGCCGCTCGACACCCACATGTTCCTGATCGCTCACCGGCTTCGGCTGACACAAAGAAAAACCCCGGGCTGGCAGGCGGCGCTGGATCTGACCAGGGGTCTTCGCCGGTTGGACCCGGAGGATCCGGTGAAGTACGACTTCGCCCTCAGCCGGCTGGGAATCGTGGAGGGCTGCCCGCGGCACCGCCGGAGCGATCCGTGCGAGTTGTGCGCGCTGCTGGCGCGCCGGCCGGGGAGAAAGCGATCTCGCGCCGGCGCCGCCAACCAATAGCCGCGCGCGTTTCGCCCCCCTTCGGGGGCAATGCCGGTCCCCTCGGGATGGGCGGACCGGATCTCCCTGCCCCTACCGCACCGTCACCCGGGAGCGCTCGGCCAAAGTCCCCTGCGCGCGCTCTACCGCCACGATGGCCTTGTTGTAGTCGATGATCGCCTGCAGCTCGTTCGCCCGGGCCTGAGCGAGGTCGCGCTGGGCCTGAACGATGAAATAGCTGGTGGTCATCCCGACCTCGAACTTCTTCTGCTCCGCATCGAGGCGCTCTTCCTCCAGCCCGCGGGCGACCCGGCTGGCATCGATCCGTCTCCGGTTGGTCTGCACTTGCCGCACCGCCGTGCGGACTTCCTGGGCGATCTGGATTTCCTGCTGCCGGATCGTTTCGCGCTGCCGGGTGACATCGGTCTGCGCCCGGGCCTGGTCCGCGTGGGCCTGATTGGGCCCGATGGGATAGGAGAAGGAGAGACCCAGTTGCCAGTCGCGGAAGTCAAACCCGCCCATCTGGGAGAGCGCATCCGCGTACCCCCCGGGAATCGTCTCGACCGCGGGCCCGAAGAACCCCTCCCGCACCAGTTCAGTCCCGCCGACTCCGGTGAGCTGGACGAGGCCCACCAGGTCCACCTGGGGGAGGGTCTGGTTGCGGAAGAACCGGACGTCGTATTCATTGCTGTCGAGCTGGACGCGCTGGGAGCGCACCTCGGGACGGCGCTGCAGCGCCACCCGGATTGCGTCATCGAAGTTCACCTCGTAATCCTCGACGGAGGGCGCGTCCAGCGGCCGGATTTCGTCATCCCAGAATCCGGGGCCGTCCGGGTCGCGGATCAGCGCCTTCAGAGCGTCTTCGGTCTGGCGGATCTGCTCTTCGGCAATGATGAGCGCCTCCTCGCGGGCCGCCACCTCGGCCTCCGCCTGCAGCACGTCGATGGGCGCCATCGTCCCCACTTCCACTTGCACCTGGTTGTTCCGTAGCAGATCGCGCGCGAGGTCGAGCGACTGCACCTCCACCTCGTAGATCCGGATCGCGAAGACGAGATCCCAGTAGGCGTTCTGAACGTCCCGCAGTACATCGAGCACACTCCGTTCAAAGTCGTGCCCGGCCTGACGCTCCCCGTTTTGGGAAACCGTGATCTGCCGCCGCTGCGGGTCGGCGCGGAAGTTCTGGAGCAGCGGCTGGGTGACCTCGGCGTTCAACGTGCTCAGGTAGCGCGGGTTGAAGGTGGAGAAGGCGCTGTTCGTGGCGAAGCGGTTGTTGTTGAACTGGACCGAATAGTTGGCCCCGAAGGGAAGCTGCTGCTGGAACCGCAGGTTGTAGTTCATCGTGTCGCGCTCGTTCTGGTCCGCGCCGTCCAACTGGGTTTGCGAGGGCGACAGGCTCTCCTGGAGGTTCGTCTCCAGCACCAGACTGGGGGTGTACACCCGCCGGGCCGCCGAGAGCGCGAAGCCGGAAGACTGCCGGGCCAACCGCGAAATCTGAACGCTCAGGTTGTTCTCGAGCGCCTGCTGGACGGCGTCGTCGAGGCTCAGCTCGAGCGGCGCCTGCTGGCCGCTGCCGCCCTCCTCGGAAGGACCGGCGAAGGCCATGCCGGCGAGGCCCAGCGAAAGGACAAGAATTGCGGTGGTGGTGCGCATGGGTTGTCTCCTGCGGAAAGAACGGGGGAGCGGCCCGGCGAGGATCTCATCTACAAGACGCGCCCAGCCCGAATTTTCTACGGTCGTTCCATGAATACGAACCTGCCCCTCGTGGGGTTTCCCCACTGAGGCCGGAACGCACGATGGGGTCACCGGTTCGCGTCCGATTGGATCTCGCGTACGACGGGACGGACTTCGCCGGCTGGCAGCACCAACCGGACCGGGACACCATACAGCGCCGGATCGAGGCAGCGGCACGCCGACTCTACCGGCTGGCCCCGAACGAAAGGACACCCGTGGTCGGTGCGGGGAGGACTGACGCGGGAGTCCACGCCGAGCGACAGGTGGCCCACTTCGACGCCCCTTTGGTGATTCCGCCCGCCGGGATTCGGGCGGGTTTGAATGGCCTGCTCCCGGACTCGATTCGAGTCCTCGCCGCCGCCGAGACCGCACCGGACTTCCACGCCCGCTTCGATGCAACCGGCAAGACCTATCGATATCACCTGCTCACCGAACCGGTGGTCACTCCGCTTCAGACCCGGTACGCCTGGCCCGTGGGGGACAGGCTCTCCCGGGAGGCCATGGAAGAGGCCGCCGCCGCCCTCGTCGGCCGCCACGACTTCCGGGCATTTTTTGCTGCTCCACCCGGGGAAGAGCCACGGACCCCGGTTCGGAACATCTTCACGGCGAGCTTCGGCCAAAGAGAGAACATGTTGGTCTTCGAGGTCGCAGCGGACGGATTCCTGCGCTACATGGTTCGCCGGATGGTCGGAACCCTGGTGGCGGTCGGGCGGGGGCAGCTTCCTCCGGATCGGGTGGGTGCGTTACTCCGCGACCCGGAGCTGCCGGGCCCCCGGTTCCGGGCGCCCGCCGCCGGACTCCGGCTCTACCGCGTTCACTACGACGGCAGCGCCTCAGGAAAGCGCCACTCGCAACGCGCGGGCTGATAGGCATTTCGGGCGGAGGCTTCCGCCGTGCGGGCGCCCGCGTGACTTTGTCCACAGGCTGCTAAATTGGCTGGTCCGTGCCCGGGAGTTCCGCGACCTTCGACATCGCTCCCGAGGAGGAAACCGCCGAGCTCCTCGCGCGGATTGATCGCACCCGGCTGCCGCTTCATGTGGCGGCCATCATGGACGGCAACGGGCGCTGGGCTGCCGCCCGGGGACTCCAGCGAGTGGAGGGACACGCGGCCGGGGTGGAGTCGGTCCGGGACACCGTGGAAGGTGCCGCCGGTCTCGGACTCGGGGCCCTCACCATGTTCGCCTTTTCCATCGAGAACTGGAGCCGGCCGCCCGAGGAGGTCGAGGTGCTCATGGAGCTGGTCAAGCGGTACCTCCGACTCGAAACCGAGCATCTGATCGCCAACGACATCCGGTTCCGGCCGATCGGCCGATTGAGTGAGTTGCCTGCCGATGTCCAGATCTTGCTGCAGGAGACCTCCGAGGCCACCGCGAACTGCCAGGGGCTCAGCCTCAACATCGCCCTGAACTACGGGGGCCGGGCGGAGATCGTGGATGCGGCCCGGCGGATCGCGGAACGGGCGGCGCGCGAGGGCAGAGTGCCCGATTTCGACGAGCAAACCTTCGGCGAATATCTCTACACCCGGGGCCTTCCCGATCCGGACCTCCTGATCCGCACCAGCGGCGAGGTGCGGGTCTCCAATTTCCTCCTCTTCCAGAGCGCCTACACGGAGTTTTGGACGACGCCCACTCTCTGGCCGGATTTCCGGCGGCGGCACCTCTTCGAGGCCATCCTCGCCTACCAGCGCCGCAGCCGGAGATACGGCGGTATCTGACAGCCCGTGGACCGAGCGCTCCGCGCCGCAAGATTGACGGCGGCTGACCTTTCGCAACGCTGAGGATTCCCGGGGGGTGACGTGCGGCGAGTGATCAGCGCGACGGTGGTCGCCGCGGGCGTGCTGGCTCTTTGCCTGCTCGTGCCTCCCTGGGTTCGCCAGGCCGCCATCCTGGTGGCCGCGGTCTATGCCTGCCGTGAGGCGGTTCGAATGGCGGGAGCGATCGGCGCGCCCGGGAACGGGTCCGGGGAGCCCGAAGAAGGGGAAATCCCGACCTCGGGCCTGGTTGTGACGGTCGTGTTGATGCTGCTCGTGGCCGGTTTCGGGATTTCCAGCGGCCCGAGCGCGGTGCCGATGGCGGCGATGACCATCCTGGCCGTCTTTGCCTTCACGCTCTCAGCGACCCCGCGGGCGCTGGGCTGGCTCGGGGCGATCGTGCTGGCGGCCCTGTGGATCGGTCTTCCGGCGGCCGCGTTGCTCAGCCTGAGCTCCGGCGAGGGCGGCGGCCGGGTCCTGCTCTTCCTGCTCGCCACGGTGATGGTCGGGGAGGCCGGCGCTTTGTCGGGGGGAAGCTCATTGGTGGACCCCGGCTCGCGTCCTCGCTGAGCCCGGGCAAGACGTGGGCCGGGCTAGTCGCGCAATTGGTGTTCGGCGCCGCCGCCGGGGCGGCGGCGATCCCGCTGCTGTCCCCGGAAACTCGGCCTCCCGGTCGGCGCCGCGCTCGGAGCCTGGCTCTCGGCGGCGGCAGCCCTCGGTGATCTCTTTGAGTCTTTCTGGAAGCGCGCCGCCGGACGAAAGGACAGCGGGCGCATCATCCCCGGACACGGCGGCCTGCTCGACCGGGTTGACGGGGTGCTGTTCGCCGCGCTCGCCTACGCGGCGGCAACGGTGTTCGCTCCCCTGTGAGGGAGGGACGAAGACGGGTCCCGGAGAGGGCACCAGCCTGTGGTGGAACCCGGGTGAGCGCCGAGAGCGGGGAGGCCCAGTTCTCCCGGTGGGGCCAGTTCTCCCGGTGGGGGCCCGGCTGACAAGGCGCGTGAGGGAGGAGCCCCCACCGGGAGAACTGGCCCGAGTGTATTTCGACCGAAACGCAACGCCGAGCGCCGCAAAGCGGCGCGGTTCAGCCGGGATGCATCGCCGCTCGAGCCCCCACCGGGAGAACTGGGCCGCCTGGGTTTCATCACAGGCTGGTCAAAGCCCAGCCGCCATCCCAGCGGTCTGAGGTCAGGGCGTCGGCGGAGGCGGCGGCGAGGCGCCGAAAGTGGATCCCAGCAGTCCGGTCTTCGAGAGATCCAGGTAGATCACCAGCACGAAGACCAGCAACATGAAGGCGGCGCCCGCGACCATCAGCCCCTTCCGCACTCCGAGGCTGAGATCGCGACGGGCCGCCGATTCCACGAGCAGCACGGCGATCTGCCCACCGTCGAGGACAGGAATCGGCAGCAGGTTGAGCACTCCAAGGCTCAGGCTCAGGATCGCCATGAGCAACAGTACTTCCGTGGGACCGCGTCGGATGGCGTCGCCGGACGCCTGCGCGATCCCGATAGGGCCCGAGAACTGGCGTGGTGAGCCCTGCCCCCGAACGACGCGGCCGAGCTGGCCGACAGTGAGGCTTCCCCAGCGCGCGGTCTCGGCGACCGCTTCCCGTAGCGCGTCCGGGATCGATTCCGCCCTCACTGTGCGGAAGGGCAGCCGAAAGTACACACCGACCTGGGGAGAAGCTTCGCCGCCTTCCGGATTCTCAGCGAGCTGCGGCGTGACCGGAACAACGATTTCCCTGCCGGCTCGCTCGATTCCAAGGGAGATCTCCCGGGTCCCGGCGGAGCGCACGAACGCCGCCACCTCGTTGGTACTTCCCACCCGGATGTCGTCCACCCGAACGATGAGATCGTCCGGACGAATGCCGGCCGCCTCCGCGGGGCTGCCGGGTTTGACTGCATTGATGATTGGCGGCGCGGGAGGTCCGATCCCCGCGTAGCCCATCGCGTCGGGCCCCACGGAAGCCACCGTGACCGGGAACTGCGTGGGCGTTCCAGCTCGCTCCACCGCGAAAACGACCTCCTGGTCCGGCCGGACGATGATCTGCTCCATCGCGGTGCGCCAGTCGGGAACCGGCTCCCCGGCAATCGCCACGATCCGGTCTCCGGCCCGAACACCGGCAACGCTGGCCGGAGATCCCTCGGCAACGTAGGAAACGACCGGGGGATCGGAAAGGCCCACCCGCCGCTCCATCCCAAAATAGAAAAGCCCCGACAGGATGGCCACCGCCAGCACGAAATTCATGGCCGGGCCGGCGAAGAGGATGGCGAGGCGTTCGCCGCGGGTCCGATTCTGGAGTTCGGCAGGGTCGCTCCCGCCCTGCCCCGGCGCGTCTCCTGCCATCTTGACGTAGCCGCCGAGCGGCAGCAGCCCGATGGTCCATTCGGTATCACCCACCCGTCGGCGGTAGATGTTGGGAGGGAATCCGATCGAGAAGGTCTCCACGCGGACTCCGATGAAGCGCGCCGCGAGGAAGTGGCCGAACTCGTGGACGACGACGAGCGTGCCCACCACGAGCACGAAAGCGAGGATGGTGAGCATGGCCAGGAACTAACCGGTAGCCGCCAGCGCCCGATCGGCGATGAGTTCCCGGGCGAAAGCGCGTGCCCAGGCATCGGCCCGGGCGACTCCTTCGAGGTCGTTCGGTTCTGTCGGCGAACGCGCGGCCAGCGTCTCCGCGACGACCGCGGGGATCCCGGGAAACGAAAGCCGGCGGTCCAGAAAAGCCTCCACCGCGGCCTCGTTCGCCGCGTTCAATACCGCGGGCGCGTCACCTCCCGCAGCCAGCGCCTCGGCGGCGAGGCGGAGGCACGGAAAGCGATCCGGGTCGGGAGGTTCAAAGCGGAGATCGAGTGGCTGATCGAGCGGCAGTGGGGCGAGGCCGGTCGGAAGGCGCTCGGGCCAGGTAAGCGCATATTGCACCGGCGTGCGCATGTGGGTAACCCCGAGCTGGGCGAGGATCGAACCGTCCTCGAACTCGACCATGGAGTGCACGACGGACTGCGGATGCACGACTACCCGAATTGACTCCGGCGGCTGATTGAAGAGCCAGCGAGCCTCGATCATCTCAAGGCCCTTGTTCATCATGGTGGCGGAATCGATGGTGATCTTGGGCCCCATCCGCCACGTCGGATGACGGAGCGCGGTTTCCGGAGTCGCTTCGGCGATCTCGAGGCTCGAGGCGGTCCGGAACGGACCACCGGAAGCCGTCAGCCAGATGCGGCGGACGGGATCGTACCGGTCGGCGAGGCACTGGTGAATCGCCGCGTGCTCGCTATCCACGGGGATGAGCCGCGCCCCGGACGTTGCGGCGGCGCGGGTCATCACGGCCCCCGCGGCCACCAGGGATTCCTTGTTGGCGAGACCCACCACCTTCCCACTCCGGAGCGCGGCCAGCGTCGGCCGAAGCCCGGCCGCGCCCACGATAGCCGACATGACGAATCCCGCATCCGGGAGGGTGGCTACCCGCTCAAGGGCCGAGGGTCCACCCTCAATTTCCAGGCCCGGCAGCCGGCACCGATAGGCGCCCTCGAATTTTTCCGCCTCTTCCTCACCACTGAGCGCCACCAGGTCCGGCCGATAGCGCTCGCACAGGGATGCCAACCGCTCCGTCGAGCGGCCGGCGGCGAGCCCGGCAACCCGAAGCCGCTCGGGAAACCGGTCCACCACCTCGAGGGTCGTGGAACCGATCGAACCCGTCGCTCCCAGGATGGAGATGCCGCGGATTTCCGGGCTCATCGTTTCGTAGTCACCAGTGGCAGGTCTGTTTTCCGTCGGCTCGCCGATTGTAGAGCGGCGAGGAAGTCCACACCGCCGGGTGGCGTCCGCGTTGTGAGGCCTCGCTGACCCTTTCCGGACACCTGGCCGCCGTCGCCGCTTAACATTCGTGGCCGCCACATGAAGATTGAACAACTCACCATCCGGGAACTCCGGCTCGATCTGAAGTACCCGTTCGAGACCAGCTTCGCGCGCGTCACCGCGCAGCAGTTCCTCCTGCTGGAAGCTCGGGTGGATGGCGTCAGCGGCCATTCCGAGTGCGTCGCCGACAGCGAGCCGGGTTATTCCTACGAGACCGTCCGGACCGCCGATCACGTGATCCGTGATTTCCTCTGGCCGCTGGCCGCCGCGAGCGACTACGCGCATCCGGACGAGGTCGCCCCCTCCTTCGCCCGCGTGCGAGGTCACAACATGGCCAAAGCCGCGATCGAGATGGCCGTCTGGGACGCCTTTGCGCGCCTCAAGGGCAAACCGCTCGCGGGCGTCCTGGGAGGAACCCGCTCACGGACGGTCTCCGGGGTCTCGATCGGCATCCAGGACACCGTGGAGCAGCTCATCGAGAAGATCGGTCTCGAACTCTCCCGCGGCTATCGGCGGATCAAGATCAAGATCAAGCCGGGTTGGGACCTCGAAGTCGTGAAGCGAGTGCGGGAGCGCTATCCCGACATTCCGCTCATGGTGGACGCGAACAGCGCCTACACCCTCGAGGACGAGCCGCTCTTCCGGGATCTCGATCGCTTCGGGCTGATGATGATCGAGCAGCCGCTCGCACACGATGACATCCGGGACCACGCCATCCTCCAGCGCAAGATCTCGACGCCGATCTGTCTCGACGAATCGGTGCATTCCGTCGCGGACGCGCGCCTGGCGATCGAGATGGGGGCGTGCCGCATCATCAACATCAAGGCGGGGCGGGTCGGAGGACTGAGCTCGGCGCGGGACATCGCCGCCCTGGCCGAAAGTCACGGGATGCCGGTGTGGTGCGGCGGGATGTTGGAGAGCGGCGTCGGCAGGGCCCACAACATCCATCTCTCCTCGCTGTCCGGCTTCTCGATGCCGGGGGATGTGGCGGCCTCCGAGCGCTACTTCACCGAGGAAATCATCGAGCCCCCAGTAACCGTGGATCCCGACGGTTCGCTCCCGATACCCGAGGGCGAGGGCATCGGGTTCGCGCTTCGGGAAGACGTCATCCGCCGCCACACCCTTTGCGAGACCACGCTTTCCCACTGATCCGCCGATCCCCGGGGCGACGGTCCCGGCGGGCAGCGCTGCGCTTGCTCGTCCTTCTGGCTCTGTCTCCGGTCCTCGGTCAGGCCTCTTCCGCGCAGGGCACCCACGAGGAACAGCAGGCTCCCGCACCGCCGGTCCTTCCTACTCCCGAGCGCCTCGCCCGCGTGCTCTCCCTCGAGGACGCGCGATCCTTCGGCGACGGATGGCTCCGTGACCGGGTTTACGACCCCGACCCCGAGGTCAGGCGCCGGGCGGTGCTGGCCCTCGGACGTATCGGCCGCCCGGACGCCGTCGAACCCCTGGTCGCCGCCCTCACCGCCGACGCAGCGGGCGCCGTTCGCTCCACCGCGGCTTTCGCACTGGGCATCGTCGAAGACCCGTTACCGGAGGAGGCGGTCTCGGCGCTGGAGGCGGCGCTGCTGGACGCCTCCGGACGAGTTCGCGAAAAGGCGATCGAAGCGCTCGGCCGGCGTGGCGGAGAACGGGCCGGCGAAATCGTTACCGGCCACCTTGCCGAGCTGGTGGAGACCTCCGGCTACTCCGACCGGCGCGAGGACATGGAGGCGTTCCGCCGGCGCACCTCCTGGGACGAAGCCAGACTTGGACTCTTCGCGCTGGCCCGAATCCGGGACGACGGGGGAGACCCCGGTGACACTGCCGCAATCCTCGGTCGCGACGGATCGCCACGGACGCTCTGGTGGCCTTCTGCCTGGACCGCGGCCCGTCTCCGGGATCCCGCTCTCGTGTCGCTGCATCGCGCCTACGCCGGCTCACCGGACCCGGTCATCCGGGCACTCGGCGTTCGCGGCCTCGGCTCGACGGGGCTGGCAGTGGCCGACGACCTCACCCCTGAGCTCAGCCACCCGAGCGATACGGTAAGGATCGAAGCGATGCGCGCCATCCGCGCGCTGGCGGAGGCCGACTTGCCGGTAGGGCCCACGACCGCGGCGAGGCTGTTTTCGGCGCTCGACGACGCGGTTCCGGCAATCCGGCGCGAGGCCCTCGTGGGGCTGGCCAATGTGCGCCACCCGGAAGTAATGGATGCCCTGATCCAGCGGCTGCAATCTCCCGATCCAGAGGTGCGCGCCGGCGCCCTCCGAGCCATTTACCCGCAGGACGAGGAGGGGTTCTTCCTGCTGCTCTCGGGGTGGTCGGATCGCGACCCCGTCGGGAAAATCGCCATGGCCCGGCGGCTCCTTGAGATTCGGGATGCGCGCATCCGCAATTTCCTGCTGCGGAACCTGCTCACCGATGAAGATCCCAGCGTGCGTGCGGTCGCGCTCGCCGGGCTCGGCGAACTCGAGGAAGCCCTGAGGAGTGCCGGAGAGGGCAGCCCCGATGTGGTCGCGACCCTCGCCCGGCACCTGCAAGCCGAGGATCCCTACGAGCGTGCCGCGGCGGCGTCCGCCCTGGGGCGCCTCGAGACCGGGGGCGGGAGGCTCCGGGAGGCATATGCGGCCGACACCGCGGCAATCCCCGACTTCCGGCTGGCCGCCCTGCGTGCGGGACTGGCCCAGGGGTCGGAAAACGACCGGATCGAGTTTGCCAGACAAGCCCTGGCCGACCCGGCCTGGCCGGTCCGCCGCGATGCTCATGAGTTCCTCCGGCGCTCCGGCGAAGCGCCGGAAGAACCAGCCGCGGCCGAAACTCTCGACTCCGCCGACTACCGGGCCATGCTGCAGGCCCCCTTCAGCCCGTTGGCGTGGATCGAGACCGCACGCGGGGAGATCGAGATCGAACTTTTCATCGGCGATGCTCCCCGGACGGTCTCCAACTTCATTCGTCTCGCTCGCGAAGGCTTCTACGACGGGCTGCGCTTTCACCGGGTGGTACCGAACTTCGTCCTGCAGGCAGGGGACCCGCGGGGCGACTCCTCCGGAGGTCCCGGCTACACGATCCGTTGCGAGATCGGCGAAGGCTTCTACATGCGGGGAAGCGTCGGCATGGCTCTGGACGGCAAGGACACCGGCGGCAGTCAGTTCTTCATCACCCTGCTTCCCCAGCCGCACCTCAACGGCCGTTACACGCTGTTCGGGCACGTCCGGGACGGATTCGCGGTTCTCGATCAGATCGAGCCGGGAGACCGGATCCGGCGCATTCGCATCTGGGACGGCATTACCCCGCCCCACTAGCCGCCCGTGGGAAAAGCACCGCGTATCGCACCGACGACGCCGGACAGGCACGAGCCAACTCTCGCCGCCGGCGGCTAGCAGGCCGTGGACGACGTTACGCGCCCCGGTTCTCCCGGTGGCGGCTCGACCGGGGGCAACGCAACCGGCTCAGCGCCCCGTTTCGGACTCCTCGCCGTTGACCTCGACGGCACCCTGTTGAACTCGCAGAAGGAGATCTCCGAACCTGACCGGGCGGCGCTCGCCCGCGCGGAAGAAGCGGGCGTGGCGGTCGCGTTTATCTCAGGCCGGCGCTACGCGGAACTGGAAATCCTGACTGCGACCCTTTCCGAGGCCGCTTTCCGGGTGGGGCACGGAGGCGCGTTGATCCGCCGGTTCGGCCGGACCATTGCGGAGATCCCCCTTCCGAAAGCGGCGGCGGAGCGAGCGGTCCGCACTGCACTGCGCCTGGAAATTCCTGCCCTGATCAGCGAGCGGGACGGCACCGTGCGGATCACGGCCCATTCGCCGGCAGCGCCCCGGGTCGCCCGTTACCTCAGAACCGTCCGCCCAACGCCCCGCTTCGACCCCGCTCCGACGTTTTCGGAGGATCCCCTGCACCTCGTGATCGCCGGCACCCCCGAGGCCTGCCGCGAAGCCGAGCGGGACCTTTTGGAATCGCTTGGTGATTCGGTCAACCTCGAGCGCACCGAATACGCCGCCACCCGTCTCGGTCTGCTGGACGTTCTGGCAGGCACGGCCAACAAGGGAACCGCACTGGAACGGGTGGCCCGGGAAGCCGGTTTTCCGCTCAGCGCTACGCTCGCGATCGGAGACAACTGGAACGATCTGGAGATGCTCGAAGCCGCGGGGGTGGGAGTTCTCATGGAAAACGCCGAACCGGAGCTGAAGGCTCGAGGCTTCGAGATCACCTCGTCAAACGACGCGCACGGGGTGGCAGCCGCGATCGACCGGCTACTCCTGAACAGCCCGTGCTGAAACCCATGCGGCCCAGTTCTCCCGGTGGGGGCTCGAGCGGCGATCCCCAGTTCTCCCGGTGGGGGCCCCGGCTGAACAGCCGGTGGCGGAACCACGCGGCGTTCGGCCGGCGATCCATCCCGCCTGAACCGCGCCGCTTTGCGGCGCTCTGCGTTGCGTTTCGGTCGAAATACATTCGGGCCAGTTCTCCCGGTGGGGGCTCCTCCCTCACGCGCCTTGTCAGCCGGGCGCCTCCCCGGCCTCGGCGCTCACGCGGGTTCCGCCACCGGCTGTTCACCACTCCGCTTCGCGTCGTTCAACGTTGCGCTTCGGTCGAAATACAGATCTCGGCGCTCACCTTGGTTCCACCAGGGGCTGTTGACCGGTGAGCTTCCAGATCCTCCAAAGAAGCGGGGGAGCCCGGCTGGGACGGCTCGTCACCGCCCACGGCCCGGTGGATACGCCCACCTTCATGCCGGTTGCGACCGGAGGCGCGATCCGGGGGCTGACCAGCGGCGGAGTGATCGCTACCGGAACGCGCATCCTGCTAAGCAACGCTTGGCATCTGATGTTGCAGCCGGGAGACGAAAGGATCGCCACGCTCGGCGGCCTGCACCGCCTGATGGCCTGGGATCGGCCGATCCTCACCGACAGCGGCGGCTACCAGGTGGCAAGCCTGGAGAACCTCCGCAAGGTTTCGGAGACCGGAGTGCATCTGCGCTCCTATCGGGACGGGTCGCCCCACGACCTGACTCCGGAGCGGGCGATCGAGATCCAGCGGAACCTCGGATCCGACATCGCGATGGTGCTTGACGAATGCCTCTCCCTGCCCGCCCCGCCGGAAGAGGTTGAACGAGCGGCGGCCCGCAGCCTCCGGTGGGCGGAGCGCTCGCTCGTGCCGCAGCGGGCCCCGGGCCAACTCCTTTTCGGGATCGTCCAGGGCGGGACCCTGGCGGACGTGAGGCGGGACAACGCCCGGGCCCTCGTGTCCCTCGGCCCCCCTGGGGAAGGCTTCGACGGATTCGGAATCGGCGGGCTGTTGATGGGAGAAGCGGGCGAAGACACCCGCCGGATGACGGCGCTTTCCGCCGAAGTGCTCGGAGAAGAGCGACCTCGGTACCTCATGGGGGCTGGACTCCCAGCGGACCTGATCGAATCCGCCGGGCTCGGTATGGATCTCTTCGACAGCGTGATTCCTACGCGGCTTGCTCGTCGGGGCATCGTCTTCACTTCGACCGGCCGGCTGAACGTTTCGCGGGCTCCGTACCGGGACGATGTCGCTCCGCTCGATGAGGAGTGCGAGTGCCTGGCCTGCCGTGACTACTGCCGCGCCTGGTTGCACCACCTGCTTCGAGCCAAGGAGCGAATTGCCGCCACCCTGCTCAGCGCCCACAACCTCACGTTCTACGCGGGACTCATGGCACGGTTGCGCGAGGCGATCGCCGCGGACTGCTTCTCCGACTTCCACGAAGAGAACCGCCACCGCTGGAGGTCTGCCGGCAGCCCTGGCTAGGTGGAAAGAGGCTCGCCCCCTTTCGCAAGAAAGTAACGACGCATCGCGACTCGCCGCCGCGCGCCGGAGGCGCGCAAGGGAGTTGCGATGCCCGACGCGAAGCGCCGGGCGGTTCCCGGGCGGGGCCCCAACCGGAACTGCATTCACGGTCCGGACCAACCATGCCTCATGGCCCCGTCCGGAAACCGCTCAACGTGGCTCGACGTGGTATCCTGCCGCGCGGTTCGGTGCCCGGCCCGCTCTCCCTAGGGGGATGCGGGTTTTTTCACATCAGCGCATCGTAGAAACGGATTCTGGCCATGCTCCCCACACTGCTCCAGGCGGACCCGGGCGGCAGCCCGTTCGGCATGCAGATCGTCCTGTTCGCCGTCATCTTCGGAATCTTCTACTTCATCGTCTTTCGTCCCATGCGCAAACGCCAACGGGAAACGGAACAGATGTTGCGGAGCCTCGAACGCGGCGCCCGGGTCGTCACCAGCGGCGGGATTCACGGGACCATCGCCGGAATCCAGGGCGACATCGTGCAGCTAAAGGTCACCGAATCGGTCAAGCTCCAAGTTTCGAAGAGCGCGGTCGCCGGCGTGATCGACAAGAAGCACTGATCGGCTCGGCGGCGGTTCCACCAGCGAGAGAATGGCCAGAAGTCTTCGCCTCAAAGGGGTCCTGCTCCTTCTGCTGGTCGCGGGGCTCGTATATGTGATCAACCCGCCCCGGGACAGGATCGTGCTGGGGCTGGATCTCCAGGGCGGCATCCATCTCGTCATGCGGGTGCATACCGAGGACGCGGTGCGGGTCCTGACCGACGAGACTGCCGAGCAGTTCGCGGAACGCCTCGACAACGAGGAGATCGACTTCGCAGACGTGGAGACGGAGGGACTCGGACAACTCACCATCCTGAATCTGGACGATTCCCGCCTCCGCGAGGTCCGGGACATCGTCGCCTTCAGTTGGCCGGGCTGGGATCTCCGCAGCGCCGGCGGCGGCGACTGGTCGTTCAGCCTGCGCCCCAGCGAAGAAATCGTGGTCCGCGAACAGACCGTGTCCCAGGCGATGGAGACCATCCGGCGGCGCGTCGACGAGTTGGGTGTCGCGGAACCGGTGATCACGACCCACGGGAACACCGGCGACCAGATCCTGGTGCAGTTGCCCGGCTACGAGGACGTCGCGCGGGCAAAGGAGATCATCCAGGCAACGGCCCAACTGGAACTCCGGCTCGTGCAAGCGGGGCCGGCGATCGACCAAGCGGTGCTGCCGCCGCTGAGCAGCGCGCTGGAGAACATCCCGACGGAACTGCCGACCGGCGCTATCGGCTACTACCAAGTGAACCGGGTCGCCGCCATCACCGGCCGTGATCTCAGAAACGCCCGGCAGGCGATCGACTTCCAAACGAATACGCCCAATGTGGAGTTCAGCCTGCATGCCGAGGGAGCTTCCCGGTTCCGCGAGTTCACGGGCGCCAACGTGGGCCGTCAGATGGCGATCGTCCTCGATGACCTTGTTGTCTCGGCTCCCGTCATCCAGAGCCCGATCTACGACCAGGGCCAGATCACCGGAAATTTCACGGTCGATGAGGCGGTCGATCTCGCGCTCGTCCTGCGCGCCGGAGCGCTACCGGCATCTCTCGAGTACCAGGAGGAACGCACCGTAGGACCCTCCCTCGGCGCGGACTCGATCCGGAGCGGCGTGACCGCTTCGCTGGTGGGTCTGGCCGGCGTCTTGCTGTTCATCCTCTTCTACTACCGGCTCTCCGGGGTGAACGCCGTCACCGCCCTGGTCCTGAACCTCCTCATCCTGCTCGGGGCGATGGCCTACTTCGCAGCCACGCTGACGCTTCCCGGGATCGCCGGGGTCATCCTGACGATCGGTATGGGAGTGGACGCAAACGTCCTCATCTTCGAGCGGATCAAGGAGGAGATGCGGACCGGCAAGCCCCCGCGCACCGCGATCTCGGTCGGGTTCTCCCGCGTCTTCTGGACGATCGTGGACGCGAACATGACCAGCCTGGTGGCCGCGGCGATCCTCTTCCAGTTCGGCACCGGACCGGTCCAGGGATTCGCGGTGACCCTCAGCATCGGACTCATCAGCAACGTCTTCACCGCCATGTTCGTTTCGCGCTACATCTTCGACCTGGTGCTCTCCGGACGGCGCCAGGTCCCGGCGCTCAGCATTTAGCAACCCCCTGATGGACATCCTCGGCGACACCCGGATCAACTGGATCAAGTATCGGTGGTGGTTCGCCGCAGTCTCCCTCGTAGTGGTTGCCGCGGGGGTTTTGGACATCATCCGGAAGGACGGGCTCCGGTACGGCATCGACTTCTCCGAAGGCACCATGGTGGTAGCCAAGTTCGCCGAGTCTCCGGAAATCGATGCCGTACGGGAGACCGTCGGCGCGCTCGGGTACGGAAGCGCCGTGATCCAGAGCTACGACCGGCCCGAGATGAACCAGGTCATGATCCGGGTCGAAAAAGAGCCAACGGACGAGCCCATGGCGGGGCAGGATCCGGGCGACGCGGCGCAGCCGGCACCCGAGGTTGGAATCGACGAGACGGCCAACCGCATTCTCGAAGCGCTCCGCGCTGGAGCCGCGGGAGAACTGGTATCCGTGAGCACCGAGATCGTGGGGCCGGTGGTCGGCGAAGAACTCCGGCGGCGGGCGCGGAATGCCACCATCTTGGCGCTCTTCGCGATGCTCATCTACATCGGCTTCCGATTCGAGCCGGTGTACGGGGTCGGCGCCACCATCGCGGTCATCCACGACGTCCTCGTAACGCTGGCTCTCGTTTCCCTCTTCGACTACGAGATCAGTCTGAACGTGATCGCCGCTTTCATGACACTCGTGGGTTACTCGGTCAACGACACGATCGTCATCTTCGATCGGATCCGCGAAAACCGTCATATCCACCGCCGACTGGGGCTCCCGGAGATCGTGAACCTGGCAATTAACCAGACACTCCGGCGCACCATCCTCACGTCAGGACTCACCCTGCTCGCGGTAGGGGCGCTGTTCGTCTGGGGCGGCGAGGTGCTCCGTGCTTTCTCCTTCGTGCTGGTAGCCGGGGTCGTCGTGGGCACCTACTCCTCGATCGCCATCGCTTCGCCGATTGTCCTGTGGTGGCGCTCGGTACGGGGCGGCACGGCGGCGACCGCGGAACAGCAACGGCCCCAGGCGCCTCCGGTCAGGGTCTGATTTTCCCGGCGCTCAACGCCGGGAATCGACGCTGCCGAGCCGCGGATGCGCGCGGGTTAGCAGCCTGTGGCAAAACCCACGCGGCCCAGTTCTCCCGGTGGGGGCTCGACCGGCGATCCCCAGTTCTCCCGGTGGGGGCCCCGGCTGAACCACTCCGCTTCGCTGCGTTCTGCGTTGCGTTTCGGTCGAAATACACCCGGGCCAGTTCTCCCGGTGGGGGCTCCTCCCTCACGCGCCTTGTCAGCCGGGCGCCTCGCCCCCACCGGGAGGACTGGCCAGCCTCGGCGCTCACGTGGGTTTCACCACAGGCTGCTAGCGGCCGGTAGACGAAGTCACGCGGCGTTCCCGAGTCAAGAGGGATCGGGGCCGGGTGTCCCGGCCCACGATCCCTCTCGCTCCGGGAACGACCAGCGATGCAGCCCGGCTGAACCACCCCCCAACCGGGAGAAATGGCGCTTCGCTCCGGGCGGCGCTTCGGTCGAATCCACAGGCCGCTAGACTCGCGCGGCGAGGTTCTTGCTAGGTGCCGTCTGGACTTTCCAGAGGAAGACCACGGATTCGCCTTGGCATGCCGGACACCCCGTCGCCCGGCTTCGGGATTTCCCTGCCCCTCGGATTGTCGCTGCACGGCGCTTTCCTGGTGCTACTGCTGTATCCCTCCTTCGCGGTACACCAGGACGAGCTACCGACGATCGACGCGTACCGGATCCGCCTCTTCGCGCCTCCGGCGGCGGCACTCCGCCAGGGGGATCCCATGGCGCGACCGGATCCCGAGGACCTGGCAAATACGGCTCGGGACACATCCCGAAGCCGACTCGCTGCCCCCCTCGCTCGCGCCGATCTGCTCCGGGTGCTCGAGGCGGCGGAGATACCCACGACGTTCGGGGCCGAGAACGGCATTCCCGAGGGACTCTGGGACGGGTTGGAGTTCGGCAAACCGGAAGGTGTAGTCGGCGGCATTCCCGGTGGGGTTCAAGGTGGCCAGATCGGTGGCCTGCGCGAGGAGGCCGATCCGGTGCTCCCGCCCCCGGACGAGCCACCCGTCGCGCTTTCCATGCCGCGCCCCCGCTTCCCGAAGGAGGCGCTCCGAAACGGGATCCGCGGGCGCGTGGTGCTGCGAGCCCTGATAACGGAACGCGGGACGGTCGAGGTCCTGCGGATCCTGCGGTCCATACCAGGACTCGATGCGGAAGCCATCAGGGTCGTAGAGTCGGAGTGGAGATTCCGCGCGGCCAAACGAAACGGCCGGCCGGTGGCCTCGCTCGGTGATCTGGTGGTTCGCTTCTCGCTGCGCTAACAGCCTGTGGTGGAACCCGGGTGAGCGCCGAGAGCGGGGAGGCGCCCGGCTGACAAGGCGCGTGAGGGAGGAGCCCCCACCGGGAGAACTGGGTGGGCCGCCTGGGTTTCACCACAGGCTGTTAAACCCTGCAGCCTCGCGGACCAACTGCGCAGCCCGGTTCTCCCGCCAAAAGGGGCTCGGTACTCGCTTGACTCCACCCACCGGGTGCCCGAGCAAACGAGCACGGCGCACCTCGCCCGGCGAGCGAAACGCCAGCCCCCTGAGTGGTCCGTTATGGCATCTATTCTCTGTTGACATACCGGGGGCCGAGTGCTACTTTCTCCACCTTCCCCAGCAGCTTGGCAAGTCGCCTGCCGTTCTGTACGGCCTCCGGAGATGGTGGCTCACCGGGCTGTTCTCCGCTTCCGAGGACGGGCTGGATTCGGGGAGAAGGAGATCAACGTGGCAAAGTCGACAAGAGAACCAACATTCCGAGTGGCGGGAATGGACGGGGGCACCGGGCGTTCCCTCGGCAGCTTCGCCTTCTCCTTCCTGCTTCAGGGGGGCGCCGTGCTGGCGTTCATCGTCATCCCCATCCTGACAATCAACCTCCCGACCCCCGAGGGCATCATGACCTTCATGGCGGCGGCGCCGCCACCGCCACCGCCGCCGCCACCGCCGCCACCGAAGGCCCAGCGGCGAGCTGCCCCGAAGCCAGTGCTCAACACCACACCCCAATTCGTGGCTCCCGTGGACATTCCGGATGACATCGGTGACGGCGCTGTGGACTTTGGTGTTCCCGGTGGTGTCGAGGGCGGAGTCCCCGGTGGAATCATCGGCGGAATCGTCGGCGGCCTGCCATCCGGACCGCCGCCCCCGCCGCCCAAGGCCGCTCCCGTCCGCGTGGGTGGAGAAATCCGCGAGCCGACCCGCACGGTGTACGTACAGCCGATATATCCCGAAATCGCCAAGCAGGCGCGGGTTTCCGGCGTGGTGATCCTCGAGGCCATCATCGATCCGAACGGCAATGTGACAAATATTTCCGTGCTCCGCTCGATTTCCACTCCTCGACCAATCGGCGATGGATGCCGTGCGGCAGTGGAGATACCAACCCACCCTGCTCAACGGAGTGCCGGTCCCCATCGTCATGACCGTAACTGTGACGTTCAACCTTGGCTGACGCCCGTCGGGAACGGTTGTCCGGAAAGCCAATTTCCTGACCCACAACAATCACTACGACTTTTTTCAAGGCAGATTTCGCCCTGCCCCGCATTCGGATTGACCAGATCGCAGCGAATCGCTTCGTACCGACCCTCAACCCGATCCGGGGCGGCGAAACCCCACCACTTTTCCCCTAGATCCCAGGAGGATTAACGGAATGTCTTTTGACCTGCTTGAGATCTGGTCCCACATGGGGCCAGCCGCAAAGCTCATCAACGGCGTGATGGCCATCATGTCGGTTTACTCGCTCTCGATCATGATCGAGCGCTGGCTGACGTACCAGAAAGCCAAGGGCCAGTCGCGCAGCTACTCCGTGCGCATCGCCAAGGAGCTCAAGGCGGGCAACATCGATACCGCCATCAAGGTGAGCAAGGACAAGGAGGTCAGGAACAGCCACCTCGCCAAAGTGCTGCTCGCCGGGGCTTCAGGAAATCCAGTACCAGACAGAGGAAGGCGGCGCGGACAAGGACACGACGATGGAGGCCGCCCACCGGGCCATCCAGCGGGCCACCGCCATCAGCTCGATGGACCTGCGGCGCAACCTCTCCGGACTCGCCACCGTGGGCGCCACCGCCCCCTTCGTGGGTCTGCTGGGAACCGTGCTCGGCATCATCACCGCGTTCCGCGGGATGGCACTGACCGGGTCCGGCGGAATCGGAGCGGTGTCGGCCGGAATCGCGGAGGCGCTTATCGCGACCGCGTTCGGGCTCTTCGTTGCCATTCCGGCCGTGTGGGCGTTCAACTACCTCACGAACCGGGCGGACGGCTTCGGCGTCGAGATGGACAACGGCGCCTCCGAACTGATCGACTTCATGGCGCGCCGCTAACGCGGATCGCCGGAGTCCCCCTTCATGCCTCCCTGCTGGCGCCACTGCCCCAAGGCCTCTTCCGGCTATCGGGCGGCGGTGTCGGCGGGCCTCATTCCGCTGATGCCCGGAGCAGACGCGGACAGGGAAACCAAGGAGTAACGCGTCATGGGAATGGCAAATCTTGGTAACAAGGACGTCAACGCCAACATCAACGTGACCCCCCTCGCGGATGTCATGCTGGTGTTGCTCATCATCTTCATGGTCGTGACGCCGCTTCTGCAGAAGGGAGTGGACGTCAAGCTTCCGATGCCGATTACGGACTCGACCACCCCGATAGCGACGACGTTGTGAACGTCGCTATCCGCGAGGATGGGGCGATCTATCTCGACCTCATCTCCACCACGCAGCAGGACCTGCCTACCGCCCTTGTCGCGAAGTTCGCAGGCAAGTCGGAGAAGGTTCTCTTCCTGAAGGCTGACGAGCGGCTCGCGTACCACGAGGTGCTCGGCATCATGTCGCTCTGCCGCGATGGCGGGGCCGAAGAGATCGGCCTCATCACCGAACGGGCGGAAGAGCAGTAACCCTCAACGGGTCAACACCCGGGAGAAAACATCATGGGAATGGCAGGATTCGCCAAAGGCGGAGTCACTTCCGACATCAACATCACACCGCTCATCGACGTGCTCCTGGTAATCCTCATTATCTTCATGATCGTGACGCCGCTCACCCAGCAGGGTCACGACGTGGAGATGCCGGACAACCAGGATCAGGTCATCGATGCCGAGCCCGATCCGAACCAACTCGTGCTGAGTATCGACTCGAGCAGACAGGTAACCATCAACAAACAGGTCGTCGCGCGGGAGGAACTCCCCCTGCGCATCCGCGACATCTTCGAGACCCGCGCCGACAAGACAATCTTTTTGAAAGCTGACCCCTTCCTGACCTACGGAGACGTGGTCGAGGTCTTGGACATCGTGAAGGGGAACGGCGCCGAACGCGTGGGGATCGTCGCCCAATAGCCGCTCGCCGCTCGCGCAGCCAGGGAAGATCACCAGAGGAGATCACACGCCGTGAACGACAAACAGAAAAAGGTCGCCCGCATCTCGGGCGGAGTCGCTTTGGCGCTCGTCATCGGGATCGCGGTGTCCCCGATTCCCGCGTGGTTCGGCAACTACGTCGACATGCTGCAGGCCATGCGGGCCTTCGGTAAGGCCAACGAGGCCTACGGCAGGAGGGAATACGAGGACGCGATCCGGTATTACGCCGAGGCTACCGCGAGCGCGCCGGATGACAACCCGCTCATCCAGACCACGCTGCGCTTCTTCAGCGCGAGCAGCCACCATCTGCTCTATAGCCCGAACACTTTCGACGATCCAGCGAACGAGGATTATCTCGACGCCGCACTCGACGGTTACGAGGACACCCTCGACGTAGTCGAAACCGCGCTCGCGGACCCGAACCTCGACGAAGCGTCGAGGGAGGGCATCGGGGTTTACGAACGCTACGCCTCCGAACAGCTCGCCGGAATCCACCGTGACCACCTCGACGACCTCGAGGGGGGGCGGAGCGCTACTTCAATCGCCTGATCGAACTCGATCCGGAGACTCCGGAGCGCTACTACGGGTTGGCCGACGTGTACGAGCGGTATCACGATCCCGACACGAATCCGCTCCTCGACAAAGCCATCGCCGCCTACCAGGTTCCCGTCGAGATGAAACCCGACGATCCGATCGGCTACCGGCAGGTCGCCAACCTGCTCAACAAGTACGGCCGTTTCGACGAGACGATGGAATGGCTCGGACGGGCTCGGGACGTGAACCCCGCTAACCCCGAGGGCTACTACCTCATCGCGACCTACTACTGGGACAAGGTCTACCGCGACCCCGACCTGACCGAGCGGGAGCGTCGCGAATTCATCGACTTGGGGATAGAGCAGCTCGACCTGGCCCTCGAGCGGAACGACGAATACGTGGACGCGCTGGTCTACAAGAACCTGCTCCTGCGGGAGTTGGCCAAGGTGGATCCCCCGCAACGCGTCGGCTCTCGTTGCCGAGGCCGACGAATACCGGAGCCGAGCGATCGCTATCCGCGATCGGCTGGCGGTGGCAGCGGCCGCAGCCGCTGCTGCCGCTGCGGAAGCCGCCGCGCAGCGCTAGACAGCGGAGCATCGATAGAGTTCAGGCCCCCGTCGGCCGCGCGCTTCGGCCGCGGCCGGCGGGGGTTTTTTGACTCCAATCCGGGAACGAATCTCCAGGAGGCCGGCAGCAGCCGCAGATTTGGCGAAATCTCTCCAACCCAATTGGGGCGGTTGCGCCGTTAGCCCGGATTTCTCATACGCACGGCCCGAAGCGCACCCCAGGGAACCGCAACCTGGTGACGAGGAAGACGGTTACACGAGAAGCGTGGATCCCGACCGACCTGACGGCGTGTCGGATGGGGGACACCGACTTCCAGCTCGTTGCTGTGAAAGAGCAGGTCTCACAGGTACGCCACCATGCCAGATGGCGCCGCCGGTCAGGGAGCCCCCACCGGGAGAACTGGGCCGATCTCTGGCCAGTTCTCCCGTTGGGGGCCGGCACAGTGGTCCGCAGGGCCGCGGGCGGTTCATTGCCGTCCGCCTTCACGGGGCACAGGCATGGGGCCCGCAGCGCTGCGAACGGTGTCTGCCATTCCAATGTACGGATCACGCCGAACGCTGGGATTCCCGCCGAGAAGGAACCACCTCGGAACTGGGGGTCCTTCCCGCCGCCCGCCTTCGGCGGGCTGTGCCGACCGGAGGTCGGCCCAGTTCTCCCGGTGGGGGCTCCCTTGCCTGCGCGTCGCTCCGCCTGGTGGCATGGGCGCCATGCGCCAGTTCAGCGTCCGCGTGGCGCCTTCTGCGACTCGGCGAGCGCTCCCGAGGTCGAGAAATGCGGGTTAGCAGCCTGTGAACAAAGTCATGTGGCCCAGTTCTCCCGGTGGGGGCTCGAGTGGCGATGCATCCCGGCTGGTCCCCACCTGGAGAACTGGCCGCCCCGCTCCGCGTTGCTCATCGTTGCGCTTTGGTCGAAATACACCAGGTATTTCTTCCTCGCGCGCCTTGTCAGCCGGGCGCCTTACCACTCTCGGCACGAACGCCACTTTGTCCACCGGCTGCTAGGGTAAAGTGGGAGATAGGGCCAGCGATGATTCGGTTCGAGACGATTCGGGACCGGGTCCGGACGTATCAACCCGACGCTGACTTCGATCTGCTCCGGGCGGCCTACGTCGTGGCGGCCCAGGCGCATCAAGGACAGGTCCGCCGCTCGGGCGAGCCCTATCTGAGCCATCCGCTCGAGGTGGCTGGAATCCTCGCGGATCTGAGACTGGACATCGTCTCAGTGGCCTGCGGCCTCCTCCATGACGTGGTGGAGGACACCCACGTCACCAGCGAGGATCTCGAACGCCGTTTTGGCCGGGACGTGAGCCGGGTGATCGACGGGCTCACCAAGCTGAGCCGGGTGGAGTTCAGTTCCGCGGAGGCCAATCAGGCGGAGAACGTCCGCAAGATGATCATCGCGATGACGGATGACACCAGGGTCATCCTGATCAAACTCGCCGATCGACTGCACAACATGCGGACGCTCGACTTCCTCCGCGAAGAGAAGAGGCAGCGCATTGCCACCGAGACCCTGGACGTCTACGCCCCGATCGCGGGTCGGCTCGGCATCGGCCGCATCGAAGCAGAACTTCAGGATCTGGCGCTTCGTCACCTCGAGCCCCAGACCTACCGGGTCCTCGAAGCCCGGGTCAAAGCCAAAAAGCGATGGGCAGAGGACTTCATTCGGGATCTCAGCCGGACGCTGAAGCGCGAACTGCATGCAGAGACAATCCCAGGCGAATTGTCCGGACGGACGAAGAGCATCTACTCCATCCACCGCAAGATGCATCGGCAACAGATCGAGCTCGACCAGATGTACGACTTCATCGCTCTGCGGTTGGTGACCGACACCGTGCCCCATTGCTACACAGCGCTGGGAGTAATTCACAACGTCTGGACACCAATCCCGGGCCGCATCAAGGACTTCATCGCCATGCCGCGGGCCAACGGCTATCAGTCGCTTCATACCAGCTTGGTGACCGACTCCGGGACCCACTTTGAAGTCCAGATCCGCACGACCGACATGCACCGGGTAGCGGAAGAGGGCATCGCAGCTCATTGGAGTTACAAGTCGTCCGGAAGCTACGGAGAGCAGGACATCAAGCGCTTCGCATGGCTGCGCCAGGTTCTCGAATGGCAAAAGGAAATCAAGGATCCCCACGAGTTCCTCAGCAGCCTGAAGATCGATCTCTATCCGGACGAGGTGCACTGCTTCACCCCGCGTGGGGAGGTCAAAACACTCCCCCGGGGCGCAACACCGATCGATTTCGCCTATGCAGTCCACACCGAGGTCGGGCACTCCTGCATCGGAGCCCGCGTGAACGGAGCCATGGCGCCGCTCCGCTCTCAGCTCCGGAACGGGGACATCTGCGAAATCCTCACCCGCAAGAACCATCTGCCGAGTGAGGATTGGCTCAAGATTGCCCGCACCAACCGCGCCAAGAGCAAGATCCGGGCGCGGCTGAACGCCGAGGCCAAGCGGGAGAGCATCGAAATCGGCCGAAAGCTTCTCGAAAAGGAAGCGCGCGCTCACGGCCTGAGCCTCCGACGGGTCCGTTCCGCGCCCGGGCTCGCCGATGCGCTGAGACGCCACGGCGCCGCAAACCTGGACGATTTCTTCGCCGCCATTGGCTACGGCAAGGTGTCGGCCGCGCGGGCGCTCGCGGACTCGGTCCCCGCCGAACAACTCAAACACACAGCCGAGAAAGCCCCCCCCTCCGAGACGGGGTTCGTGGGCGCTGTCCGACGCATCATCGGGCGTGATCCGGGGCAGATCCTCGTCAGCGGGCAAAACGACATCCTGGTCCACCGGGCTCGGTGCTGTTCTCCGCTTCCCGGAGAAGCGATCGCCGGGTACATCACCAAGGGGAAAGGCGTCGCTGTCCACGCGGCCAAGTGCCGCCAACTCGCGGACCTGGTGCGGGATCCGGAGCGTCAGGTCTCGGTGTCCTGGAAGTCAGTCACCGGCGCGCGGTACGACGCCGGTTTTGTCGTACGGGTCGAAAACCGCAAGGGGATGCTCGCGGATATCACGAAGATCATCGCCGAGGCTGACACTGACATCCGGGCCTTCGAAGGCACTGCCGACGACGCTGAGCGCGGCGCTATCTACGTGACTGTTGCGGTTCAAAACGCCAAGGAAGTCGGCACCATCTCACGCCTTCTTCAGACCGTCCCCGGAGTAATCGAAGTCCAGCGCGGATCCCCCGTGTCCAGCTAGGTCGAGCGGTCCGGAAGGGGGCGGAGCCAGCAGCTTCGCCGCCACTTGTGGGCTCCCGCTCGGGGATCGCCGCGGGAAGGGCATCCACGCTGCTGTACGCAACGCTAGCAGCCTGTGGTGGAACCCGGGTGAGCGCCGAGCCCGGCCAGTCCTCCCGGTGGGGGCGAGGCGCCCGGCTGACAAGGCGCGTGAGGGAGGAGCCCCCACCGGGAGAACTGGCCCGGGTGTATTCCGACCGAAACGCAACGATGAGCGGCGCGCAGCGACGCGGTCAGCCGGGATGGATCGCCGGCCGAGCCCCCACCGGGAGAACTGGGCCGCCTGGGTTTCACCACAGGCTGCTAACCGGCGCGACGGGGCCGAGGCGCTGATACGTCAGCCGGCCGGGCTCGTAACCTCTTCTCGCTGTCTTGCCAGCCGCCGGAGGAGGTGATGGCTGTAAATCCCGGTCTCATGCCCGTCGTTCCAGTGGATCTGGACACCGTAGTTGCCAACCGGGACGAGTTTCTTGGGAGCAAAGTTGGTGGGCAGCAGGAGGGTGAGGGACCGGCGCTTGCCACTCCATTCGTCCACGCAGGTGGCGCAGGGACAGTGGTTCCGCAGGTGCTCGAAACCGAAACGGTCCTCGGGGCCATCATGCCAGCGGACCACCACCGCGTTCCCCTCCACCCGAACCGATTCGGCCACCCCGCCGCGCTCGGCCTGGTTGGAGCGCGCCACCTCAAGCGCGACTTTCCGGGCGATCTCCCGGAAGGCGACAGCGGCCGGAGTCCCGGGATCGCGCACGACGGTAGGCGTCCCCGCGTCTCCTGCAACAACCACCCGAGGATCGAGCGGTACGCCTCCCAGGAAAGGAAGTCCAAGATCCTGCGCCACCTCTTCGCCTCCACCGGTGGAGAAGATGTTTGTCGTTTCCCCGCAATGCGGACAGGCAAAGGAACTCATGTTTTCGATCACGCCCAACACGGGAACGCGCACCGGCTGGAACATCCGGAGTCCCTTCTCGGCAATCGTCCGAGCCACCGCCTGAGGAGTAGTGACGATGACCGCCCCGGCGAGAGCCGCGGTTTGGGCGATCGTGAGCTGAACATCTCCGGTGCCCGGGGGAAGGTCCACCAGCAGGTAGTCCAACTCTCCCCAGACCACACCCGAGAAGAATTGCTGGACGAGCCGCGAAGCCATCGGGCCCCGCCAGATCACCGGAGTCTCCTTGGAGGACAGCATCCCCATGGAGATGAACCGGACGCCATGAGCCTCATGTGGCAAGAGACGGCGGTGTTCATCGGTGTCGGGTCGGTCGTCCATTCCGAGCATGGTGGTCTGCGAAGGACCGTAGACGTCCGCATCCAGGAGGCCGACGCGCGCGCCGTCCGCCGCCAGGGCAACCGCGAGGTTGGCCGAAACTGTGCTCTTCCCTACCCCGCCCTTCCCGGACGCGATGGCCACCACGTTCTGGACGCCGTCGGGTTTCGTCGGATCCGGCATTGGGGCGCGCGGCCCGGGGGGCGCGGACGACGGGCCGGCGTCCTGGTGCACCCGCGAAGTCGGGGAAGCGCTCACTTCGGTCCGGAGCGACACCTCGGCCCGTTCGACTCCCGGCAACCTGAGAAGAGCCTCACGGACCTGCTCCCGGATCTCACCGCCGACTTGACTCCCTACGTTTGGCAGCGCCACCGTAACGCTGACGATGGGCCGGCAGATGCGGATGTCCGCGACCTGGCCCAGGGACACAATGCTGTCGCCTCCGAATTCCCGGTTTCGGATCGGGGCGAGGATTTCCAGAACCTGCTTCTGGTCGAGTTGGGACATGAGAGTAGAAGGAGCGCCTCCGGCGGGTGGTCCCGCCAGCCCGGCGGTAAGGGGCACTTAGGATAGCCGCCGGGATTGGAAGACCGGCACGGCGCCTCAGGCGCTTGGGGTACCCGCCGCTTTGGGATCCACCCGTTACAATCGGTGGACCGGCGGCGTGTAGGAGACAGCCGTAGAGTGGCGGTTGGGAGACACCTACTTTTGCGCAGCGTGATGGGGGCCAAGACAGGAAGGGAGGCAGAGGGGGGGCACCATTCGTGCGCCGGAGGACGCGCGCATGAAGTTGACAGCGGACGAGGTACGGGTGGCGGGCAAGATGCGTGAGCGGGGGGCGTCGTTGCGGAGGCTGGCGAAGGATCTGGGGGTGACGGAGGGTGCGGTTCGGTATCGGCTGAAGCGGTTGGGTGCGGGAGAGCGTTCGGATGGTCGAGGGCGGCAGGCGACGGCGCTGGATGGGTATGAGGAGGTGGTGGAGGCGATCCAGGAGCGTCTGGGAGACGGGCGTCTTCTTGGGGCGGGTTCGCCGTGCCAGGTGCGCCTGATTTACGAGGCGCTGGTTCGGGACTACGGGTATGAGGGGAGCTACCAATCGGTGGTGCGTCATGTGCGGCGGAAGCACGGGAAGCCGCGGCTGCGGGCGATCCGTCGGGTGGAGACGCCGGCGGGGGTTCAGGCGCAGCACGACTGGTTCGAGGATCGGATTCCGATCGGGGCGAAGCGGCCGAAGTTGGCGTTGTTGCTGGGGGCGTTGTCGTATAGCCGGGCGAAGTTCTGCTGGCCGAGCGAGGACCAGACGCAGTTGTCGTGGCACACGGGGCATCACGCGTTGTTCGAGCGGTATGAGGGCGTTCCGCTGTGGGTTCGGATCGACAACCCGAAGACGGCGGTAACGCGTGGAGCGGGGCCGACGGCGGTGTTGAACCGGTCGTATGCGGCGTATGCGCGGATGTGTCGTTTCGGGGTGGACGCCTGCCGGGCGGGGAAGGGGTCGGACAAGGGGAAGGTGGAGCGGGCGGTTCGGACGCTGCGGGAGTCGTTTGGGGAGGTTCTCCGGCGCGGGGCGGGGAGCATTGAGGAACTGGACCGGTTGCTGGACGTGCGATCCGAACAGTTGCTGGATCGGCTGCGGTGTCCGGTGACGGGGGGCACGGTGCGGGAGGCCCTGGAGGAGGAGCGTCAGGTATTGCAGCCGTTGCCGTCGAGCGCGGAACTGTTTGATGTGGAAGTGGCGCGTCGGGTGAGCCGGGATTGTCTGGTGTCGTTCGAGGGCCGGCGGTATTCGGTTCCGTTCGCGTGGGCGGGTCAGTGGGTGGATGTTCGGGGGACGGCGCGGGATGTGGTGGTGCGCGGCGGGGGTCAGGAGATTGCGCGGCACCGGCGGGGGACCCGGGCCCTCTTGTTGCTGAAAGAGGCGCACTACGAGGGGGCTTCGACGGATCGGGTGGTGCGCCCGACGCCCCTGGGTCGGCGGGGCCAACTACAAGTGGCGGGTCTGTCGGAGAGCTGGGAGCCGGTGGCTAAGGAGCTGAAGGCGCGGGATGGGTTGGAGCGGCCGTTATCCGAGTATGAGCGTTTGGTGGAGGCGCTGGGATGAGGGCGGGTCGGGTGGATCTGGACGTGGTGGCGGAGCGCTGCCGGGAGCTGGGGCTGATGCGGACGGCGGAGCAGTTGCCGGAGCTCTTGGAGGAAGCGAGCCGGGAGGATCTGACGCCGGTGAGATTCCTGGAGCGGTTGGTGGAGCGGGAGTATGAGAGGAAGGAGGAGCGCCGGATTGAGATGTGGCTGCGGATGAGCGGGCTGCCGCCGGGGAAGACGCTGGACTGTTTCGACTGGAGTTTCCAGCCTCGGGCGGACCGGGCGAAGGTGGAGGAACTGGCAACCTGCGCGTTCGCGCGACGGGCGGAGAACATTCTGTTCCTGGGGCCGCCGGGGGTGGGAAAGAGCCACCTAGCGACCGGCCTGGGGGTGAAGGCGATCAAGAACGGGTTCCGGGTCCATCACTACGTGCTCGACGAGCTGATCCGGATGCTGCAAGCGGAGGAGACGACCCCGTATCGCCGCCGGCCGCGGCGCTACCGGATCAGTTCCGTTCTGATCATCGACGAGGTGGGGTTCCGGCCGCTGAACCGAGAGGAGGCGAACCTGTTCTTCCGGCTGGTGAGCCGGCGCTATGAGCGGGGCTCGCTGATCCTGACCTCGAACAAGCACGTGGGGGCTTGGCCGGAGGTTTTCGCGGGGGACGAGGTGTTGACCACAGCGATCCTGGATCGTCTTCTGCACCACGTCCATGTGGTCCAGATCAGCGGCCGGAGTTACCGGCTGAAGGAACTCGGCGACCTCCTTCGCGTCCCGGCAGCGGAGGAGCGCCGCCCCGAGCGCGAGGCGTGAGAGGAATGCGAGCGGTGCGGGATTCCGGGCATCACGCGGGGGGTCACCCCTCTCCCCGTCCGAGCGCTCGTTTCGGCTCGGGGTGCGGCCGCGTTCCGGTCGCTCCGCTCCTTCCGTCTCGCCGCACCCCGAGCCGAAACGCCTCTCCTTCCAAGAGCCGCCCTTTCGGAAACACCCGAAGCCGCCCTCCCCTCGGGCACCATCAGTGCGTAAAAGTAGGTGTCTCCCAAGTGCGTAAAAGTTGGTGTCTCTTGACACGGCGCCACCAGGCTGCTTTGCTTTGGGTAGCCGGTAGGGTGACGCGGCAACTGACACTCAAGGAGGCCTCTCGTGAACGTCGCCCGCGCAGTACTCAGCTACCGGTTGCCGTTCGTAACCGCCCTCGCTCTTCTTTTCTTCGCAGCCCAGTCCGACGCCGCGCGCGCTGCTGTTCAGGAGGAGCAGGACCCGCCCCAGAAGACGGAAGAGCAAAAAGAACAGTCAGAAGAGGCCGAGCCGACGGACATTCTCCCGCGCTTCACCGACCAGGTGGTGGTGTCCGCGTCGCGGGTCGAGCAGGAAATCGTGAACGCCCCGGCCGCGATCGCGGTGATCACCCGCGAGGTGATCGAAGCCCAGGCAGCCAACAACTTCGGCGACCTCCTGCGCCAGGCGCCGGGGTCAATGTCACCCAGTTGAGCAACACCAGCTACAGCGTCAAGAGTCGCGGATCCCCCGGCGCCCTCTCCACCTCACAACTCGTCCTGGTGGACGGGCGATCCGTCTATCAGGATTTCTTCGGCTTCACCGCCTGGGATTTCCTGTCGTTGGGCCTGCACGACCTAGAGCGCATCGAGGTGGTAAACGGCCCGGCCTCAGCGGTCTGGGGCGCGAACGCCATGAGCGGGGTGGTGAACCTGATCACCAAGGCGCCGCGGGACACGCTGGGAACGACGCTGAACCTCCGGTTCGGCACATTCGACCGGAACGTCACCGGCAACCCGATGGACGCCGGCAGCCAGCTCATGGGCTCTTTGACCCACGCGCTGGCGGTAAGCGACCGCTTCGCCTATCGGGCCACCGTGAGCTTCACGCATCAGGACGCCTTCCCGCGGCCGTTCGGGGAGATCCCGAACGACACCGGAACCCCCTACCCGGCGGTCCCAGGCGTGACGGCCCGCATGCCCAAGTTCGATTTTCGAGCCGACTGGGATTCCCCCGACCGCTCCAGCGGACTCCGGTTCTCCGGCGGCTACGCCGCGAGCCAGAGCGTCCTCCACTCCGGTATCGGCCCCTTCAACGTGAAGCCGGGGACGAACATGTCGTGGGGCCGAATGCAGTACGTGCGCGGATCCATGGAAATCGGCGGTTTCTTCAACCGTACCGCTGCCGGATTCACTTCGATTCTGTCCCGCGATCCATCCGGGCGGCCGCTCGAGGGCCAGATGAACTCGAGCACCTACGACGTCAGCTTCAAGGACACAAGATTCCTTGGGGGCCGGCATCTCCTCAGTTACGGCGCCAGCTCCCGGTTCATCACCCTCGACTTCGCTCTCGCTCCCCTCGGCGATGGCCGGACCGAGCAGGGGCTCTACGTGAACGACGAGATCTTTCTCAGCGACCGCTGGCGATGGATCGTCGGGACCCGCGCGGACCGGATCAGCGTGCTGGACAAGATCGCCCTGTCTCCGCGAACGACCCTCATCTTCAAGCCGACGCCCACCCAATCCTTTCGCGTCTCGTACAACCGCGCCTTCCGCGCTCCATCGCTCACCAACAACTTCATTGACACCCTTATTTCCCAGGAAGCCACGTTCGACCTTCGTCCCGTCTTCCGTGGCTTCTTCGGTGCGCTGAACGTTCCGGATTCCGCTCTGCCCGCGCCCGTGACCTACCGGATCCCGATCGGCATCGTGGGAAATGGCTCGCTGGTCCAGGAAAAGCTCACTGCGTACGAGGTGGGGTGGTCGGGAGCCCTCAACGACTGGATGGGCGCGAGCGCGGCCTTCTATGTCAATCAGATGACCAACGCCATTGATTTCACCGATGACCAATTCTGGTCCGGCGCGAACCCGCCTCCCGGGTGGAACGAAGCCTTCTCCGAAGTCGCGGGGTTCATCGGGCGCCTGGGGGCGGTGCTTCCGCCGGGAACCCTGCCTCCCGAGATCGGCGCGATCGCCGTGAATCCCGGATACCTGATCGACGCTCTCGAAGGACTCGCGGGGGTCCAACTTCCGGCCACCTTCACCTACGTCAACCGGGATTCGGTTCGGAATTCCGGATTCGAAGTCGGCCTCACGGGCCGACGGGGCAACCTCGGGGGCTTCCTCAACTACTCCTGGCAGGCCGAGCCGGTCGTGGATGGGTTCGGCGAAGAAGATGCCGATGAAATCAGCATCCCGGCGGCCCACCGCATCAATGCCGGCGTCGACACCGGGTTGGGCGCTTTCGATGTCGGGGTGGCGCTGAACTACACCGACCGCGCCTATTGGACGGACGTGCTGACGGCCGAGTTCCACGGCTGGACCGAAGCCTTCACCATGGTCAACGCCACCTTGGCGGTGAACCTGATGGAGGGCCAATTCCAGCCCTCGGTCCGGGTCATCAACCTTCTCAACCAGGAAATCCAGAACCACATCTTTGGGGATGTGCTGCGGCGGCAAGTCATCGGGGCGTTGCGCTATCGGTTCTGATCCGGGCGCGAGCAGATCGAGGAGCGGGCGCCGGTTCCCGCCGCCCGGTCCTCTACTGGAAAACTATGGTCGGTGGAGGGGTTTCGGACTTCAGAAACCGGTCGAACCGACTCGACGGCACGAGGCGCTTGGGTAAGCCGCCGGGGATCGGAAGCCCGGCGCGGCGCCTCAGGGCCCATCAAGCAAACGCCTCCCCGCCGTTCTCCACCTACAATGAGTGTGGGTCGGCGGCGGCGGCGCCAGGCTGCTCCCGGGAGCCGCCACTGCTGTCGCACGGACTCAAGGAGGCCTCCGGTGAACGTTACCCGCGCCACGCGCAACTACCCGCTGCCCCTCGCAGCTGTCTTCGGTTTCGTCTTCCTCGTAACCCAGGCCGACGCTGCGCGGGCAGCCGTTCAGGAGGAGCAGGATCCGACGCAGGAAACGGAAGAACAGGGAGAGCAGGAAGAAGAGGCTGCCGAAACACCCCCAATCCTCCCGCGCTTCACCGACCAGGTGGTGGTGTCCGCGTCGCGCGTTGAGCAGGAGATCGTGAACGCCCCGGCGGCGATCGCGGTGATCTCCAGCGAGGTGATCGAAACGCAGGCCGCCAGCAACTTCGGCGACCTGCTCCGCCAGGCGCCGGGGGTCAATGTGACCCAGCTCTCCAACACCAACTACAGCGTCACGAGCCGGGGCTCCTCCGGGGCGCTTGCCACGGCACAACTCGTCCTGGTCGATGGCCGCTCCGTCTATCAGGACTTCTTCGGCTTCACCAGTTGGGATTTTCTTTCGGTGGGGCTGGACGATCTGGAGCGGATCGAGGTGGTGAACGGGCCGGCTTCGGCCGTCTGGGGCGCGAACGCCATGAGCGGCGTCGTGAACCTGATCACAAAGGCGCCGCGGGACTCCCTGGGGACGACGCTGAACCTCCGGTTCGGCGCATTCGATCGCGACGTCACCGGGAACCCGATGGACGCGGGTAGCCAGCTCATGGGATCCCTGACCCACGGTCAGGCCGTAAACGACCGCTTCGCCTACCGCGCGACCGTCAGTTTCACCCATCAGGATCCGCTTCCCCGGCCGTTCGGCGAGATCCCGAACGGGACCGGCACGCTGTATCCGCCCGTCCAGGGGGTGACTTCCCGGATGCCCAAACTGGATTTCCGCGCCGACTGGGACGCTGCCGACGGTGAGAGCGGCTTCCGGTTCTCCGGCGGCTACGGGGGGAGTCAGGGCGTCCTCCACTCCGGTATCGGCCCCTTCAATGTCCAGCCGGGAACCAACATGTCGTACGGCCGCGTCCAGTACCTGCGCGGCTCGCTCGAAATCGGCGCCTTCGTCAACCGCACCTCAGCCGGGTTCAGCTCGATCCTGTCCCGGGATCCATCGGGGCGATTTCTCGAGGGCCACATGAACTCGAGCACCTATGACATCAGCCTGAAGGACACGAGATTCCTGGGTGGACGGCATCTCCTGAGTTACGGGGCCAGCGTCCGCTCCGTCGCCCTCGACTTCACCCTCGCCCCCCTCGGAGACGGACGAAGCGAACAAGGGCTCTATTTCAACGACGAGATCTTCCTGAACGACCGCTGGCGCTGGATCGTCGGATCCCGCGCGGACCGGATCAGCGTGCTGGACGAGATCGTGCTGTCGCCCCGAACGACGCTCATCTTCAAGCCGACCCCCACCCAGTCCTTTCGCGTCTCATACAACCGCGCCTTCCGCGCCCCATCGCTCACCAACAGCTTTATTGACACCCTTGTTTCCCAGGAAGCCACTTTCGACCTTCGTCCCGTTTTCCGCGGCTTCTTCGGTGCGCTGAACATTCCGGATTCCGCTCTGCCCGCGCCGGTCATCTACACGATCCCCATCGGGGTCGTGGGCAACCCCTCACTGGTCCAGGAGTCCCTTACCGCATACGAGGTGGGCTGGTCGGGGGCGCTCAACGACTGGATCGGCGCGAGCGCCGCCTTCTACGTCAACGATATGCGGGACAGCATCGACTTCACCGATCACACATTCTGGTCCGGCGCGAACCCGCCCGCCGGATGGAACGAAGCTTTCTCCGAGGTCGCGCAGTTCATCGGGCGCCTGGGAACTGTCCTTCCGCCGGGAACTCTGCCTCCCGCGATCGCCGCGATCGCCCAGAATCCGGCCTATCTGATCGACGCGCTCGGCCCGCTCGCAGGCGTCCAGCTTCCGGCCACCTTCACATACATCAACCGGACATCGGCCCGAAACTCCGGCGTTGAACTCGGGCTCAGCGGGCGCCGCGGCAACGTCGGTGGTTTCCTCAACTATTCGTGGCAGGCCGAACCGGTCGTCGAGGGGTTCGGCGAAGAAGACGCCGATGAAATCAGCATCCCGGCGGCGCACCGCATCAATGTCGGCCTCGACGCCGGGGTTGGCGCATTCGACATCGGGCTGGCTCTGAACTACACGGACCGCGCCTATTGGACCGACGTGCTAACGGCCGAGTATCACGGCTGGACCGAAGCCTTCACCATGGTCAATGCCACCCTGGCGGTAAACCTGATGGAGGGCCGCTTCCAGCCCTCCATCCGGATGATCAACCTCCTCAACCGGGAGATCCAGAATCACGTCTTCGGCGACGTGCTGCGGCGGCAGATCATCGGGGGGTTGCGCTACCGGTTCTGATCCGGGCGCAAGGAGACGAACAGCCCGCGGTGAAACCCAGCGGCCCAGTTCTCCCGGTGGGGGCTCGAGCGGCGATCCATCCCGGCCGAGTGAACCCAGGCGGCTCCGGGGGGGCTCGGCCGGCGATCCATCCCGGCCAGACTGAACCGCGCCGCTATGCGTTGCGTTTCGGTCGAAATACACCCGGGCCAGTTCTCCCGGTGGGGGCTCCTCCCTCACGCGCTGTCAGCCGGGCCCCCACCGGGAGGACTGGCCCCACCGGGAGAACTGGGCCTCGCCGCTCTCGGCGCTCACCCGGGTTCCACCACCGGCTGTCAAGGAGCGGCGCCGGTTTCCGGCGCCCGTTCCCTTATCGGGAACTCTGGTCGGTGGAAGAGGTTTCGGGCTTCAGAAACCGGTCGAACCAGGCCAGGTAGCGTTCGTACCGGTCCTTCTGGAACGAGGGAAGCCGGATCCCGTGGCTCTGACCCGGGTAGATGATCAACTGGGTGGGCACCCCCAGCCGCCGGAGGCTCTGGTAGAGGTTTTCCGACTGGCTCAGCGGCACGTTCCAGTCCTTCTCGCCACAGAGGACGAGCGTCGGCGTTGTCACCTGATGGATGCGTGAGATGGGGGACAGGCGGTCGTAGAGCTCGGGGTTCTCCCAGGGAAGTCCGAGTTCCAGTTCCCATTCGAGCTGGTAATGGTCGTTTCCGTAGGCGGCGCGGTATTCGGTTTCACTGGCGCCGCTGACCGCGGCGTGGAACCGGGTCGTCTTGGTGATCACGTAATTGGTGAGGATGCCGCCGTAACTCCATCCCCCGACCCCGAGGCGGTCCGGATCAGCCCAGCCGAGCCCGATCACGTGGTCAACCGCGGCATTCACGTCCTCGTAGTCGAGGTTTCCCCAATCCGCCCAGATGGCGTGGGAGAACGCCTCTCCCCGGCCCGAAGAGCCGCGCGGGTTGGCTGCCACCACGAGGTAGCCGTTCGCCGCGAACAACTGCCAGGTGGACTGGAAGGAGGTCGAGAACTGGGAGACCGGCCCGCCGTGGATCCACAGGATCGTGGGATAACGCGTCCCCTCCTCGAACCCGGGAGGCTTCGTGACGAAGCCCTGGACTTCGGTCCCATCCGAACTGGGGAAGCTGATCCTCTCCACCTCGGCAAGCTGCACCGCGGCGACCAAGGCGTCGTTCTCCCGAGTCAGCCGCTGCGGATCGCCCCCCCGCGTCCAGCCGATCACCTCGGGCGGGCGATCGGTAGTCGCGGCCACTGCGACCACCCGGTCCCCGACCACGTCGATGTCCCGAACCACCCTTTCGCCCGCGATCAGGCGGTCCGCCGTCGCCTCCTCGGACAGGGGGAACGACGCCAGGTGCTGGTTACCCGAATCCTCGAGCAGGGCAAACACCGCGCTCCCGTCGCCACCGAAGCGGGGACTCGAAAGGTTCCGGTCGAGCGCGGCGGCAACGTGGACGATCTCGTCCGTGGCCCGGTTCAGGACGTACAGATGCTCGGTGGCGTACCAGATCAGTTCGGGCTTGCGGTTCCCGGTATGGGCGAGCCAGCGCCCGTCGGGGCTGAACACCGGAGAGCGATCCGGTCCCGGATTGCTCGTGAGCCGTACCGGCTCCGTGTTCCGGTCCCCGTCCCGCGGAACCAGGAAGATGTCCGAATTGTCCGTGGCGTCCGGATCTCCCGCGGGCGGGCGGACGCTCACGAACGCGATCTCCGTACTGTCCGGCGAAAACACCGGGGAGCCATCATCGTACGGGCCGAAGGTCCGTTGCGCGTCGGAACCGTCGGAGGCGTCCACCACGTATAGGTGACGGCGGCGGTCGTCGAGATACCCCCGTCCGTCGCGCTTGAACTGCCGGCGGTCAATGACCAGAGGGGCCGGTTCCGGATCCTCCCCCTCCTCGGGCTCGTTCGGATCCGGGTCCATGGAAACCGCGGCCAGCGCGGTCCCGTCCGGCGCCCAGGAGAAGGAGGACACGCCGCCTGGCAGATTCGACAGGACGCGCGCTTCGCCACCCGTGAGCGGCAGAAGCCATACCTGGGACCTGTCTCCGTCGCCCGAACTCAGGAAGGCCAGGTACGAGCCGTCCGGGCTGAACCGCGGATGGGAAGCGGAACGCCCGGCTCGGGTCAGCGGCGCCGTATCACCGCCCGCGAAGGGAACACCGTGAATTCGGCTCTCGGACTTGTTCCCATCGAGATCGATTCGGGACACCACGTAGACAACGAACGCGCCGTCCGGCGAGAGCTGGGGGTCGGAGACGGAGGCAACCCTGAGAGCGTCGTCAATCGTGAAGCTGCGCTGGGCGAAGGACGGCGCTGCAAGGTGCGCGGCGATGCCGAGAGCACTCGACACGACCCACAGCCGCGCGCGGCCGCGTCGAGGGATGTACTGGCTGGATGGGGTCATGCCGGACCTCCTGCGGGCCTCACAACCCGCGGACAAAGTCGAGCGACGGCAACCCCGTGTTCCGGTTGGGGCGCAAGCGCTCACGCTACTTTATTCGCGGCCTCCGACGGGATGCCCCGGGAGCGGCTCGGAACCCTAACGATACGAGGCGACGACCTCGTCGAGAACCTCGGGGGGCGGACGAAGTTGTTCCTCTCCGAGCAGCGCGAGCGGCTCGTCGCACATTTCAAGGCTGTCGAGGAAGGTGCGCTTGCTGGTGTCGAGATAGAGCAGCCCGGTCAGGAAGCAGGTTGTTGTCGTCGGCCTCTAGCAGGAGTTCCCGGGCGGCGCGCCGATCCGTCGGATCGTACTCCCGCTCCAACTTCCTGAGCCGAACCCAGGATCCGTCGTGGAGCTGGACCTCCTGATCGGTCCCTTCCTCGTATTCGACTTCGATCTCATCCATCGCGGGCACAAAATCGACGATGTGGATCGGCTCTTCGTTGTCCTTGCCCCAGGTGTAGCTCTTGGTCGAGCCCGCGTGGTTGTTGAACGTGACGCAAGGACTCAGGATGTCAAGTACCGCCGTGCCGTTGTGGGCGAGCGCTCCCCGCAGCAGGGCGACGAGCTGTTTCGGATCCCCCGCGAAGGAGCGGGCCACGTAGGTGGCTCCGAGCTCGATTGCCATGCCGCACAGATCGATGCTGGGCAGCTTGTTCACCTCACCGGAACGCAGCGCCGCGTCTTCGTCGGCGGTCGCCGAGAACTGCCCCTTGGTCAGGCCGTACACCCCGTTGTTCTCGACGATGTAGATCAGGGGCAGGTTGCGCCGCACCAGATGCACGAACTGGCCAATCCCGATTGAGGCGGTGTCGCCATCGCCGGACACCCCGATCGCCACCAACTGGCGGTTGGCAAGCACCGCCCCGGTCGCGACCGACGGCATGCGCCCGTGGACCGCGTTGAAGCCGTGACTGTGATTCAGGAAGTACGCCGGCGTCTTGGAGGAGCAGCCGATTCCCGAGAGCTTGGCAACCTGGTGGGGACGAACGTCGGACTCGAACAACGCGCGAATCAACTGGCTGGAAATCGCATCGTGGCCGCATCCCTTGCACAGGGTGGACGGCTTGCCCTTGTAGTCGGACGGCGTGAGACCCAACCGATTGACCCGGCGCGGTCGTGAAGAGGCATTTGGAGTAGGCATCAGGGGACTCCCGGCAGCTAGGCTGCTAAACGGCGCCGATCTCCATCTCGGTCACGTAGTCCACAATGGTTTGCGCATCCATGGGGTGGCCGCTGAAGTGACGCAGGCTCCGAAGCACTCCCTGCGGAATCCGGTCGCCGTATTCGGCGCGCAGAAGCTGGAACATCTGTCCATCACGGTTCTGATCCAGGACCACGACTCGCTGCCGGGAGGTAATGAAGTCCAGCACCGATGGGGAGAACGGTAGCGCCCGGAGACGCAGGTAGTCCATTTCGATGGCCGCATCGTCCCGGAGCCGGGTCCGGGCTTCCTCGATGGCCGGATCGGACGAACCAAAGCCGATGATGCCGAGCGGGCTCGCGGAATCCAGCTGGTCCACAACGGGCGCTGGAACCATCTCTCGGGCCGTTTCGAACTTCCGGTCGAGCCGGGTCATGATCCGGACGTACGCCTCTTCGCTCTCGGTGTATTCCGCGCTCTCGTCGTGTCCACTGCCCCTCGTGAAGTACGCGGCACCGGGGTGGTCCGTGCCGGGAAGCGTCCGATACGGGATGGCGTCGCCGTCCACATCCGCGTAGCGCTGGAAGGATCCCAGGCGTTCCAGATCCTCGCGGGTGAGGACCTTGCCGCGGTCCATCGGACGATCCGGATACTCGAAGGGCTCGGTACCCCAGATGTTCATCCCGAGGTCCAGATCGGAGAGCACGAAAACAGGCGTCTGGAGCCGCTCGGCGAGATCAAAGGCCTTCCAGCCGAACTCGAAGCATTCCCGAGTCGAGGCAGGAATCAGGCAGACGTGTTTCGTGTCTCCGTGGGAGAGGGTGTAGGTGGAGAGAATGTCTCCCTGGGCCGTTCGCGTCGGCAGACCGGTCGAGGGGCCCACCCGCTGGATGTTCCAGATGACCAGGGGAATCTCGGCGTAGTAGCCGAGCCCGACGAACTCGGACATCAGAGAGATCCCCGGGCCCGAAGTGGCGGTCATGGCCCGGGTTCCGGCCCAGCCGGCGGCAAGCGCCATCCCGACGGCCGCCAATTCGTCCTCGGCCTGAACAACCGCGTACGTCGCCTTGCCGTCCGAGTCCTTCCGGTAACGCTTGAGGAATCCCGTGAGCTGTTCGACGACGCTGGAAGAGGGAGTGATGGGATACCAGGTCGCGACGCTCACTCCACCAAACATGGCGCCGAGCGCGGCTGCGGCGTTTCCGTCGATGAGGATCTTGCCGCGGTTCTTGTCCATGCGCTCGAGAGTGAAGGGATCCCGCTTGACCAGGTTCTCGCGGGCGTGGCGGATTCCAATCTCCACCGCCCGGCGGTTCAACTCGACCGCCGCCTTCTTGCGCCGGAACTGGCTGTCTATGGCTCCGAAGATCTCCTCGACGTCGATCGAAAGGAGTTCTGCCAGCAATCCGACATAGATCATGTTCGCGAGGAGCTTGCGCAATCGAACTTCGCGGGTCACTTCCGCGGCCAACTCCTGAAAGGGCGCCGGGTAGAACACCAGGTCGTCGCGGCGGCGCTCCAGGCGCAGGCTTTGTTCGTAGACCACGGCGCTGCCGGGGTTCAGGGACTCGACATCCCGGATAGCGGTCTGGGGATTGAGCGCGACCAGGTACTCCACGTTCCGCTTCCGGGCAATCCAGCCGTCCCGGTTCGCGCGAATCGTGAACCAGGTCGGCAATCCCGCGATGTTGGACGGGAACAGGTTCTTTCCGCCGACCGGAATTCCCATGCGGAACAGCGCCCTGAGCAGGACGAGGTTTGCCGACTGGCTTCCGGAGCCGTTTACGGTGGCGACCTGGATGGTCAGGTCGTTGACAATGCGCTCTGGCTCGACCTCGCTGGGAGCAACTTCTTCAGCGAGCGCCGTTTTATTGGACATCAGGCGATTCTTCGGGACAAGAGCCGCTTCACGGTTCGGGCAGGGGGACGGCGAGACTTTGCTTTGGGGAATCCACGGAGGCTGCCGGGAAACCGAACAACCAACGGGGTCGCGTGCCGGAGCGCTGCCGCTTCCGGGCGCACCCCGGAGGTGCGGCAGTGTATCCCAATCTCACCCTGAATTCAGAAAACCGAACACCGGGCGGACTCCAACTCGAAGGGGCACTAGACTTCCTTCTCCTGGGGAACGAACGGATGCGACCCACCTGGCAGGGCAGCCTCAAGTTGGCCCTCGTGCTCGTACCGGTGCGAGCCTACCCGGCGGCTCGCACGAAAACCGTCGCGATGAACCAGTTGCACAAGGAGTGCAAGGCTCGGGTGCGGTTGCAGAAGCGCTGCACCTCCTGCGAGCAGGATCTCGAACGGGACGAGATCGTTCGCGGTTATGAGCTCGCGAAGGACCAGTACGTGCTGATCCAGGAAGAGGACCTTTCCACCCTGCAGCTCCCCTCGCACAGAACCCTGGACATCGTCCAGTTCGTCGAGGAATCGGAGATCAATCCGCTCTACTACCACGGCTCCTACTACCTGGCGCCGGCGGGTGAGGTCGCGGCCGGGCCCTTCCACACCATCCTCAAAGCGATGCAGACGACGAAGCGGGTGGCCATCGCCCAGGTCGTGCTCAGCGGCAAGGAAAAGGTGGTGGCGATCCGGCCCTCGGAAGGTGTGTTCATGATGTCCTTCCTGCACTATCAGGACGAGGTGCGGCAGGTGTCTGATATCGACGATCTGCCGGCGGCGAGGGAACCAAACGCCGCGGAGACCGCGATGGCCCGGCAGCTGCTGGACTCCTACGCGCGGCCGTTTGACCTGAGCGCGTTCGAGGACGGCTATCGAAAGCGCTTCCTGGAGATCGTGGAGGCCAAGAGTCGCGGTGAGGAACTGGTCACCACTCCAAGCGTCGAGCCGCGTCGGGTTGTCAACCTCATGGATGCCTTGAAATCGAGCCTCGCGAGGATCGAGGCCGAGGGATTGGGCGAAGGTGATCCGGCGCTCGGCGAGGAGCGGCGGGCAAGCTGACCGACTCGAATCCCGAAACCCGGGACCCGGATTGGCCCGCGCCCCCGGAAGGGGGGCCAATACTCCCGCCCGATTGGCTCGCGCGGGGAGTGAAGCCCATGCTCGCCGGTGTGGGCCGTCCGTTCGATTCGCCGGATCACCTCTTCGACGCCAAGTGGGACGGCCTACGTTCGATCGCGTTCTTCGGGCCGGTGGTCCGGCTCCAGGCGCGAAGTCTCCGGGACCAGACCCGGCAGTTCCCGGAACTCGCGGCGGCCCTCTCCGAACTTCCCGGGGCCGGGGTCATCGACGGGGAAATCGTGGTCATGGACGGGGACCGCGCCAGTTTTCCGTTGGTCATGGAGCGCAATCGGCTAGGGTCGGAGGCCGCGATTCGGCGGGCCGCAACGAATGCCCCCGCGTGGTTCGTCGCCTTCGATCTGCTCCATCGTGACGGCAGACGGCTTACCGCCGCCCCCCTTGTCGGACGACGGCGGGCCTTGAGCGCTCTGCTTCCCGGTTCCGGAGGGCGGATCTTCGCGAATCCGCTCGTGGTCGGCGACGGCCTTCGCTTCTTCGCCGCGATGCGCGAGCGGAGTATGGAAGGGATGGTCGCCAAGCGGCTTCAGAGTCCGTACCGCATCGGCGAGCGCAGCGAAGACTGGCTGAAGATCAAGATCCGTCCCCGGCTGAGTTGTGTTGTCTTCGGCACCCTGCACCGGACGCCGGGTGGACCGGTGCGTTCGCTGGTGGTGGGGGCGTTCGGACCGGAGGGGCCGGTATGGCTCGGGAACGTGGGTAGCGGACTCGACGACGCCACCCGGATCGAGCTGAGGCGGCAGCTCGACAGCCTCGAATGCCCCCCTCCCCCTGGTTTCTATCCCACCGGGGAGGGGCACATCCGTTACGTGAGACCCCTCCTGGTGGCCTCAGTCGAGTACCTCGAGCTGACCCCGGCAGGGCACCTCCGCCATCCCGCCTTCGTGGGGTTCGAAGATCGAGACCCGCGCTCGTGCCGCGTGCCGGCATGAGCCCGTGGGGAGGGGAACCCCTCCCCACACCCCACCCGGGCGGCGCTCGCGCCGCCGCCTCGCACGGACGGGCTTTCGCCACCGGCTGCTAGAGCACGTCCAGCAGATCCCTGATGATGCGGGCCGTCAGGCCCCAGATGTCGTAGTCGCGGTAGTGGTACCGAAAGACAACACGGGATCTACCGACCGCACCCCCGACCCTTGCAGTGCGCTGAACCTCGGTGGTCTCGCACCCGGGAAGCAGGAGCGTCCGTAACGGAACCTCGAAGACCGCGTCCACTTCGGGGCCAGTTCGAAGGACGGCCGAGGAAGGGATCGCGACTACGAAGGGGACCAGCCGAAACCCCTCCACGGTGAGTCGATCGTCGAGCCTGCCGAGAACCCGCACCCCGGCAGGATCGAGCCCGATTTCCTCACGCCCCTCCCGCAGGGCAGCCGCCAATTCGGATGGATCCTCGGGATCGATCATTCCTCCGGGGAACGCGATGTCTCCCGGCTGGCGGCGAAGATCCAACGCACGCCGGGTAAGCACCAGCCCGTAGTCGCCTTCTCGGGGGACCAGCGGAACAAGCACCGCTGCCGCCCGCGACGTCCCGTCGAAGCGCCTCGGAGAACGAAGCGCGAGGCGGGAAGCGATCCGGTCGGGGAGGGTCTGGGTTTCGATTGTGGGGGGCAAGCTTCCGCGCGGCGAGGCAGCGAGAGGTCAATATACTCGCCGCGTGTCGGAGCGTTTCCTGGTACGAGCGGTCATGGTCGCCAGCGTCCTGGTCTTCGCCGGGACGGCCTACGGGCAACCCATGATCCAGGTCGGCTCGGGCGGGGAATCCAGGGGCGAGAGGGAGGAATGGGTCTTCGGCGCCGGCTACAACTTCGATTTCCCGCTGCTTCCCTTCGAAGTCGGCGGCCTGATTCAGAGCGGAACGGGTGTCGAAACCGAGGACTCAGGCCGCGAATTCCCGGTGCGGGCCTTCGTCACGGGAAGAATGGGAATGCTGCCCCTTCCGGGATTCAGCGTCTACCTGGGCGGAGGAGCGGGAATCGCGACCCGGCTGGGCGGTGATGCCGAAACCGGAGCGGTGCCCGCCGGAATGGCGTTCGGCGGATTCGAGGTCGGGAGGCTCCATCTGGAACTTCAACTACAAAGAGAGTTCCACGAGGAACCCGTGAACCGATGGATTACGACCATCGGGGTTACGTTCTGAGCGAATCCGTCACGTTTTCCGCGCCGACGCGGGTGGATCTGGCGGGCGGCACGCTCGACATCTGGCCGGTGGGCCTGCTGGTGCCTCGCGCCGCCACCGTCAACGTCGCCATCAGCCTCCGGGCTCGCGCCACCGTCACTCGCGCACCCCGATACCGGGTGACGAACCAGCAGCGCGGACTTGACCTGTCCGCCGATTCCCCAGAAGCGTTCTTTCGCCACCCGTTCGCTGCAGTGGCTGGCCGGCTCCTGGATTTCTTCCGGCATTCCGGTCCTCTCGAAGTCCATTTCGAGACCACGGCTCCGCCGGGTTCGGGCCTCGGAGGATCGTCGTCGCTGGGTATGGCGATCGCGGGGGCTCTGAACCGGATGTGCAATACCCGTTGGACAATCCCGCAACTCGTCCGGATCGTGATGGACACCGAAGTCCGGATTCTGAGGACCGCCACCGGAGCCCAGGATCAGTTTGCCGCCGGGCTCGGAGGAGCGCGGGTGCATCACTGGGAAAGTCCGGAGCCCCGATCGGAACCCCTTCCCTGGCTCGACGGCGGAACCGATCCGCTCGAAGACCGGTTCGTTCTGGTATTCACCGGCGAAGCGCATTCTTCGGCAGATCCCAACGGAAGCGTGCTGGAACGAATCTTCGCCGGGGAGCCCGCGCGGTCCGGGGCATCGAGGTGATCGCCGAAGCGGCCCTCGGAATGCGGGCCGCACTGCTCAGGCGGGACTGGAACGGGGTCGCGGAAATGCTCGGCCTCGAGTGGGGCGCCCGGCGAGCGCTGTCGGAGATGGTGACCACCGCGACGATCGAGCGTCTGAGCGGCGCGATGCTGCAAGCAGGAGCCCGAGCAGTCAAGGCATGCGGCGCCGGCGGCGGCGGAACCATGATCGCCATCGCTCCCCCCGAGAAACGCTCAGCCGTCGCGGCCGCTGCTCGCGCCGCCGGAGGTGAGGTCTGAAGGCGGCCAGCGATCCCGTGGGACTGCGCTGTGAGTTGTCGTAATGGAACCTGCCGAACATGCCGTCTGCGGCCTCGCCGAGCTCAAGACGGAATCCGCGATCGCCGTCGATGTGGGCGACCGGCGGATCGCCGTCTTTTGGTATGAGCACCGGGTCTACGCTCTGAGCGAGACCTGTCCCCATCGGGGCGGACCGCTTCACCTTGGCCGCGTCAGGCACGGCATCGTTGTCTGCCCGTGGCACCTGTGGCAGTTTGATCTCATCACCGGTTGCTCTCCGGTGAACCCGAACTCCTGCGTTCCCACCTACCCGGTCCGCATCGAGAACGGGATGGTGCTCGTGCAGGTCTAGCAGCCGGTGGCAAAACCCCCGCGGCCCAGTTCTCCCGGTGGGGGCTCGGCCGGCGATCCATCCCGGCTGAACCGCGTCGCTTGCGCCGCTCATCGTTGCGTTTCGGTCGAAATACACCGGGCCAGTGTCCCGGTGGGGGCTCCTCCTCAGCGCGCCTTGTCAGCCGGGCGCGCACTGGCCGTTCTCACGTGCCTCGGCGCTCACGCGGGTTCCACCACAGGCTGCCAGGCGCACCGAAACCGCTGCGACTCAACCGCGGGCCGGAAGCAACGGGAACGATCCTGTCCGTCCCGGCGCCGTCCTCGGGTAGCGGACGAGACGTGGTCCACGCGTGGGCCCCGTGAAAGCCGCTCGAAGGCGCTCCCGGGCGCGAGCAAGAAACAACCGGCAGCGAACTCTGTTCGCTGCCCGCATGACCGGGGGGAAAGTGTGAAAGGGGGGCCACTGCCCCCCGTTCACAAAAAGGTAACGACGAATCGGAACTTGCCGCCGCGCGCCGCAGGCGCGCAAGGAAGTTTCGAATCGCGGCGCGAAGCGCCGGGCGGTTTCCGAACGGGGCCCCAACCCGATCCCGAACCGGCGATCCCGAGCCCAAACAGGCTTATGGCCCCGTTCGGAAACCGCTTGGTGGGTCACCCGGCGGCGGCGCGGAGCTCCTCGTAGCGCTTCACCGGCAGATCCGAGCCGAAGCGCCTTCCATGCTTCGCCTCGTGGAAGTCCGAGCCGCCGCTCACCATCAGGCCCAGCGAGTCCGCGACCCTGAGATAGCGCTCGCGCTCGTCCTTGTCCTGCTCGACGTGGTACGCCTCGAGCGCCCGAACCCCGGTCTCTTGGAGCATGGCAGGAAGCGCGGACTGGTCCCGGAGGTATTTCGGGTGCGCGACGGAGCTGATTCCCCCCGCGGCGTGCAGCATCTTCGCCGCCTCCGCGACCTCGATTTTCCAGCCGTACCGCACGTGCCCGATTTGCTCGTCACCGAGATACTTGTCGAACGCCTCCGCGCGGTTCCGGACCACCCCCTTCCGAATCAGCGCATCCGCCACATGGGGACGACCAAGCGAGCGACCCGTGGACATCGCGGCGACCTCCTCGAAGAGGAGCGGGACGCCCGCGGCCGTGAGCTGCTTGCACGTTTCGGAGATCCGGTCCCGGCGGCGGGCGGAAACCTCCTCAAAGAGTGCGGTCAGCGTCCGGTCCTCGGGATCCACAAAGAGACCCAACAGATGGACCGACTCGTCTCCCCACTGGCAACTCACCTCGACCCCGGGAACCAACTCGATCCCACATTCCGCGGCGGCGACCCGGGCTGCCGGGATTCCCGTCAGGGTGTCGTGGTCGGTGAGCGCCAGCACGGTCACCCCGTCCCGAGCCGCGGCTTCGACGGCTGAACGCGGTGGGAGGACTCCATCCGATTCGGTGGAGTGGGAGTGGAGATCGATGTTCGGGGTACGGATTGCAGGGGAGGTCATTCGAAGGGCGGGAAGTCTAGTCGCCAGCGTGACGGCTTCATCCCGGACCGCTAGAATCCGTAATGCTTGATCAGTCGCAATCAGGCTTGGAATCACCAAAGGAGCGAACCCCATGCTCAACTTGACCGATGTCGCCGTTACCAAGGTCGCCGAGTTCCTCGCGAAGCACGATCGTCCGAACGCCCTTCTACGGGTTCGCGTGGTCGGCGGAGGGTGCTCCGGCTTCCAGTACCAGTTGGCCCTCGACGATGAGTCCTCCACGGGGGACCAGGTCATCGAGCAGAAAGGGGTCCGGATGCTGATCGACGAGCGCAGCCTGCCCTATCTGCAGGGAACCGAAATCGACTATGTCGAAGACATCATGGGGGCCGGGTTCCGCTTCAACAATCCCAACGCCGTCTCGAGTTGCGGCTGCGGAGAGTCCTTCCAGGTCTGAGTTCCCCGCAGGGAAGCTGGCACTTGGTCTGAGTTCCCCGTCGGGAAGCTGGCATTTGCCCCGCCCAGGTAGTCGGGGGGCGGGGGTGCTCTTCGGCGCCTTCTTGGGCGTCCCCTCGTGATCGGCGCCACCATCGCCGTTCTGACCGCGCGCCTCGCGGCGGGGAGCCTCCTGGTCGCGGGAATCATCCACGCGGCACATCGGGTTCCGGAGGGCTACCTCCGGCTGGTGGCGCGCGGAGCCGCGCTGGCAATGGCCCTCGGGCTGCTGGCCGGACGAAGCCGCCCGGAAGCCCCGTTCTGGGCGCTCCTGTTGGCCGGCGCCATCCTGCTGGCGTTCACCGTTCCCCGGTTCGGAGCCCGTCCCCGGACTCTCGCGGGCTGTATGGTGGGAATCGGTTTCCTTGGAGCCGTGCTGCCGCCGCTGCAGGCGCCGGATCTGCCTGGGTTGGCGCTCGCCGCCAACCTGTCGGGGGCCGCGCTCCTCGGGGGTGTCGTCGCCACGATGCTCCTCGGGCATTGGTATCTCGTGGAGACTTCACTCTCGATCCGACCGCTGTCGGTAGGATCCAGCCTCTTCAGCGGCGCTGTCGGACTTCGTTTCGGTGTCGCAAGCATCGCGCTGATCTACGGCGGAGTCGCGGCGTTACGAATCGCGGATCTCTCCGATCTGATCTATTCGACCCCGGCTCTCTTCTTCGGGTTTCGGGTCCTGACCGGGCTGCTTTTCCCGGCTTTCCTGGCCGTCATGATTCGCAACACCGTGCGGATTCGGTCGACGCAGTCGGCGACCGGACTACTCTACGTAGCGCTCATTCTGGTCCTCTTCGGCGAACTCACCGCAGCCTTCCTGGAGGTGGCGACCGGCGGCCGACTGGTCTGAGGCGGAGGATGTAGTGGATACTCGAAGCGCCCTACCAACAAGGTCACCGACTCGAAGCCTTTCCCGCCGCCGCCTGTTGGCCGGCGTTCCCGGTCTCGCGCTGTTGCCCATTCTTCCGGTGGGTCGTCTCGCCGCCGGAGAACCGCCGGAACCCGGAGCCGGCGAGGAACTGCCGGATTGGGTGCGCCTGGCCCGGGAAGAAGTCCCGGCAGTTACCGCAAGTCCGTATTTTCAAACCGGCGGCATCGGCCCCTCACCACGTTCCGTGGTCGAGGATGTGGGGGCCCGGCTGGAATTTCAGAACCGAAGTCCCGCCGCCGTCGACATTGCCGAGGTGATGGGGCGGATCGAGCCGGATCTCCGTGCCCAGCTTGCGCGGGTGTTCGGCGCGGGCGACGACGAGGTAGCGCTCACCCACTCCACCTCGGAAGGGATTTCCATCGTCGCCTGGAGCCTCGATTGGCGTCCCGGAGACGAAGTCGTCATCTCGAACACCGAACACCCGGCGAACGTCTTTCCCTGGTACGTGCTTCGAGACCGCTTCGGGATCGTGATTCGGGAGATCGACCTCAGCCCTGGCACGGATGTCGTGGCCGAGGTTCGGGAACAACTCTCTCCCAAGACCCGGGTGGTCAGCCTCAGCCACGTTTCCCGGAACAACGGCCGGGCGCTCCGCACCGAAGATTCCGCGCGGCTCGCGGAGCTCCTCCGCGCCCGGGGTGTCCGCTATCACCTTGACGGGGCACAGGGACCCGGCTGTGTGGCGACCGATTTCGCCGAGCTCGGCTGCGATTGCTACTCGACTTGCGGACACAAGTGGCTCCTCGGCCCCAAGGGCACCGGCGCGCTTTTCGTCCGGCGAGAGGTGCTGGACGAAGTTCAACTGAGTTGGGCAGGAGCGCACAGCCACGAAACCATGGACTACGAGGGGAACTACACCCTGCTGCCGAGCGCGGCCCGCTACGAGTTCGGGACCCGGGCACTGGCCGATTTCTACGGCTTCGGGCAAGCCGTGCAGTGGATGGAAGACATCGGCCTCGAACGCATCCTCACCCGGATCCAGGACCTCATGAGCTACGGCATCGACGCCATTCGACGGACACGGGAACTCGAACTCGCTTCGCCCGCGGATCCGGCCGACCGCTCGGGGATCCTGGTGGTCCGGCTACCGGAAGGCTGCGACCCGACGGTCCTCTATCGAGGTCTCGGCCGGGAGGATGGAATCCTGGCCTCGCCGGTCCGCGGCGAACGGGACTTTCGACTCTCGGTGCACTTCTTCAACACCCGGGAGGAGATCTCCTCCGCGCTCGAGGCCATCGTCACCCGGTGCGCCTGAGCAATCCGGGCCCGCAGAGAGCGGCCAACAGCCTGTGATGAAACCCAGGCGGCCCAGTTCTCCCGGTGGGGGCTCGCCCGGCGATCCATCCCGGCCAAACAGCCTGTGATGAAACCCGCGCGGCCCAGTTCTCCCGGTGGGGGCTCGGCCGGCGATCCATCCCGGCTGACCGCGTCGCTGCGCGCCGCTCATCGTTGCGTTTCGGTCGAAATACACCAGGTATTCCTCCCTCACGCGCCTTGTCAGCCAGGCGCCTCACCGGCCTCGGCGCTCACCCGGGTTCCACCACAGGCTGTTCACCACTCCGCTTCGCCCCCCCACCGGGAGAACTGGTGTTCTGCGTTGCGTTTCGGTCGAAATACACCCGGGCCAGTTCTCCCGGTGGGGGCTCCTCCCTCACGCGCCTTGTCAGCCGGGCCCCCACCGGGAGGACTGGCCCCACCGGGAGAACTGGGCCTCGCCGCTCTCGGCGCTCACCCGGGTTCCACCACAGGCTGTTAAGCGGGGCGACGAGATTGGGCAAACGAGGGCCCGAGGTCGGCTTCTACTGCGACGCCTGCGACCGCTATTCCACCTGGAACCCTCCGTTCCAGCCGGATGACGACCGGTGCCGGCACTGCGGCCACCAAAATCCCCCCGTAATCGGGGCGGATCTCTCGGACGGCGCCGCCCTTGCGTCGTGTCCGCAGTGCGGAAATCCCGAGCTGTATCGGAAAAAGGACGTTCCCCAGCAGATCGGTTGCGCGGTGGTCCTGAGCGCAATCGCCCTCTCCACCGTGGCGTACGCGCTGTGGGATTTTCCCGGAGCGTTCGTGGTGTTCGCCTCCGTCGCGCTGCTCGACTTCCTCATCTACCGCCGGTTGGGAACTGTCACGGTCTGCTACCGCTGCCACGCCGAATTCCGCCGCTTCCCGGAAAACCCCGATCACGGTGACTTCGACATGCACCGCGCCGAGGAGTACGAGGCGGAGTGACACTTCCCGGCCCTGGGATCCCCGAGGCCCAGTCCAACCTGACGGCGGATTGGCTGCATGCGGCCCTGGTGGCCGGCGGCTGGGCCAACTGTCCTCCGATCCATCGCCTGACCTCGAAGTCCATCGGGGACGGGGTCGGACTCATGGGGGAAATCCTCCGATGCGAGCTGACCTTCGCTCAGGATTCCGGACTTCCCGAAAGCGTGATCGTGAAGCTTGCCAGCGAGAAACCGCGGAATCGGAGACTCGGCCGACGGTTTGAGCTCTACCTTCGGGAGTACCGGTTCTACAACGACCTGGCATCCGAATCTCCGCTCCGCTCTCCCGCACTCCTCTACAGTGATTTCGACGCCCGAAGCCACCGGTTCGTGCTCGTGCTCGAGGACCTGCGGGGTTTGACGGCCGCTGACCAGGTCCACGGCGCGAGCCCTCGACAGGTGAAACGCGCTGTTCGCGCGGCGGCCAGTCTCCACGGAAAGTACTGGAACCGGGTCGAACTGCTGACCGGCTCGGGCTTCGAGGAAACGCTCGCGCCGCGGGTCTGGATGCGCCTGCAGGTGTTCTATCTGCTGTGTTTGCCGCGCGCGCTGCGGCTCATCTCGGACTGGTGGTCCGAAGAAGTGCAGGATCTGGCGGAGGAGTACGGGCTTCGGCTGGTAGACCACCTCGCTCACCTGGCTGGGGAACCGCTGACGTTCGTTCATGGCGACTACCGTCTCGACAACATGTTCTTCGGCGAGGGTAAGGAGGACGGCTTCGCGGTGGTGGACTGGCAAAACTGCGGAGTCTCGAACGGCCTCTACGACGTGGCCTATTTCTTCGCAGGAAGCGTCCCGACCGAAGTCCGCCGGGCGGTTGAGCGGGACGCGCTCGAGGAGTATCACGACATCGTTTGCAGCCTGGGGGCGCGGGACTTCACATTCGAGCACTGTTGGCGGCTCTACCGCGAAACCCTGCTCGCCTGCCTGGTGTTACCGGTAGTGGCCACCGCTGGGCTGGAGGAGGTCCCGGGACGGCAGTTGCGCCTCCGGGAGACGATCGCCCAGCGTACGGCGGCCGCTGTACGGGATCAGGAGGTCGCCGCGTTCCTGCCCCCTCTCCCGCCCCGCCTGAGTCGGGCAGGGCTCCGGCGCACTCTCTGCCGGGGCGGTTACCGGGCCTATCGGGCGCTCACCTGACGGCCGGTCGCTGATCCAGCTCTTCCCATGCCGCAAACCGAAGAAGGGCGGTTTACCACCGGCTCGACGATGCGCCACGTGGTCGTCATGACCACGACCGCCTCCGTCGGGTTCATGTTCCTGTTCCTGGTGGACTTCCTGACCCTCTTCTACATTTCGCTGCTCCGTGACGTACGCCTGGTAGCCGCCGTCGGACTCGCCTCCTTCGTCCAGCACCTCGTCAGCGCCGTGGCCATCGGCCTCGCCGTCGCCGCAACCGCACTTGTCAGCCGGGCGCTGGGCGCACGCAACCGGGCGCTGGCGCGCAGCCGGACCACCTCGTGCCTGACCGTTTCTTTCGTGACCCTCACCGTCATCGCCGGCGCGGTGTTCGTCTTTCGCCGGGAGGCCCTCGGCCTGCTCATCGAAGCCGGGCCGGTGACGGAGGTCGCCAGCCGCTACCTGGCGTGGATCCTTCCGTCGCTGCCACTGCTGGGGATTGGAATAAGCAGCGCGGCGATTCTCAGAGCCGAGGGCGACGCCCGGCGGGCCCTGATCGTGACGATGGTCGCCGGCGGGGTGGCGTTTGTATTTGATCCGCTGGTAATCCTGGGACTGGGACTCGGGGTGGACGGCGCCGCCTGGGTGGTGATTCTCGCCAGGCTCGTCACCGCACTGGTGGGACTCCACTTCTTGATCGCTGTCCATGGCCTGGCCGCTCCGCTCCGGGTAGCCGGAGTGTCACGCGACCTCCCTGCGATCTTCGCGGTGGGCGGACCCGCGGTGCTGGCCCAACTGTCGACACCTTCCGGCTTCTTGTTGCTCACCGCCTGGGTCGGGCGCTTCGGAGAAAGCGCCGTCGCGGGTTGGTCGGTGGTGACGCGACTGGTCGTGCTCGGGTTCTCCGGCATCATCGCTCTGTCGGTCGCGGTGGGAGGCATCTTCGGCCAGAACTACGGCGCCCGGAAACTGGAGCGGGTAGAAGCCACCTTTCGGGACAGCGTGATCTTCGGTGTCCTCTACGCGCTGGCGGCGTGGGCGGTGCTGTGGATCGGGGCCGACGCCGTCGTCTGGGCGTTCGGGATGTCGGGCGAGGGCGCCAGGATCGTCCGGGCCTTCTGTCGGATCGGGGCCGGCGGATTCGTCCTCGCGGCGGGGGCCTACGTGGCGACGGCGGCCTTCAACAATATGGGCCGTCCGCTCTGGGCCACGCTGCTCAACTGGTCGAGGGCCGGGCTGGCGATTCCTGCCATGCTGCTGCTCGCGGTGGGCACGCTGGAAGGCAGGGTGATCCTGTTCGCGCTCGGCGGCCCCGGCGTGGTCTACGCCCAGGCCCTCGGGAGCAGTCTCGCCGGGGTGATCGGCGCCGGGGTGGGATGGCGCTTCGTGAAGGCGGTGGCGCGGGAGCGTCTGTCGGAGGGTTCGGATTCCTAGCAGCCGGTGGTGGAACGCGGGTGAGCGCCGAGGCGGGCCAGTTCTCCCGGTGGGGGCGAGGCGCCCGGCTGCTGGCAGCCCCCTCAGGCCGGGACCGGCTCGGCTTTTTCCGCCACCCCGCGCGCCGCGACCTCAATCGTTCCGCCAGCATCGCTCCGCACCTCGACCGAGGCTCCGGGCGGAAGCACGCCGCCAACGATCATCCGCGCGACCGGGGTCTCGACCCGGTGCTGGATGACCCGACGGACCGGACGGGCGCCATAGAGCGGGTCGTATCCCTCGGCGGCCAGGACGCGCAGGGCCTCTTCGCCCACTGCGAGCGAGAGGTTTTGTTCGCTCAGCCGCTGGCGCAGCCGGTCGAGCTGGAGGTCCACGATCGCGGCGATCTGTTCGCGGTTGAGACTCTGGAACACGACGGTCTCGTCCACCCGGTTCAGGAACTCGGGCGGGAATTCGCGCCGAAGTTCCGAAATCACTTCGCGCTTCATCTCGTCATATCCGCGCCCCGCCTCGGCAAGCGCCAGCACCCGCTCACTCCCGACGTTCGACGTCATGATGAGCACCGTGTTGCGGAAGTTCACCAGCCGGCCGTGCGAGTCGGTCAACCGGCCATCGTCAAGCACCTGAAGGAGCACGGTCCGCACCTGTGGGTGGGCCTTTTCGATTTCATCCAGCAGGACAACGGCGAACGGCCGGCGGCGCACCGCCTCCGTCAACTGGCCACCCTCTTCGAACCCGACATATCCGGGGGGCGCCCCGGTCAGGCGGGACACCGAGTGCTTCTCGGTGTACTCGGACATGTCCAGGCGCACCATGGCGCGCTCGTCGTCGAAGAGCTCGGCGGCAAGCGCCCGGGCCAGCTCGGTCTTCCCTACCCCGGTGGGGCCCGCGAAGAGAAAAGCGCCGAGCGGTCGATTGGGATCCTGAACGCCGGCGCGAGCCCTGACCACCGCGTCGGCCACCGCCTGTACCCCTTCGTCCTGTCCGATGACCCGGCGGTGGAGCAGGTCTCCCAGCCGGAGCAGTTTCTCCCGCTCCCCTTCAAGCAGCCGGTCCACCGGAATCCCCGTCCAGCGCGAAACCACCGACGCCACGTCGGAGGCGTCCACCTCCTCGCGGAGGAGGCGCCCTTCCTGCCCACCGAGCCGCGTCTCTGCGGCCGTCAGTTCGCGTTTCAGTTCCTCAATGGTCCCGTACCGGAGTTCGGCCGCCCGGCCGAGGTCCTGCTTGCGTTCAGCCCGCTCCATCTGGAGATTCGCCTCTTCCATCCGCTCGCGCAGCTTCCGCACCTCGAGGAGTTGCGCCTTCTCGCCCTGCCACTGGGTGCGGAGGGCTCGCGCCTCCTCTTCGAGGTCCGCGATCCGTCGCTCGAGATCCGCAAACCGTTCTCGCGAGGCGGCATCCTTTTCCTTCTTGAGCGCCTCACGTTCGATCTGAAGTGACAGCAGCCTTCGTTCGACCTCGTCGAGACCGGTTGGCAGGCTGTCGATCTCGGTGCGCAGGCGGGCAGCGGCTTCATCCACCAGGTCGATCGCCTTGTCCGGCAGGAAGCGGCCGGAGATGTAGCGGCTTGACAGGGACGCCGCGGCCAGCAGCGCGCCGTCCTGGATCCGCACCCCGTGGTGGACCTCGTAGCGCTCCTTGAGGCCGCGCAGGATGGTGACGGTGTCGGAGACCGATGGCTCATCCACCACAACGGTCTGGAACCGCCGTTCGAGCGCGGCATCCTTTTCGATGTACTGGCGGTATTCGTCCAGCGTGGTTGCCCCGATGCAGTGCAGATCTCCCCGGGCGAGCGCCGGCTTGAGCAGGTTGGAGGCATCCATCGCACCGTCGGTCTTGCCCGCTCCGACGACGGTGTGCAACTCGTCAATGAAGAGGATGATCGTTCCGTCCGAATCCTGAACCGCCTCGAGGACCGCCTTCAGCCGCTCTTCGAACTCACCCCGGAACTTCGCACCGGCGATGAGCGCTCCCATATCGAGAGCCACGACTTGCCGGTCGCGGAGTCCCTCGGGAACGTCCCCCTTCACGATCCGGAGCGCCAGCCCCTCGGCGACGGCCGTCTTGCCCACTCCCGGCTCCCCGAGCAGCACCGGGTTGTTCTTCGTGCGCCGCGACAGGATCTGCATGACCCGCCGGATCTCATCGTCGCGGCCGATGACGGGGTCGAGCTTGTCGGCGCGGGCCAGGGCCGTCAGGTCCCGGCCGTATTTCTGGAGTGGCTCGTAAGCGCTCTCGGGGTTCGGGCTCGAGGCGCGAGCGGAACCACGCACCGCCTTGATCGCGCGTTCCAGCCTCTTCCGGTCCACTCCGGCGGCGCAAAGAGCGCGGCTGGCCGCCGACTCCTGCGAGACCAGCGCAAGGAGGAGATGCTCCACGCTCAGGAATTCGTCCCCGAGCTTTCGGGCCTCCTCGGACGCGGTGTGAATCACCTTGGCGAGCCCCTGCGATGCGGAAGGCGGGCCCTGGGCTGCATGGTGCTGCACCGGTAGCGCGGCAAGGGCCGCGTCCAGGTTGCGACCCAGCGCGGAGGGTTCGACGTCCAGCCGGCGAAGGAGCCGGAGGGCCAGCCCGTGCGGCGCATCGTCGAGCAGGGCGGCGAGCAGGTGCTCGGGGGTGGTTTCCGGGTTCTTGCGCCCTTCCGCGAGGCTTGCAGCCCGCGACAGTGCAGCGCCAGCACGTTCGGTAGCGGGAAAAGACATGATCTATCTACTCCATACTCATTAAGTCTGATAACGACTATAGCAGATAATCGATCGAGAAGCACGCAGGACCGAGGGAACAAGGACCGGCAGGCTCGCCCCGGCCCGCCGGCTCGGCTCGCTACGGCACTCCCGCCGGGTGGCGGGGACTAACGGCCAGGCGCTATGGCGCTCTCGCGTCCGGACGCATCGACGAAACCGGAGCAGGTCAGGACCGGCAGGCGCGGGTAGCGGGGATAGCGCGCGTCCGTAAACGAACGCTCGCAAAGGGTGAATCGGGTACGACGCGAGGTAACGACCCGGGCGTGGCGGCAGGCGCCGCAAAGGCCGTCGGTGCGGGACCCGGACGCGGCGTCAGGGGGCGACGGTGGCGGTTTCACGCGCCCACGGCGTCCAGCCCGAGCCGCGATGGCCGAAGTCGAAGACCTCCGGGTGGAAGGCCGATGGAAGCGGCCTGCTCGCGTAACAGCGAGCGCCGCACCCCGTGCATGCTGATCCGGTCGTACCCCTCGGTGAGCGTCGTGATCAGCTCCGAGACCTCGAACCGATCGCCGGTCCGAAGTGCGTGAAGCGCGAGCGAGCTGTCCTTTCCGCCGCTGAAAGCGAGCGCGACCCGTTCGCGCGGCGGGCTCATCCCCCTTCCCGGCGCAGCCGCTCAGATGATGCCGCGGGCGCGGCCGCATTCCGTAAACGCGGCGACCGCTTGGTCCACCTGCTCGTCGTCGTGGGCGGCAGACAACTGCACCCGGATCCGGGCCTTTCCGCGCGCGACCACGGGAAAGCTGAACCCGATGACATATATCCCCCGTTCGAGCAGATCGTCCGCCATGCCGCTCGCGAGACGGGCGTCGCCGAGCATGACGGGGACGATGGGGTGCTCGCCCGCCCGAATCGTGAACCCGGCCGCCGTCATGGCTTCGCGAAACCGCCGGGTGTTCCGGCGGAGCCGCTCCCGCGGTTCTTCGGTGGTCGAAAGGAGGGAAACGACCTCGATCGCAGCCGAGACGATGGCGGGGGCCAGGGTGTTCGAGAAAAGATAGGGGCGGCTCCGCTGGCGCAGCAGCGCCACGATTTCGCCTCTCCCCGAAGTAAACCCTCCGGCGGCGCCGCCGAGGGCCTTGCCGAGCGTGGAGGTGATGATGTCCACCCGCTCCGAAACCCCGAACCGCTCCGGCGTTCCGCGCCCGGTCTCTCCGATGAAGCCGGTGGCGTGCGAGTCGTCGACCATGACGAGCGCTTGGTGACGGTCGGCGAGTTCGCAGATCGCATCGAGCGGCGCCAGGGTTCCGTCCATGCTGAAGACTCCGTCGGTCGCGATCAGTTTGCGCCGCGCGCCGGAGCACTCATCGAGTTTGGCGGCGAGGTCGTCCATGTCGCGGTTCCGGTAGCGAAAGCGCTGGGCGCGGCAAAGGCGCACGCCGTCGATGATGCTGGCGTGGTTCAGTTCGTCGCTGAGGATGGCGTCATCGGGACCAAGAATGGTCTCGAAGAGGCCACCGTTCGCATCAAAGCACGAGCTGTAGAGGATGGTGTCCTCGGTGCCCAGGAACTCGGCAATCCGCCGCTCCAACTCACGGTGGATGTCCTGGGTGCCGCAGATGAAGCGGACCGAGCTGAGCCCGAACCCGCGCTCATCGAGCCCCCGGCGGGCGGCGGCGAGCACCCGCGGATCGTTCCCGAGGCCGAGGTAGTTGTTGGCGCAGAAGTTGAGGACTTCACGTCCCCCGACCCGGATCAGGGCTCCCTGAGGGGAGGCGATCAGGCGTTCCCGTTTTTCCAGACCCGCCTCCTGGATCGCGGTCACCTCACCGCGGATGGAAGAAAGCACCTCAGCGTTCATGGGCATGATTCCTCGGGGGCGAGACTCTATCCGGTGGCAAACGGCGTCAGGGAGGGCGACCCGCCGACCAGGGACCGCCGGCCAGGGACGGCGGCGCATCGGCCAGGGACCGCCGGTCTCCAGACCGGCATCGCGGCCCGCAGGGCCGCGAAACTCAGGTCGCAGTAGCAGGACTGGCGGGACGCCAACATGTCGCACTAACCGGTTCCGCCGGATGTACATGTCGCACTAGCGGGTTCTGCCGGGCGAACATGTCGCAATAGCAGGACCGGCAGGACGCCAACATGTCGCTCTAGCCGGTTCTGTCGAGCGAACATGTCGCACTAACGGGATCGGCGGGACGCCAACATGTCGCACTAGCCGGTTCCGCCGGATGTACATGTCGCACTAGCGGGATCGGCGGGACGCCAACATGTCGCTCTAGCGGGGTCGGCGGGACGCCAACATGTCGCACTAGCCGGTTCTGCCGGGCGAACATGTCGCTCTAGCGGGGTCGGCGGGACGCCAACATGTCGCACTAGCCGATTCTGCCGGGCGAACATGTCGCTCTAGCGGGGTCGGCGGGACGCCAACATGTCGCACTAGCCGGTTCTGCCGGATGAACATGTCGCACTAGCGGGATCGGCGGGACGCCAACATGTCGCAGTAGCCGGTTCTGCCGGGCGAACATGTCGCTCTAGCGATTCGACAAACCCTGATTCGAAATCTCGGGGGCAGGCTCCGGTAGGCTGTCGCCGTGGCCGACGACGGGAGACAGCGGGCAGAGCTGCGGGGCGCGATCCGGGAAGAGGGATTCCGTCTCGGGTTCTCCGCGGTCGGATTCGCCCCACCTCGGATGCCCGAAGCCGGCCGGCAGTTCGAAAAGTGGCTGGACGATGGGAACCACGGGACCATGCACTGGATGGCCACGGATCCCGGCCGGCGGAGCGACGCCACGAGGACACGGGTTCGCGACGGGAACGATTCGGCCGCATTGCCAGAGCGGACCGTCGTGGCCTGCGGACTCAACTACTACCAGGGGGGTCCGGCCTCCGCGCCCTCCGGCGGCGGGGTGGTTTCCCAATACGCTCAAGGCGAGGACTACCACCGGGTGCTGGATTCGAAGCTCCGCGCCCTTACGGCGTTCGCCGAAGCCCGCGCCATCAAAGCCGGCCTGCTGCCCGAGCGCTCGCCGGGCGCGCGCCGGCGCATCCCGACCCTCGTGGATCACGGACCGCTGCTTGAGAAGGCGTTCGCGGAACGGGCTGGCCTGGGATGGATCGGCAAGCACTCGAACGTGATCGCCACCCGGGGCAGCTCGTGGTTCTTCCTCGGGGAAATCCTGTTCCCGGTCGCCCTGCCGCCGGACGATCCGCACCCGAACCGTTGCGGGAGCTGCACCCGCTGTATGACCGCCTGCCCCACGGGCGCCATCGTCGAGCCCTACGTCGTCGACAGCCGGCGCTGCATCTCCTACCTGACCATCGAACTCCGTGGTCCGATCCCGGTTGAGTTTCGGAAAGCGATCGGCGACCGCATCTTCGGGTGCGACGACTGCCAGGATGTCTGTCCCTGGAATCGCTTCGCTGAGAAGGCCGTAGAACCCCGCCTTTCCCCCTCACCGGACGGCCTCCACACCGAGACGCTCGTCGCTCTCCTCCGGTTGACGCCCGAGGAGTTCCGCACCCGCACCCGGCGGAGCGCCGTCCGCCGGACCGGCTACGCGGGCTTCCTCCGGAATGTGGTGATCGCGCTCGGGAACACCGGCGGCCCCAGGGCGTTCCCGGCTCTCGCGGAGGCGCTGGAGCACCCGGAACCCCTGGTCCGCGGCCACGCGGGCTGGGGGCTTGCCCAGTTGGATTCCACGCGGGCGAAACCCGTCCTTACGGCCCGGCTGACCCGGGAACGAGATCCCGGAGTGAGATCCGAACTGAACGACGCTATCGCGAAGGCGCCCTGAGGAGGCGGGCTGGTGGCCCGCCGATGCCCCGGCAGGACGCCCTAGCGAATCGCGGCCTGCATCTCCTCGACGCTCACGAACTTCACCCGCGGACGGCCCTCGGCCTTGCCGCGCGCCACCTCGAGCGCGTCGAGCGCCTTCCAATCGGCGAACGAGAAATAGGTAGGCGCGCGCTCAGCCACGAAGCGCTCCGCCGACTCGGCGGACGGGGATTCCGGCTCCCAGTGTTTGCCGGCCGCCACGTCCTCGAGCAGCACCCGAACGGTCTCCAGGGCGTCGGCCTTGTTGGTGCCGATCACCCCGGTGGGACCGCGCTTGACCAACGGCACAGAGATCCCCTACGAAGGGACTGGCGATACACGAGGGAGTCGAGCACGCGATCGCGGCGGGAGTGAGACTCCAGTCATCGCGGAACGGCACATCGGGCAGCGCGACCCCCCGGTAGCCGACCGAACGGAACACCAGACCGGCAGCGAGATCCTCGAAATGATCGGTGGCGCGCGGGCGGACCGTGCCCCGTTCGTTGCGGTAGAGCTCGTTCTTCACGAGCTTGACCCGGGTAACCGCACCATCTTCGCCGGCAATCAGTTCCACTGGGGAAACGAGGAACCGGACGGTCAGCGTTCGCGATTTGCCGGACCGTTCGTCGGCGGCGTACTGCTGGAGGATCTCGACCTTCCTCGGGGCCGACCTGTCGGCGCCGGAATCCACCCATTCCTGGCTCACCGCATCAAGCGCCGCTTCTTCTTCGAACACCCGGATGTCGGCGCCCTCGAGTTCCCCGAGCTCCTTGATCTCGGGATTGCTGAACGCAGCCTGCGCCGGACCTCGCCGGCCGAGCATGTGGATCTCGCGAATCCGGCTCTCCGCGAGCTGCTCCAGCGCGTAGTCAGCGATGTCGGTCGTCTTCAGCTCGTCCACGGAACGGGCCAGCACCCGGCAGACATCCACTGCCACATTGCCGACCCCGACGACCGCGACCGACTCCTGGGAAAGGTCGAACTCCCGATCCCGGTAGTCCGGGTGACCGTTGTACCAGGCCACGAACTCGGTCGCCGCGTGGCTTCTTCCGAGGGACTCGCCGGGAATCCGCATGGCCCGGTCCACCTGCGCCCCCACGCAATAGATGACCGCGTGGTAGTGGCGCCGGACATCGGCCAGCCGGATGTCGCTCCCGAACTCGACGCCCCCGTAGAAGCGGAAGCGCGGGTTCTGCGCGGTGCGCTCGTAGGCGCGGGTCACCGACTTGATCTTCTGGTGATCGGGAGCCACTCCGCCGCGCACCAGACCGTAGGGGGTCGGCAGGCGGTCGTAGAGGTCCACCTCCACGGTGACCCCAGCGGCCTTGAAGAGATGATCGGTTGCGTAGAAGCCGGTCGGGCCGGATCCGAAGACCGCGATCCGCAGCGGGTGTTCGGGGGTGCCGGGTTTCGTCACTTGGGCGCGGAGTATAGGGCGACCGAGAGCCACTCTTCGCCGGCTGTCACGGCGCGTTGCCGCCGGAACGGTTCGGCGCCTCCGGGTGTCAGCGCTGGCGGAGAAGCGCGAGTACTTCATCGCGGGTGACGATCGTCCGGCCTTCCTCCAGAAAGGGAAGCACATCTTTCACGACCTGTTCCCAGGCAACGGTTTCCAGACAGCGCGCCGCGTCATCGCGCCATCCTTTGGCCGTCGGCTGAAGACCCCAGGAGGCGGCACTCTGGCGCAGCGCCGCATCGAGCAACGCAAGGTTGGGCGCGGGCCATTCCGGATCCGCCAGGTACCAGGCAAGGTCGTAGACATCCCGACCCTTCGCGTAGGGGCGGCACAGGATCGCATGCAGTTTGCCCGCAAGGAGCGATGCTCGATCGTGGTGACGGAGCCGGAGGCTGACGTGCCGCCGGATCGTTCGCGTCTCGGTGACCGCGCCCGCCGGCGGATTCGTGTCCACTTCCATCTTGATCGCCAGCTTCTGGGTAGGATGCGGAGCGAGGCGCGCCTCGTACAGGAGACCCGGGAAGCGCAGCCAGGCGGCATGGACCGCGCCGCGGTCGCGGAGGGCGGCTTCGACCTCATAGCCCTCGCGGCGGAATTGGCGAGCGACCTCCGTCTGCCAACCCTCGATGTCATAGGCATCGCGGTCACCCTCGAGCGCGAAGTCGAGATCCTCGGAGTAGCGCGGTAGCCGGAAGAGGAAACGGAGGGCGGTACCGCCGCAAAAGGCGAGCGGGCCGGTCGCGCCGAGGCGCTGCAACGTCTCCAGGACGCGGGCCTGCAGGTATTCGCGCATTACGTTGCGGCCGTGGGCCAGTCCCGCTTCGTGCGCAAGCTGGAGCGCATGGTCCTTCACAGACGCAACTCCCGAAACTTCAGGGCGGGATCGTCAACCCGCGAGCCCAGCACCCGGGCCGCTCTTCCGAGTTTCGGACTCCCGGCAGCGTTCGCGAGCCGCATCAACTCTACGGATGAAAACGCCTCCAGATCCAGCCGGAGTTCGTCAATCCAGGCCGGGTCATCGCCGTCGGGGTGGAACCAGGCGAGATCCAGGAACGCCTTTTCCGGGGTGGCGACGAACGCCCATTGGTCCCGAACGAACTCCAGCCGACGATAGCCGGTCCGCAGCGAAGGCTTCAGGAACCGGAAGGAGAAACGCCCGAGAGGGGTCTCGCGGAGGCAGGGCCTGCCCGGGCCGCAACTGGTGACCTCGAAAACGGCCTCGGGGATGGCGCCGTAGTGGGCGAGCGCCGCCACCCCGCTGACATAGCTGCCGGGAGAAATCCGGTTGGCGACGAGGAAAGGCTCGGGATGCGCCTTTTGGTACGGGGGGGCGAGCGCGTAGAGCCCCCGGCGGAGTTGCAGGATTTTGCCGCTCCGCCGCCAGCGGTCGAGCTGCCCGGCGAGGCTGGACCGTCGCCGCTCGTCGGCCGCGAGCAGGCCGGTCTCGAACACCGGTTCGTCGCCCACGATCTGGAGAAACTCCTCAAATAACATCGCCGTAAATATACGACAATGCTGAGTTATTACAACATATCGATCATCAGAAGGCAGCCATCATTCCGAAATATCAGCATCGTCCCTCTCGCTGTCCTCTCGCGCCGCGATGCCGGCCGGATGCCCGCGTTCCCTGTCCTGCCGCGCCGCGCGCCGCGCTCCGCGAGCCGCGTTCCCCGAGCGGGACTACCTTCCGATGACGCGATAGACGGCCGGGATAACGAGCAGGGTCAGAGCGGTGGAAAGGACCAGGCCGCCGATCACCGCGATCGCCATCGGAGTCCGCAGCTCGCTGCCCTCCCCGAGGCCGATAGCCATGGGAAGAAGACCCAGGACGGTGGTCGAGGTGGTCATCAGGATCGGTCGGAGTCGGACCTTCCCCGCCTCCCGCAGCGCGTCCAACTTCGCCATGCCGCTGCGGCGGAGGCGGTTGGTGGTGTCGAGCAGCAGGATGGCGTTGTTCACCACGATGCCCGCCAGCATGATGACCCCGATCAGCACCACCACACTCACCGTCACCGAGAACAGCTTGAGGGCGAAGATCACCCCGACGAGGGAAAACGGAACGGAGAAGAGGATCACGAACGGATGGAGCAGCGACTCGAACTGCGAGGCCATCACCAGGTAGACCATGAACACCGCGAGCAGGATCGCGAACTGCATGCTCGCAAAGGAGGTCTCCATCTCCTCCTGCTGGCCGCCGAGCCGCCAACTGAAGCTGGCGGGCATCCCAATGCCCGCCATCAGGGCCTCGATGTCGGTGGCCACGCTTCCGAGATCCCGCCCGAGGATGTTCGCGGTGATCGTGGCCACCCGCTCGCCGTCGGCGCGGCGGATTTCCGCGGGGCCGATCACTTCGTCCACATCGGCCACGCTCGAAAGCGGGATCGTGGCGGCGGCGTCGTCGGAGATGTTCAGATTCCGCAGATCCTCGACGCTGTCGCGGAAGGATTCGTCGCTGCGGAGACGGATGTCGATGGAACGGTCGTCCCGCTGGATGTCGGTGGCGACATCGCCAAGCACCTTGGAGCGGATGAGGCTGCCGAGCTGGTTCACGTTGTATCCGAGCGACGCCACCCGGTCGCGGTGGAATCGGATCTGTAGTTCGGGGTTCCCACCCTCGGTGGACGACTTGACGTCCACGAGCCCCGGAATCTGCCGGAGGCCGGCGACCGCCTCGTCGGCGGTCCGTTCCAGCTGAGTGAGGTTGAAGCCGCGGATCTCGAGTTCCACCGGGGTTTTGAAGCTGAAGTAGGACGGCCGCCCGAAGATGTAGAGCAAATCCGGATCTGCCTCGAGCTGCGGGCGGAGCTCCGCAATCGCCGCCTCTTCCCGGTCGCGGTCCACCGGCGGATCCAGCAGCACGGTAATCTGGCCGATGTTCTCCCGGAGTTCTCCGGCTGCCCCGCCCTGCTGGCTGCTGGTCCCCACTGTTGCGTAGACGGTGCGTACTCCGGGGATCTCACGGGCCGCTTGCTCAAGATGCACCAGGCGCCGGGAATTGAGATCCAGGTGGGTGCCGGCGGGAAGCTCGGTGTCCACGAAGAACTCCCCCTGGACCAACTCGGGCACGAGTTCCGTCCCGAGCGAAGGGACTAGGTAGAGCGCCCCGGCGAAGAGCATGATGGCGGGGATTCCCACCCGGAACGGATGATTGAGGGCCCCGTTCAGAACCGGCGGATAGGCGCGGACCACGCCGTTGTACGCCAACCGGAAGAGCTTGCTCGGCAGCCAGAGGATCCCCTTGATGACGAGATCGACACCCTTGAAGATCCCGAAGACGACCCACATCACACCCTGGCTCACCGCTGAAACGACCCGCCCGAAAAGGCGGCCGGCCGCGGTCCTGAAAATCGCGGCTTCCGTTGCGGGGGCCGGACGGAATTCGCGCGAGGCGAGCATCGGGATCAATGTGAGCGCGACGAGCAGCGAAACCGCGAGCGAGAAGGTCACCGTGAGCGCCTGGTCTCCGAACAACTGCCCCGCGATCCCCTCGACGAACACGATCGGCACGAAAACGCAGACCGTCGTCATCGTGCTGGCGATCACCGCCTGTCCGACCTCGCCGGTTCCGGCCCGCGAAGCCTCGACGAGACCAAGTCCCTCGTGCCGTTTCCGCTTGATCGCTTCGAGCACCACGATCGAGTTGTCCACCAGCAGCCCGATGCCCAGGGTGATACCGCCGAGCGACATGATGTTGAGCGAGACGCCCGACACATACATCAGGAAGAAGGTTCCGATGACGGAAATCGGGATGGAGATCCCGATGATCGCAGTGGACCGCAGTTCCCCGAGGAAGAGGATCAGTACCAAGATCGCGAGAATGCCCCCGAACACCGCGGTCTGGAGCACCTCGGACACCGACTGGCGGATGTAGCGCGCCTGGTCGGTGACCAGGGTCAGCGCGAGATCCTCGCCCACCCGGCCCAGGCGCTCCTGAAGTTCTTCGACGCGGGCCATGACGTCGTCCGCCACGGTGACGGTGTTCGTGCCCCCCTCCTTGTACACGGCGATCTCGATCGATTCGAGGCCGTCGATGCGGGTGATGACCTCCCGTTCCTTGGCGCCCCGGCTAATGGTGGCTATGTCGTCGAGCCGGATCACGGTGCGCTCGGCATCCACCACGATGTCCCGCATGTCCTCGGGACGCTCGAATTCGTTGATCGTTCGGACCAGGTACTCGGTTCCACCGTCGAGCAGGCGCCCGGCGGTCAGGTTGACATTCTCCTGAGCGAGCCGGTTCACCACTGCGGGAATCGAGAGCCCGAGGCTCGCCACCTTCCGCTCGTCGATTTCGACGTGGATTTCCTCTTCCAGGCCGCCGCTGACGAGCACCGCCGCCACCCCTTCGACGCGCTCGAGGTTGCGCTGGATCTCCTGTTCCGCAATGAGCCTGAGTCGGACGAGGTCCTCGCTTCCGGTCAGCCCGAAGCGGAGGATCGGGTCCAGCGAAGGATCGAAACGCAGGAGCGTCGGTCGCGGCGCGTCCAGCGGGAGCCGCACCACGTCGAGCCGTTCGCGCACGTCCAGCGCGGCCATGTCCATATCCGTTCCCCAACCGAACTCCAAAGTGACTTCGCTGAGGTCGGGCCGGGAGGAAGAAACGACCCGATTCACGTTGTTGACCACCCCGACCGCATTTTCGATGGGCCTGGTGATCAGGTTTTCGATCTCGCTGGGCGCGGCGCCCTCGTACTCGGTGCGGACGTTCAGCGACGGGTAGGTGATGTCCGGCAGCAGATCCACGGCCAAGCGGTCGAAACCGACCACCCCGAACACCACGATGGCGATGAACAGCACCACGACGGTGACGGGCCGCCGGATGGAAAAGTCGACGATGCGCATCGGTCGGGGCTGTCCGAGAGGAGGTTCGGCTGGGCTAGCAGCCTATGGACAAAGTGGCGTGAGCGCCGAGAGCGGCCAGTCTCCCGGTGGGG